AGGTACAGAGGAATAACACCTTAGTCCTCAGGAATGGCAACGCATGGGAAGTATCACGGGCGAAACAGTGTACTCTGTTATGTCCACGGTACTGCTCATTTTTATAGGCGACGGTTACCACTTTCCATCAGGTGGGCCGACAGCTTGTTTGCCATTCTCAGTTGTATAAAAAAAAATTATATATGTGAAAGTTTGTTTGTTACGTTATAGCCCGTTAACGACTTTACCAATCACTATAAAATTTGGTATACTTGTGCCTTGACCAGACACAATTTTAATTATTCTTCTACATCTTAAGGTAACCTGAAAGAGATCGCTATTTAGCGAAAAGGCCTTGTTGCCTCCTCATCTTGCTTTTATAGGTATAATAAAGTTTATGTAATTAAGTATTCATTTTGTTTGTATAGATATTGTTAATCTTTTTTTTTTTATGGGTGAAAATGGTATGGTAACCCTGCCTGCGCTAACAGGATACGCTGGCGGAGCACCAGTGAAGGGTGATCGATGAGAATGAAAACAGGCCAGTTAGCCCATCATGATGAATTCATCAGGAATTACCCAGGATATGTAGTTTCCAGGGAGAACCACGAGGAGGTCGACCTGGTTAGGTATATTGCTAGCAATGGGATTCTCAGTCTCCATTACTAACAATCCCTTTCTCCCCTATTTAACAATAGGGGGGAATATCATTATAATCTGTAACATTCTTTGAAGGGAATAATCAAGAGTTTTTATTCATTCATTTATTCTTAGTAGCTACTTTATGCTTAGAGGACCTACCATGAAATGTTTTCCGAAATTTCGGAGCCGAACGAAATACAAATTTAATGTTAAAATTACATGATACTTACCGTTTAAAAATATTAAAAATAAGAAAATATTATTCCTTGAGACTTTTATGGTAGGATTTATGACGAACAAAATGTTAAGCTCCATTTACTGGCCAGATTTAGATGTAAACAAAAACTTCGTGTTTTTGTTTACACGAGTTATTTAGAGAGTCCGAAACTTCGGAATTTCGGAAAAAGCTTGTATGTCTGTAAAAACTGCTATAGATTTCGATTTCACCCTGTATACTGATGGTTCATAATCAACTAATGTTTGCTTTCCGTAATGTATTAATAATTGGTACCTACAATTCGTCAAGGATATTTAAAGTTTACAAATCACGTTACTAGGCAAATTATCAAATTAAAGGTATAACAGATAATCCTATGTTAGATATCGTAATAAACAAAATAACATGAAAAATATATCTAGTTATGTATGTAAAGAGTTTTCCTTATTCCGGGGAGGGCCAAGAACCTTGTTGGAACCAAGATTAGTCCAGTAGTTCATTGATTTCATCGTAACAACAAGGACATCTCTTGCCCGCCGGATGATATGTAGGCGGGCGAGGTAGGGGCCTCGGGGTATACCCCACTACCCCGGCTTCAACTCCGGAGGCGACCACCTCCGGGTCGCTGGGTTCTTCGGTCGGCATACACTGATGGTCTGTGTATGCCGGCGTGGTGTATCATCGTTAATTGTTTTAATAAATCAAACAACAAATTAATACTAGATGGCGCTGATTTATATTTAGTGTAGGTTTATTTATTTTTAAATATATTTTATTTCTGCGAATTTATGCGAATTTATTTCTACTCGAATTACATAGGACAAAATATGAAAATAAAAATGTGTTATAATTAGCGTTTTTATGTCGGTTTATCAATATAAAAACGCCTCAACACTTTGTCTTTATATCACATACACTAAATATTCTGATGATCAGTTAATTTACACACAATAAAGCGAGTTATTTCAATAAGACTGTAATAATTATATTATTATATTAATCATAATATTTCCGAATAAATACGACATCTTTAAGTTAAAAAAAACATATTCCTTAAAAGACCGGTAACATATCTGCACTTTTTCTGATGTTGGGAATGCCTAGGTTGGTTAGTGGTGGTAATAGTAGTAGATATAGGCTTGTAAAGGAACTCAAGTCATCAGTCATAGATTATATATATGATTGCTTACCGTCCATTTTTTTCCTATCCAGATAAAAACTTTCCTTTATCTCTAATCAGAGCAAACAATGCGCGTATACAGAACTTTAGAGAAATTGCTTGAGTGTTTTCGGAAATTAATGAAAAACAAAAGATTTTAAATATTAACGTTATAAAAAAATTATTATTAAAAATTATTATAATTATTTCAAAATTGATATAAAGTCTATTCTAGATTACTTGCTAATTATTTTATCTCTAACTCCATTGGGTTGGCTGGAAAAGATCTCTTTTAGAGATAATCCCACCCTTGCTAATAAGTAGTTAAACTAATCGCTGTATCTTCTGTTCAAGTGCAATAAAGAATATATATAAAACTATTCTGTAAATGCATAATTATGATATAATGACATATGTACATACGTTATGTACATGATTTTGTTCAAGTCTCTAGGAGATGGTTACTACTTTCCATCAGATTGGTCGTCAGCTTTTTTGCCATTCTAAGTTGCATAAAAAAAACAACAGCCGAACTGACAAAAAACTTACATCAGTTTTGATAACTTCCTTCTTTGATGTCGGTTGATGAGATTTATGATTGGGCACTAAAATTACTGGCATGTAATCATGAAACTACTCGATAGTAATCATAATTACAAATAGTATTATGACGCGAAATAAGCCCGGGTCACACATGCAAAACAGTGCCTACGTTTACCAAGGTTTTTCCTAGAGACTACACAGTATGAGGTTCTTTAAAAAGCATATATGAATGTTTCTCCAGGGCCGGCAACGTGCACGTGACACTCCTAGTGTTGCAGGCGTCTATAAACTATAGTCCGTCTGATTGTAAACGGTCAGATGATTGTTTGTCCCCTTTGTGGTATAAAAAAAACCTTATAATTTACTTGTATGAAAATTACCAAAGAGTTATTCTACCCCAATATTTAACGCAAACAGGCCTCGTAGGCATGTGACAAACGACTCTATTTACAGAATCGTTTCGGTTAGTGCTCTCTAAAGGAACGAACGAAAAAGAACAAGACACCGGACGTTGCCGTCTCATTCTATCTCATAGACTCGTTAGCGATAACGATGTTATCAATAGATTCGTTTGCTACGTGCCTAGGGAACTAGATGGATAAACGATTTGTAATAGATAAAGTTTTGTAGCTAATATTTTTTAATGGTTACGATAGAGTGGCAATCCCACCTGCGCTAACGGTATACGCTGGCGGAGCACCAATAAGTAATGATTAGATGAGAATGAAAAGACAGGTCAGTTATCTGTTAACCATCGTGATAAATTCACCTGCAATTCAACACGATGGTTTCCAGGGGGTGCACGTGGAGGTCAACCTGACAGGATATATTGCTGACAATGGGAGTGGTAGTTTACATTACTAACAATCCCTTCTCCACTGTAGCTAATGGTAAAGGTATCTAATTTGTCGCAATTGTTTTTATCTTTCCATATACGTATCTAAATTATTTGGAAAACAAGGTGACGGTTTACCTGATGGAATATGATATCTGTCGCCTAAAGACATGTACAATACCATGGAAATAACACTATACAGTATTGTTCATGATACCCTTCATACATTTCCAATGAATGTATGAGTCGAGTATGTTTTCGAACCGATACGACATCATAACCTTCAAGAAAAGAGCATATTCCTTTTTAAAAGGCCGGCAGCACATCAGAAATGCCGTTGGTGTTGTGGGGATCATAGGCGGCGGTAGTTACTTACCATCAGGTGAGCCGCAAGCTCGTTTGCCCCCTGCGTTGTAAAAAAAATGTTTATAATTTATATTGGCATGCTACTATTTATTTTACCATCGCAACAGAATTTATAAGCAAAATGTATGCTTTTTGTATACAAACGCTTTTAAATTTCCATCCAAGTCTATAGACGAGGAAAACTGGTGTCATCTCTATACTATTGTATCTATTTTTCTTTTCTGTTACGAGTATATCATACATTGTGTTTACATTTAACCTATTTATTGTACCTGTAATATAAAATTGTACTGTAACGTGTCAAAGAGGATATTAGTGTATAATTAATACCATGTTGGCCAAGTGGCTTAGTATAGTTATAACTAACCTAACAACCTTGAAATTCTAGCGGCCTAACACACCGTTTTGCTTTCTTTTAGCCGCGAGTTTGATTCACACAAACACAAACTTTTGTATTGATGATTGATGTATTTGGGTGTTTTCTATCTATAATATGTATTTATTTGCAAAATAAGTATTCAAGTTCTAAAGTTCTAAGTTGTCAAATACCACAATAATAGTAATGAAACTTCTGCTTAGTTTAAGATTAGATGGCGTTGTGTAATATGTCCAGTATTATTTATATATATTTTATTTTTTATAAAAATATAAATATTTAATAACCCGTATAGGTCCCAGAATAGAATAGGTTACTGCATCCTTTCCCATGGGTGTCGTAAGAGGCGAGAGCTTATGGTGGAAGGATAGGCAGCGACGTTTCTCTAAAAACACCATCAAAAGTAAAAATGCGGTTGCCAACCTGCCTGCCAAGCGTGGTAACTACGGGCATAACTCTTAAGCTATGTTCAGAAGTGGCCATAACATAATTAATAGCTGATACAACAAAATATAAACTAATATTTATAAACTAATATTTATAATATTAATTATTATTTGTGTAAATTTTATATTACAAAATTTTACTTCTGATTTTTCTTTTTCTGAACTCGGTATTATGCTTTGGTCTCTTAATCGAATATTACTTTATATTCTTTCTCAGTCACTATCGTAATATACAATACAAAAAAAAAATAATAACGATATGCATAAATAAATTTCAATCAATAAATTCATTATTAATAATATTTTAATATATAATACTTATTAATCAAGAAAAATAAGTTTCTGTTACGGTCAGTGTAACTAGACCTTATCGTGTGGAAATTATATATGTACACAGCCATAATGGCAATTTATAAAGTTGTTATGTTTTATTGTTGGAAGTAGAAGTAAGTGGTCCTTTGTTGAGATAGAACGTCTATTTGTGAGTAGTTATTTGTTAATTTAATAGTGATAAAGATGTACTTGTAGAGATAAACTTTTATAGGAAAAAATTCTGTTATATTATAATAAAGGACAAGTGACAGATCCAATACTCTATTGTAAGTGATTAAATAGATACATGGTGTGTATTTAATATTATAATTTTTATTATTACATGTATCTATGCTTGTATTTTTTTAATTAGTGCAATAAAAAGTTGAATGACTTCATAGTGATTAGTAATGATATAACTTAAACTGATATTACTGAAATTTTATTAATAAATAATTTTTTAATAACTTTTTACAATATGAATATGAATAATTATAAACTATAGAATATATTCAATAACTAACTTAAATAATGAATAATAATAATTATACAGAAAATACGTACCTATCGAGAAACAATAATAATGACTGGATAATATTGCAATAAACTCATAAAGAAAGTAAAGTAAAAAAAAAAGTTGTTCTCCTCTTTCCTACTTGCTGCTCCCGACAGGGTCCATAATTGAAGTTGAAGTATTATTTACCAACCACATTACGGAATGTAATAAGAAATAAAAAATATATATACAATAATTAAACTAAATAATTTTTTTCGTAATCAACTGATTACGATGTTTATTTGACCTTATCTAATTTCAATTGTGTTAATGTAGGTTCTAAAGAATGATAACGCACTAGAAGTATTGTGTACGATACAACTTATTTTGCGTTATTCATAATTATGAGTATTAATAGGCAACGGTATTACAAATTTTTATACATAGTATAAAAATAATAAATTCATGGAAGCTTTCTGTAAATAATTCATGAGTACAGGTGTTCTCAAACATGAACTACTGGCGATTTATCACAATATTGTTAGACTACGATCGATAGACCCTGCAAGGTTGCAAGTAAGTATGTCTAGGTAGGGTGTACCGTGGCATGGTGTGGTGTAGGTCACCCAAGTCAAAGCACCTCTGGCCTAGTGTGATGGCAGAAATGACTTGAGCGTCTGAAAAGTGGAAGAACATAAACACTATCAATTCAGAGGAAAAGGATAGTCAGTAATGGGTTCTAACAGCCTTATATACAAAAATAATAACTTTGCTATTTTATGTAATTATATACTCAGCTGATATATCATTATTATTATATCAGTCGATAACTGCTCACTGGTGAGCATAATCCTTCATCATAAGGGGAGTTTTGCCAGCAGTTGCCATGCAACCCGCCTGGGGTTGGCAACCGCAGTTAGGTTTTGGCGATGTCTTAAAAAAGACGCTGCTGCACATTCCTTGACCATTAAGTTTCCTTAGTCACCTCTTACGACACCCACAGAAAAGGAAGGGGTGACCGATTCTATGTCGGAAGTACACAGCAATGATTTACGATTAAATAAATAATTTATAAATATAAAAATAAGTTTGTGTATGACCTTTGGTGTTTTAACGACTATCGTCATTTAATTTAGCATACACATAGTATTTGGTATGGAGAAGAATATCGCAACATATTCTGATTACGTGGACACAGTCGCGGGTAAAAAGTAGTACAAAATATACAAAATTGCTTCACAATTGGCGAAAAAAATGCATTTGATGACAACCTAAATAAGTGAAAAACTGGCAAACGATCTATAAAATCACTATCTCTAGTAAGTCTATAAGATAAAATAAGATAGCGACATCTAGTGTCTTCTTCTTTATCATGCTAGAACTAACTAAAATGATTCTATCATTAGAACCATTTGCATCTTGATGTTTTTTTGTTGGAGAATGAGATATAAATCCTGGTTTGATCCATTGCACTGCCATATATTAAATTATTATTAAAATGAAATTCTCGAAATATTCAATAGTTGTTTTGTATCGAATTTTATTATTTATAAGCGATTTCAAAAGGTGAAAATTCTCAATTCAAAATGGTATTTTTTTTTTATTTTGTTAGTTTATAATTCTATGAGTCATAAACCAATTTGTACTTTTTTTTTTTATTAGAAAGGACATACTTTCAGAAAGGACATACGTTCTTTAGAATTTTTACCAGAATCGTTTAAGTAATTTAGTTTTTAAATCATAATAACTGGTTATTTAAATCAATATACTTATATAATAATACTTACATAAGTCAGTTTTAATCAAAAGTGTTAGGTTCTAACTTATTACTTTTATGATGGTTTATTTTGTGATCTTGTTGAGGATTTCTAATTAAGAGAGGCTGGTTATTTTTGGAGTCAAATAAAATAAAATGTAACTCATTACATTATTCATGAATTACAGCAAAATGGCAAAATTTTCAAGACGGTCGAACGATGCGGTACAGTGGTTTATGAATGAGTTAACGTCTCGTATAGTCGCCGAGACCGGAATACCAAGCGATCGGTTCCACCTGGGGAAGATCATATTACAGAGCTTCAAAGACGACCCTGACTTTGTGATGATGGTTTGTTGGTTCACATTTAAATAATTATAGGTATAAAATTTTAGTTTCTTGTTATAATATTATATAAAAATAAACTGCAATAAAACTATAATAAATTATTACAACAATGAAGAGCTTCAATCTATATATACTATTATATGATTAGCTATGACTTATATATTTACTATATAAATATGTATTACTAATAGTTATTTACATCTTAAAATGTATTACTATTGTTATCTATAATATTCATTTTTGTTAAACCAATGCATCACCATTTACTCCTCTGTTTAGCGTTACGGTGGACTGGTAGAGAATGCCATCAGGCAATAAGTCCGCCCTGTAGACATATTTTAATATGTGCAAAAGTATAAATAAAGAAATACATGGTATAAAGCTATCGTATAAATATATTCCATGACCATTTATTTAGATATTCTATCCTTCCTATTTGATATGAATAACAACATGACTGTAATGATGCACAATGCACACATTGTGTTTTATTTGCAACAGAATGCAGTATAGGGAACATAGAGTAAATAAGATAGACGACCTCAGTAAATAAAATATATTTTGACCTTGATTTTGTATGAATAGCGTTAATAATGCTACACTTAAATTCAAAGTCAAATATCAGTGTTGAGTTAAAAAAAAACTCGTTTTGTCTCAAATTTCTTTGGAAAAAATATTGAGTTTCACTAATTTAAATTTCACCATATAATATATATTTAACAGTATACGTAATATGTTATTTATAAATTTAAAACAAAAGCTACATGAAAAGCCTATTTTGCACCAAAAATTTATAATTGGGTAAAGATTGTTAGTAATAGGAATTAGTAGCTCCATTAGTAACAATATAACTTGGTAGGTTGACCTCCTCGCGCTCCCGAAACCATCTTTTATGTCTATCCAACCACTGTATATCCAATATATATTTGCCATCTCTATGTTAAAAAAAATTATAAAATTTTCCCTACAGATCGATGGAGCAACAGGAGAATCGATCACGTACGGAGAGACCTTGGAGAGATCAGTGCGATGTGCCATTGCTTTTAAAAACATGGGCTTAGAAACTGGTGACGTCATAATTTTGATGGCTCCTAGCCATGTGGATCTCTCGATTCCGTTCTATGCAGCTTTTTATCTCGGCATTATTATTGCTGCAGTTGACAGAACTCTGGGTGTCAGTGAGTATTCTATCTATGTGTCTAAACCTATTTTTTTATACAACTTAGAATGGCAAACAAGCTGACGGCTCACCTGATGGAAAGTGGTAACCGTCGCCTACAAACATGAACAGTACCATGGACATAACAGAGTATACTGTTTCGCCATGATAGCCTCCATGCGTTGCCATTTCTGAGGACTCAGGTGTTATTCTTCTATATCCTGTAAATTCACTGCCATATCCCACTCTTGAAACTGAAACACAGCCATGCAAACACAACTGCTTCACGGTAGAAACACGAATAGGACAAAGGTGCCCAAGCAAACGACTTTTGTACAAAGTTTCCCTCTGATAAAATATTAAAATTATATCTTCAAAAATGTTATTCGCACCTTACATTCTTTAATGCTGAGATGCAACGAAATTATATACCTACAAGTTATTATATATTCTAAAAATACAGGTAGACAGCATAAAAATGCATAATAATGGAGTACATGTAAATACTGATTACAAACTATTTCAGCGGAACTTCGAAATTGTTTTAATGTGGATAAACCTAAAGTAGTGTTCTGCCAAAGCGAAAAGGCTCCAGATATACAATTGGCTTTAAACGATTTAGAGATGGATACGAAAATAATAACGTTCGACAAAGGAGACTATCTTTGCAGTTTCTCCGAGTTTCTAGAAGAATATGGTGATGAAACTCCTACTGAAGATTTCAAGTTAGTACTGAAACTAAAAAAACTTAGGGTATATTCCTAACAATAGGACTGTTAAACCCCATTACTAATAATTTTTCAAAAAAATGATGCAAAAAGTGATTCAAAGTGACTAGGTATTTATTAATTCCATTACACTATGAAATACCTACGTAACGATAGAAAAATAGGTCCCTTTTTAAACTACAGTTAAAATATCGCCAATATCACGTAATACCACTTAACCTGAAGATGAATTATCTGCAAATACCAAGCAATATCATGATAAAAATTAGCTTTACTTTGTTTTTAGGCCAAACGATTTTGATCCTGAGGAGGCTATAGCACTTTTGGTGGCAACTAGTGGCACCACTGGTCTACCCAAAGCTGCAGCTGTTACTCATAAAAATCTTATTATAACAAACCCACATTTATGGTAAGATTTTGCTATATAACTCACAATACCAAATTAGCCAATGAAATATTGTAACAAAAATGGTCAGACGGACATAATATAACTATCATTTCAACTGTTAACCGTCCACTACTCAACATAAGGGGAGCTTTGCCAATAGTTACTTGGCAGGCGGGTTGGCAACCGTAATTTGACTTAGAGAAATGTTTTAAGAGGAACGCTGCTACTCACCCCTCAACCATAATGTTCCTTTAGTCGCCTCTTACGACACCCGCAGAAAAGGAACGGGTAGCCCAATCTTTGCCGGGACCACATGGCCAATCGGGCTATGTTTGAGCGCAATCCGGAGATCGGAATAAAATCTCAGCTTAAACTTAAACTACAATATTTTCAAATACAATCAGTGTCTTCTATAGCACATGTAAAGTGCTCTCTGAAGGAGGAAGTAAGCGATATCAGAGGCCTTTGTGTTTTACACTCTGATATAAAAACGACGGCATGTCTTCTAAGCCCTCCTGGGAGGGTCATGTGAGCGCCTCGGGGTGGACCCCTTTTCTCTAGTACGACGAAGGAAACCTGAAGACTCTCGACATTAGAGAGTAGTACTTTCACGCGAGTGGTAGTAGTAATACTTATAGCAATCGTCGTCTATAGATTTGGACAGCACCACGTAAATCGTCAGTAAAGTTCTAACAGTGTATAAGTAATTTTTTATAGTTTATTATTTGAATTTGATTCGGCTATTTACAATAGTACAGTTTATGTGAACAGATCAGAAATCTCGATTTTAAACAATTGTCTCGTATTGAAGCAATAGCTTAACAATAATAAAAAAAAATGTTTTGCTAATATTTGCAAAACTACCAAATTTTGATTTACACACTGTTAAAACTTTATTGACGATGCTTGGAATATACTGTAACACTTATGGTATCCCTGTATTCTGTCATTAAAAAGCAAAATTTACTTTTACATTTATGAATTAAAATTAAAGCCAAGTATTATAAATTAGAAAAATTCAAAAACAGGTCTAGACACTTCAATTTTCCTACGCCCACTCGCTTGGCTTTAGTTGGTTCTCCACTACAGTGGTTGACAGCAATCATGCAATTTATTACGTGTCCGATTGTAAAAATCACCCGACTGCAAACTTCGCTTCAACTGACGCCGGAACACGCTTATCATCTTATTAATACGTATCGGGTAAGTAACATAACTTCGGTCAATTGATACATATTATTCTTAAACAATTTAGTACAAGCCCTAGTCATTTAACAAAAAAAAAACTCTATAACAAAGGAATTATACATTTTAATGACAACTATTCATTTATTTAAATAACTTTCTTAATTAAAAAAAACAAAATCCCCACATACAAAAATATCTAGACAAGCATAACTGATGACAGATTCATAATTTCTATTTTATTGTTACAAATTTTTTATGCATATTATAATAGCAACCAAGTTGATGGCACACATAATTGAAAATAGTAACCATTGTCTATGACCATAAAGATAACCACGAACATCATCAAGTATATTGCCATATCCGTGTTACCCTTTATGCATTAGCTTTCCTTAGAACCAATGTATTATCTTTCCGTACTCTGTAATTTAGCTATCATATCCCACTCGAACCGAAATACAATCTCATGTAATGTTAGACGATAGTCTAAAATGCAGCTCACACACTTAAACAATGTCTGCACTGCCGTCTTCCCAGATAGTTAATTAAAGAAATCCATTTAATGTATTACTTTTTAGCCAACATTCACGGTTTTATCACCAACATTCATAACGACACTTATAAAACCCGGAAATAGAGATCAGTGTGACTTTACATGTTTCGAGCAAATTTACCTCGCTGGTAGTGCTGTACCTCCGGAACTTGTTGACGAAATAAATGTAAGTAACGTTATATTATATCTCACTACCCGCGAACAATTATTAATCGGGATAAAAAAAATAACTTACGTCAATCCAAAATAACACTTTTATACCATATTTTGACGACGATTGGTTGAATGGTTAAAATGTCAAGAACTAACAAAGAATACACTTTCACATTTATAATATTTGTAAGAATTTAAAATTCATCATCTATATCATGATTAACTATATCGTAATCATCGTCCACTGCTGAATATAACTCTCTGACCTCTTTCTCACAATATATAATATATGTATTACTGGGTGGTGACTATCACGAAATTAAATTTAAATTATGGACGCAAATTAAAATGGACGTTTTTTATATTACCTTATTACCTGTAGAATCAGTTTTTTCTTACCGGGATAAAAACTGACCTATCTCACAAGTTAAAGTAAATATATAATAGTATACATGTACAAAATATTATTAAAATCGGTTGTAGATTCTCGGAGATTAGCATGAACGAGTATCATGACACGGTATTTTTATATTATATATGCGACCCGTCCCGACTTCGCACGGATAGTTAGGGCAGGGATTTTTAACATTTAAATAAGTAAAATATAGCCTATGTTATATAACTTGCTGATAATTTAGTTTTCTATAGGTGAAAGAATTTTTAAAACCGGTTTAATTTTTTTTTAATTCATCCATTACAAACTAAAAATCAAATGTTTCCTTTTTATAATATTAGTAAGCGTCAAAAATTACTTCTGATTTTGTAACAGGCAATATCTCCAGAAACCGAAGTAGTCAACGCTTATGGAATGAGTGAGCTGACCAGCATTGGTTTTAATGTTGACTATCCACCTCCTGGGTCCTGTGGGAAACCTTTAGGATGCTTCGAATACAGGGTAAGACTTACTGTTTACATATATTAAAGTTATAACTAGAGAATGTCTGTACATAGATAGATATTTACAAAAATGATTAAAGGTGTCAAAATAATATTTTTTACAATTTTTCTCTCTCTATATGTTTGTGTCGGCATCACACAAAAACTACTGTACTAAATTAGATCCAGTTCACATTTGTGTTCCTAACTATCAAATCAAGTGTATATTTTATGTTCATGCGCCCTCTAGAATTGGTCTATTTCATTAGTTTTCTTACTTCCAAAATCCAAGGGTATAAAGCGACTGTAATTATTTTCCAACCTAAAGGCGAGCCCACCCTGAAGAACTGTAGGTTATGTTGTATAAACACTATTTTCATGGCCAAATTTATCACCATCAAGACGAGTATGAATTGATTTGAAACATCCTGCATGACCCATACTTCTGTCGTTATTCTCTCCGATCTTCGGTTAGGTCAGCTCTTATGCCATCGCAGCAACCGAGAGGCAATAGTTACTTATACTAGTATATATAGGTGAAGGTACACGTTGGTATTGTCGGGAACGAACGGGAGGTAAAACGCGCTACTATGTTGACGTTCCCAATATTCTAAGTCCAGTATCACATCAAAGAAAAAACACTCAAGGACGCTAATTCTAAATACGTTGGAGAATCGTCTAATTCTCCCCTTGTTTTATATTTTCCCACATTTATCAACATCAGAGAGTTCCGAAGCATCACCCCTGTTTATTTTGTTATCACCTAAATCCTTACCAAGTATAGATATGCCAAGATATACTCTTATCGATTCCGCATCACAGATGACAACCGATGCTCCTGGACGTATTCTATATCCAGTTTACAGAGACTCGAGTACGAAGGCCGTGGTTCAATGGCAAGAGACGCGCCTTATGATGTCAATAAAATTATAAAATTAATCGTAATATAGTTATTTGTCATTTACAGTTAATAAATGTTCAAAATAATGAAGACGTATTGGAGCCCAACGTACTTGGAGAACTCTGGGTAAAAGGACCAGGAATTTTTAAAGTAAGTTAATAGGAAATCACCAACAATCTGGCGGCTTATTAGATAGATTGTAATAGGCATAACATAGAGACATGAATAGTATCATATATTTCACACACTATTTAATCTGTGCTGATACTATGAACGTTTTTGATATTTTGCATAAATTTTCTTTCAAATAGAATATCTCCCAACATTTTCAAACGCGAGGAAGAAAGTGAACGTAATAAACTGGTTTAACAGTTGCCATTTCTACTTCATACATTTAAGATTTTACATTATACAATTCAGCACGAATACATTACAATGTATTGTTACCATATTATTCAAAGTTATTCCATTTTGAAGATAAAAAATATACATCAAGTTCAACATTTATTTCATTTAGGAGTACTACAACAATCCTGAGGCAACAGCTGAAGTATTTGCTGAAGATCGTTGGTTCAAAACTGGCGATACATTTTACAGGGATGACAATTGGAACTACTTCTTCGTAGAACGGATTAAATTGCTATTAAAATATAAGAGTTTTCAGGTCAGTATCTATCCGGCAATGTAGTGCAATAAATATCAATATAATGTCTTAGTAACATGCATGTGATTGACGATGATTAGCAATGCTCTTATAAGAAGATACGTTATAATCTCAGGAAACAATTGACAAAATGTAACATATGCAGCAACAGTCACACAAGAACACCATTGCTAAATGATTAAAAAGGGATAGACGATTAGTAAGACAGTCGTTATATTAACACTAGCCAGTGTTTACCATTTGCGTGCAAGTCTGTGCAAAAGTTTTAGTCGTGTTAATTCATCTCCAAGCTTTATTTTTGACACTACTTAGTTTCATTTTTTTAGGGTTCCTTACCAAAACGTTATAAAGAAACTCTTATAGAGCGATATTTTTAGACAAATACACAAAGCATTCGTCTAAAAAAATTTTAACGTGATGCTTTTATAGATATCGCCAGTGGAAGTAGAAGGTGTCATCCGTCAGCACCCTGGTGTGCTGGACGTGGCTGTGACTGGCATACCAGATCCTGAGTGTGGTGATTTGCCTGTTGCTTGTGTCGTTCCTCGACCAGGATACGAGGTTACTGCGCAAGATATTAAGGATTTAGTACAAGGTTAGAACGTTTGTCTACGACGCTATAAACATAGTTTTCGGAGTGGTTAAGTGTTATTTTTTATTTTATTTGATGATTGGTTTAATCATGATAGTTTAAAACTGTTGTTTGTTCATTAAATTAGGGATTTAGCGATTAAACGCAAGCGGTTTCTAATGAAGAGAATTTAATTAATTTAAGTAATTATCTTTTATTAAGTATCTTCCATCAATTTATTCCAGAGTCATTGTCTGATGCAAAACAATTGAGAGGCGGTGTGATATTCGTGACAGAAATACCAATGACCGCCTCCACGAAAGTGCACCGAAGGAAACTGAAGGAAATGGCTCTTCAGGTCGAGAGAGAATAGATGCAGAAATAAAATCTCAATACAATAATTTTTATTTAACCCTTGCACATAGTAGGTTATAATTAATTTATAATTATTCCTTAAGTTATATAGATTACAAACTAACGCAGTTAATAGTGTTTAAGCTCTTACCTGCACCCAATTAAAATAAAAACTGCAACTAGTACAAATAAATTAATTTATTTAAATTGAATCTTATTATTTCTTAAGTTGGAGTAATAATTAAAATCAGTTGAGCAGTTTCGAATAACGTGATGTGGGATTTTTATACAGGCGAAATCAAAATGGTAAGCTAGTTTTTAAAAGGGTGTTTTATCAGTATTGAATCAATATTTCCTCCAAAGAAAACTGATCCGAATGGCATAAAACATTCGAGCCTCCCATATTAACACTGCCTCGTTGTTGAGTTAGTATGAAAGGGTAACTTTATTGGCGTTCTTTAATTTCTAAGTCACGAACTTTCTGTTTGAATTATTTTTGGATACGAAGGAATGGTCTATGTTCAGCAGTGGACAGTTAAATACTGATATGATGATAATGATGATCTATTGCCTCTGTATTCGCTTAGGATGATATGGCCACACGTCGTACTATAATAAAAAATTAAAGTAGTCAAAAAAAATTATCAAATAAAAATTAACTATAATAAAAAATATCTAGTTTGAGATTAGATATGTTAACGTCTGCAGAATCTTCTAATTAAGGGTTTTTTTTTTTATGAAGGATACCATGAGTGACTACATAATTTGTAATATCTATGGGCTGCTCTCACGTGACCTAGAGATTACATATTGAGCCGGACACATGCAAGAAAATTGTACATATAAACGCACCATGATGTGACGATCATATTTTTTTTAAATATACTATTAAAAAAGATAAATTACACACCAAACAATCCTCTAATTATTAAATACCCGTTAACTTAGAATATATTAGATAAAGAGAGATAAAAGGAACAAATTCTAAATTGGGCCAATTTAAATACATAACATGGAATCTCTTATCTGCTAAATAAAGCAATTAACAAATATCACTAAACCAATATTAGCACACATACTGTAGTAGGGGGGCTTCTACAAATATCAAGAAAAACTGATTGTATTTAACTTACTAATATCTTAAAACTAGAATTAGACAACGTCTGTAAATATTTATGAAAAAACCAACGTATGTGTGGTCTTAATAAGAGCAATAAAAGCCAAAATAACAATTTTTAAAATTGTTAATTATCTGTATGTTTATTTGTGCATGTCGTTAAAACTACTAAATTCAATTTGATGCGATTTTCATAATTATATTCCTGAAGATCTATTTAGTCTTAACTTAAAAATAATAAGATTAAGTTTTGATACACTATCTAGAAATGATTAATCGCTTGCAAAATCCACGCGTACGAAATTGCTGGCAAAAACTAGTATTATTACATCAGCCGTCCTTCGCTGAACATAGGCCTTCCTCACAAGAGGGGTTTTGCCAATAGTTGTCACACTTGGCAGGCAGGTTGACAACCGCAATTAGGCTTTTTTTAAAACATCTCTAAAACTTATCATCATCATCATCATCATTTCAGCCATTATCCGTCCACTGCTGGACATAAGCCTCCTGTATAAGCATAGACTGTCATAAAGAACGGTCCTGAGCCACCTGCATCCACTGACTCTCTGCAACGCATTTCAGGTCGTCACTCCTTCTAGTGGGGGGTCGTCCTACACAGGTGATGATTATGAGTGTGGATAAAGTCAGATCAGTTGGTTCACCGTGACAAATTCAACAGGAATTAGTGACTATGATTTTGACCTGACCTATGTATATATATATATATATATATATATATATATATAAATATATTTAGTAATGAGGTATCCATTACTAACAACCCCCTCTCCCAATATTCTTAAATTGTAGGAAAGATAAAATCTTCAATGTCTGGCACTGATGTTAACACACTTGTTTTAAATGATAACACTACTGTAATATCATGTGCTATTTATTTATATAGTTTTATACTTTCACTTATAACATAGATATTAGGTTATAACACAAATGTACACAGGCAATATCATAATGCTTTCCCCCAAATAAATAAAACAGCAATACGATTATTTTGATTTGGAATTTTTCGTCTATGGTTACTATAACCATAGACGATAAATATTAATAGTAAAAAAAAAAATACTAATAATAAATAATAGCTAGTAAGTTGTACCCGTGCTTGTGATGTTAGTTCAGATGACTGGGATAAAAAGTAACCTGTTACCTTCCATATTAAACCTTGTATGTGTAGGTATACCTTTCCTGACAAGTGGTTGAGCCGTAAGGCGCCAAGATATAACGCCAAAGCAAATCAACAAACAAACTTTGGTATTTATAATATAAATAAAGATTCTATATAGATATTAGATCTATGACATAGCGTAAAAGAGCCTCAAGTATAAACTTACACGCGAATAACATTATCTCCTTTTTCAACAAGCAGTCATTATAACAAGCAAAATTATGCTGAATCACCAGATCTTACAACGATCGTGATCTGTTCGTGATATCTAAATTTTGACGGAAAACGTAATATGCGTCATTTATTGAATGATAAGAAATCGAACCATTAAAGGTGGAATTATACTAAAAGAACGCAACATAGAATAAAACCTGTAGCAGAGAAAAGATATAGAACGTAGAAACATGTATGTTTTTTATGCCGCTTGCGTAAGACATGAGCCACGTGGGTCACGGTGCATGGCCTCACGATTAGCAGGTCCTTGCGCTCAGCGGATTTCAGTATTTTTTTTAAATTAACGCCATTTTGGCAACCAACTTTTTACATCACCCAATTTAGGTATTTCCGCGTCATTGTCAGCAGTGGAATGTGTTAACCGTTGCATATAGAAAACGACCGCATCACGCACCTTCACCATAGTATCCCCTCATGCGTTGCTATTTCTCAGAACTATAGTGTTATGCCTCCTTACCTTGTAATTTCACTGCCATTACAAAACGAAACAGAGGTATGAAAGCACTGCTGTCTCTTAGCAGAATCATGCCTCACTAATCATGCCTTACAAACATAGATGATTTGACCATTATTTTGTATGACGTATTGTATAATTGAATTAACTTTTCAATTGAAAAGTCTATGCCTTGATTAAAAAATAATTATTTTATATAACACCTTAAATCCAAAATAAGAACATTTGTATTTGGTATTCCACTACCGTAAATCATTAGAACAGGGCTCCTTTCAATCTTCACTCATTTAAAAATGCCATCTTCTGGAGCAAATAAACTTGAATATTGCTGAAGTGTGTTCGGCGAACGTTCTTAAAATTGTTCGCGAGCATTTTATTAATTGATCACTAACGCAAATGTGCAACATAACAATGTTCTCAGCATATTTATTTGTAATGATTGTAAAGTTGTGGTTAGAAGGGTGGAATATAGCAATGAAATTACGGGGTTTGGAGGTAATAAATAATAATAATAATAAGTTAGGTACACCGTAATCCTTAAAAATGGCAAGACATGAAAGGTATGATGAGCGACACAGTATACTGTGTTAAGTCCGTGGCACTGTTCATATTTATGAGCGAGAATTACCATTTTCCATCAGGTCGACCATCAGCTTATTTGTCATTATAAGTTGCATAAAAAAAATACAACAAACACCGAACAACAGAAGTGAGTGTTCGCTTGTTTAGTGTGACTGCACCTTAAAAACAATGACTAGGTCACTTCTTGTCAGATAATGGTTAATGTATTATCTTTATTGCATTCAAAATAGAAATATTACAATATTGTTATAGATAACAATGTGGACTTAGTTCTAAAAAGGAATTTCTTCCACTTAACCTTGATTTCCTGATTTGATAGAGTTTACTCACGAGTAGGTACTGAAAGAAAATACCATTACTTTTTTGAAATCTAACTCTTATAGTGTGGCTTTGTCGGTTTGTCCGTCCGTCTATTACAGTGTTTTTTCTCAGACTATACAAATCTTGTCAATTTGGAATTTGTAATAATTTTAGATATCATCATCATCATCTTCCTACCCTTATCCCAATCATTTGGGGTCGGCGTAATATGATTTTATCCATATTACAAAAATATTTGTTTTTTAGTTTTACAACCGGCCACCTGCCTGACGTCAAACCTTTTTGGGATTTTAGATATCATTGGCCCAAATATATTGTAGAAAAAATAATTGGAAAAATATTTCTATTTTCTTTTCTATATCTCCAAGGATACAAAAAGGACACTTAAAAATTCAAAATAGTTCCATTAGTCCAAGTAAGGTATCATATAAAAGGGCTTTAAAAAAATAAAAAAATATAATTTGCAATTTAAATAATAATATATAACTTTAAGGGGTTTATTTCGTATAAGAAACATTATAAAAGTCATTTTACATCACATTTATGTACAGAACCCTCGGTATGTAAGTTCAAATTCCAATTTATTGACCTTTAATTCGATGTAGTAATTTTTTACTGTTGCCAGAACAAAAACACTGCCTATTGCTCCTATTAAGGCCTCTTATATAATTATCATTAAATATCTTTCATGTACAGACATTGTGCTGTTGCAGTTTTATTATATTATTAAGATATGAGGACTACGACAATTGGACATTAAGTGGAGTAATGTGACGTCATAGATAAATACCAATATATTTCGAACTAGTGTTTTGCACGCAACTTCGTACGCGTGGATTTCAGAAGCAGAAAAATAGTCTATTTCTAGATAGATAAATAGATAGATACTCTTTATTGTTTCCTCCAAGAGATTACAATAGTAAACTTATTATAAATATGAGGTAACAAAATAAAATATACATCAGTTTTTAAGTTACACTTTAGGAATACAACTGTGAAGACCGCATTCAAATCGCTATTTAATTTGTAGTAAAAGTTTTTGTGTAATGTTAAAACAAACATACAAACAAAATTTCTAAAAAACAATATTGTTTATGTGTCTATTGATCTTATTACCCATATTATTTTTTTAATATCTCCAATGTACTGATGTAGTCTATTTATAATTTTGTTATATGAGTGAGATAAAACTTATTTATTATAAAGACTTGTAAATTCGTCTGTGATAATTTCCACGTTTGATAAAACATTTATTGGGTATATTAACATTAGTCAAACAAATAGGTATGTAGGTATTTATAACCTGATGTTATAATATAATAAAATATTGTGCCTCACAAAACAAAATCGACTTCAATTATGACGAAAATAGTTATTTCTCAAACATGCTTGGAAATGTGAGCATTATTTTGACAATAGAGATAAATCAAAATTGCCGTACTGGCCAGATACATGCGGGCAGCGGCCGGCAAAAGTTGTATGAAAATCCATATCTGTCGTATTTTGCGGCCAGATATATTACTATATAAACTCATATCTGTCCTGTAATTTAAAAATGAAATGATCTTTTACTTCGAAGAAGGAGGTAACTAATAAAAGGTTTTATTTAAATTTCGAAGTAGCTTGCAAATAGAAAGCTGTTTATTGAAAAAAAAAAAACAAAGGAACATTATGGCGCGTGAAAAATTATTATTGTTTGTTATTCGTCATTGAACTTAAAAAGTAAAATTATGTTTTTGATTTCCGCGCATTGTTTGAGAAAAGCTAGACAAGCCTTGGCCACAACTAGGCATTAACGGACTCACGTATATGTGCCACGGCAACACCTCGGCCCGCACGCACGCATTTGCACGTTCGTCCATCAATGCCTCAGTTGCTGGCCGCTGCAGTAATGTACTATTTTATTCTATAAACTAAATTACTGAATCGACCGATAAAATGTCTATGGAACCAATCTGTAAATATATCCTTTCATGTGAAGGAGGAATTTTCTAAATCGGTTCACAACTGACGGAGTTATGAAGTAACAAACATTAAAAAAATACAACCGAATTTAGTAACTCCTTTTTTTTTTGAAGTTGGTTAAATTTTCGGTTAAGATTTTAAAATTAAAATTAATTGTCAATTATCAAATGTGCATACATTTACATACACAGAATTTTTGTATTGTGATAACAAAACGGTAATCACAACACAAAAAACCATTATAATCACCAATATTGCTAATATAATAAAATTGAAAGAAATATGTGAGGGATCTTAATAAGACCAATATTATGCTAAACAATTTTTTTTAGAAATTTTGTCTATCTTTTTACGTGATACCGAAATTAATATAGAGACAGGTAATGATATGTATTAATTTCAGTATCACGTAAAAAGTATTGCACCATATTTATGCAGTTATCAGAATTGTGTTCTTGAAAGGCTATCTAAAAATATGGTATATATTTTATCTTGATACGCCACCTAAAAGTAATATATTTCGTTGGTTCTATTTCTAAAACCCAAGCGTACTAATTATTGAGCGAAGAGTTAGTTACTTTATAAAGATATTTACAAAATTTAAAATTTTGTCGTAATAAGAAGATAAACAATTTGAAATTTTCCGAAAAGAATTTCTACTGGTTTTCAGTTTAAAATAATAGTCTGAATTCACTGTTTCAATTTTTACCAACCTGTCCCTTACACCCTGTATATGTAACGGAAAATTAATGAACTCGCTACGTTTGTGTACCCTCGCACAATTCAGGGAATTGTTGCGATCTCCAAAAGACAAAGACTCACTGGGAGACTCCCGGAGTTTATATAATTCCATGTGATTGCTGTAAATGTTACATAGGTGAGACAAAGAGAAATGTATCGACAAGGCTGGCCGAGCATATCAACTAAGATGAAGAGTGTACCTAAACACGGATAGTTCCGCTATACCGAAGCACGCTTTGTCGTCCGGTGTGACATTACTATATACATTTTAACAAGGCCCGAGTCTTAGCGAGAGAGAAGCTGTTCATTCCTTGCAACGGTCGTCACCCTAATTTTAATAGAGACAAAGGATGGATTTGCCTCAACTTCAAGGATGCTGAAAATAACTACATGAATTAGGGAAAGAAGAAACAGTGAGTTTTGTGTATCAGAGTATGTTAAATAACTCAGAAGAGAGTAGTAGCGAAGAAGAGAGTCCTTCACAATCATCAATAACTACACGAGATATAGCTACTCATCTCCGACAACACTATTGTTTCCGGTCACCGCTATCTCCGCCGCGACCCCACCCGCACCGAAGTCATCACGGGCTATGCGAGCTGCGAATCACTGTGCTAGCTGATACGGGCTGCACTGTGGGGGTCAGTGCGAAGTGAGACGCTGTGACGTAAAGCGCCAAACGTCCCCTGAAGAAGACTTCTGTATGAAGTTGGAAACGACAAAAACACATTGTGTTGTTGTCGTTTCCAACTAGTAGTGTAGTAAAGTAGTAAGTAGTGAGTTCATTAATTTCCCGTTACATATGTATGTAATAGACATTATTTAATTATACCTAGAGTTGGATAAAATCGTCGAGAAAAGCAAAATATTTTTAGAAAAAAAAAATGTAATTTTCTAAAAGGTATCAAAATGATCATTTTATTATATGGGGCCGCACAGATCATGCTGTATGCAATACTGTCTTAAATTAATTACTAATGGCTCAAACGAGATGTTTGAACATTTGAATATTTGGTCAGATCGTCGAGGTATTGTCTGACGTGGCCCTATTAAAGTACACTAGTACCGGACAACGTTGTCCGACACTGCCCCACCGGAATACACTAATGCCGAGCATATTGTCCGACACGACCCCACCGGAATACACTAGTGCCGAACACATTATCCGACACGGCCTCACCGAACACACTAGTTTCGGACAACATTGTCCGACACGACCCCACTGGAAAACACTAATGCCGAATATATTGTCCGACATGACCTCACCGGAATACACTAGTGCCGAATACGTTGTCCGACACGTCCTCACCGAAATACGCTAATGCCAAACACATTTTCCAAAACTGCCCCACAGGAATACACTACGACTGTACGTGCCGACGACATTTTCCGACAGGCCCCCTCAGAACACAGTAGTATCGGACTACATTCCCTGACAGTGCTCGTATGGAAAGGCATAGATTTATATCTCGGCATTCAATGTATTAATATTTAATTTTGGTGTTTATTTACTTTTTTATAGAATAATATTTTTTAGGCGTTATAAAAAATTCTAATTCTAATACAGTAATGAATGATATCAAATGTACAATTTATTTTAAATCCTAATGTATACATGTAATAATCATATTACTAGATTTACTAGTTTGTCTTTTATATACAGATGTATATTTTATCTTTTAACCCAAATGTTTATATTATTTGAAAACATCTAGACGTATTCATTAGAGATTTAAACACAGTCCCAAGTAGTCGTTTGATAAAATCTTAGATAAAATATATTGATAACTGTGTAGTCTTTTAAAAATTCAGTTATTATAACATTTAATTAGTACCTATCGCAGTATTTGTAAACGTAATGTAAGTAATATTAATAAAATTCCTTTAATTATAAAATTGTAATAATTACTTATTTAATTGTTTCATTAAATTTGATATAAATTTGTTACAATGCAATATTTTTCTATACTTACATCATATGCTTGCTACAATAAATTGGGTATCGTAAATAATGTATAATGAATTATAATTAATTTTAGATATTATAATTAACCAATTAAAAAGAGGCAATGAAGAAGAAGAAATATATGTATAATGATGCCAAGTAATTAGTCCGCATGAATTATGACTGTCAATTGCCAATTAATTTTCATAGAAATCTGTGAAATAAAATTGCATATTAATTTTTGCTCGAACTAATATTTTTTCTCGTTTTATTTTGTATGCTAAATATGTGTGTATAAATGTACCTGGTTTATAACCAGAATCCTAGACGCATGTTTTGCAATTTTTGTAAAAAAAAATGCAAAAATTTGTAAAAAAGCGCAGTTGAAGATACAAAGTTTGTTTTTAATTCTGTATTATGTAATAAATATTTCATAACATATATTATGTAATACATATATACGTATACATACACGTCTTGTAATATATTTTATTATTATTAGTTGGCCTGGTAAACGTCGTTTTCTTCACTATAGCATCAACCGGGTTCATTTTTTCTTTTCAGAGTAAAATATCCTAACTTTCAAGTTAGAACATATAATATACATAAATAAATAAAATTTACAAAATTACATTAAAACCGATTAAGCCATTTTGGAGGTTAGCTTATACGAACATGGTATAATCATATATGAAGATTTCTTAAATTTTCTTTTATCAAATTGTATGTCCCCCCCCCCCCCATATAACTTTTTATTCAGAACAAAGTATTAGTAAGAATTTCAGTGCGATTGTTATATAATAACATTTTATATATTAGTAGTGTTTACCCACGACTTTGTGTGACCAGTATAAATTCTTTCCATCCCAGATTCCGTGTCGATTCATTGAGTTGTTAAGACGCCACGAGGTCACAAACAAACAAACTCGCTTTTATATTCATCATAAAGTATCAGAGAGTTTTTTTTGATGCTATTAAAATATTAACCATAATAAAATAAATAAATTTAGTGAAAGTAACAATCTAAAAACAAATTCTTCGAGTACTTACTTACCTATATGTGTGTTTAAATTTAGAAAAATGCCGAAACGACAGAGATATAATATCAACAACTCAGTACACTGGTTCATGAACGAGCTGACGTCTCGTGTAGTAGCCGAGTCTGGAAATCCTAACGACAGGTACCATCTTGGGAAGGTCCTGTTGCAGAGCTTCAAGGACGATCCTGACTTAGTGACAATGGTAAGATTATTTGCAATTAGTAGCGGGAACTAGTGGCCACATTATTAACATATCAGGTCGACCTCCATACGGTCTCTACAGGAAATATTCGTGGTTAATTCTAAAGAGTCATAAGACTAAGGGAGTTTATTGTGGAGGGATGGACAACAGTGTCCCTCTTAAAACATCACTAAAAGCCAAACTGCAGTTGCCAACCCGTCTGCCAAGCGTGGCAAGTACTGGCAAAAGCCCTCTTATGGGGAAGTCTATGTTCAACAGTAGGCAATTAATGGCTGATACCTCAATTCTAAATGCATCCGTCACGAAAGATGAACTGACCTGTTTTTACTTTCACGTACTTATACGTATACTGATAAGGAAAAAGGAGATACCATTCCGTTATCATCCATTAAAAAATTCATACTTCGATTATTAATAACTAGATTCATAATAACCATATTTAATGTAAATTTTAATATTAGAAGTAGCTTTACTGAAATGGCGTCCCAGAATCGACCCCAGTGATGTCCAGTGATGTTAGGAGTTGGTAAAATATATAGTTCAATATCTATATGTTTTAGTTACAATATCCATATACTGGCTAATAACGAATATGTTAAGTCTGTTTTCCAAACTATAATATTGGATAACAGAGTTATATATTTGAAAATAGATATCTGACTGATATAGGCGATATTAAAATTGGTGATCACCTTTTCTCCGCCATCAATGTCCAGAGGAACCAAATATATAGATATCGGATCGGTATATTACCCATGCCTAGTAGCTATGTTATTTTAATGCAGACATTTTTTGGATACTATTTCAAATTTTTTATTAACATTCCATAATGTTATAATGGATGTCTACTGGCATAACACAGCAAATAACAATCGAAGAGCTGGCCATTAGGATTTTTTTCTTTAATTCCTTCATTATTGAGACAAGAGCATGATTATATATATTTTATTGCAATTTATATTGATATTAAATAATATCTAGTTATTATAGTGTACTCATACAGTTACACATAGTGTTTACAGATATTTGCGGGCATCTGTATATTTATTTATATAAAAGGTTTATATATTTTCCTTTATATCAATAATAATATATTCACCAACTCACGAACACATAACACAATACAATTTTACGCAACTAACGATCTACGTAGTGAAGTTGCTTTGTATGATCAGGGGGCCTACCATGAAATGAAATTCCGAAGTTTCGGAATCAATTTCGTGTTTTCGTTCATACCTAAATCGGCCCAGTAAATGAAGCTTAACATTTAGTTCGTCATAAATCTTACTTAAAAGTCCATAGGAATAATATTTTAATGTTTCCAAACGGTAAGAATTATGTAATTTTAATATCAAATTTGTGTTTCGTTCGGCTCCGAAATTTCGATAAACATTTCATGGTAGGCCTTCAGGTGATAATGGAATGGTAACTTCGCCTGTGCTATCGGTATACACTGGCGGATCACCAGTGAATTGATAATAGATGAGAATGAAATAGGTCAGTTGGCCCATAGTGACGAATCATTTATGAATTATTGAATAATTCAGATGGTTTCCAGGGAGATCCGCGTGGAAGTCGATCTGACATTGCTAGCAACGGAGCTGTTAGATCCTAATTACTAATTGTCTCTTTCCCCCTAACAGCTTGATATTGATAGGTAACCATTAGAACAAGTCAAATATATAAACATAGTCAAACATAATAATCATTCAATTCCCTAGATCGATGGAGGGACAGGAGAATCGATTACAAACAAAGAGGTTTTGGAGCGGTCGGTGCGCTGTGCCAACTCATTGAAGAACTTGGGGTTGAAAACCGGTGACGTCATAATCCTGCTGGGTCCTAATCATATAAATATATCTATTCCATTTTATGCTGGCTTGTACCTTGGAATTGCGGTGGCACCTGTCGATAGAACATTTGGTGTCAGTAAGTATTTATCGTGTTTTAAGACATCTCCATGTTTAAAAAAGGATTTATTTATAACTGGACTACGGTAATTTAATATACTATGTAATGAGAGGAGAAACACTGCAACTTTGTGTAAACACTGTGTTCACCTTGAAGAAGACTTCAACGTGAAGTCGAATCAAGGGTCAGCAACGCATGCGTGACATCAGAAGGGCCGTTTGCTTGTTTACCACTATAGTAGCACAAAAAAATGTTAGAAATAATACTACTTCTTATGGGTACTTCTGTCTCATTCGTGTTTCAACCGTGAAGCAGCTGTATTTGCATGGCTGTGTTTCGGTTTGAAGGGTGCGATATGGCGTGAATTTACTGGGTACAGAGGAATAAGACCTGAGTCCTCAGGAATGGCAACGCATGGGGGGTATCATGGGCGAAATAGTATAGTCTATTATGTCCATGGTACTGCTCATGTCTATAGGCGACAGTTACCACTTTCCATGAGGTGGATCGTCAGCTTGTTTGCTATTCGAAGTAAAAAAATCGTAAAATAAAAAATGATAAATACTCATTTCAGGGGAACTGCAAGAAACATTCAGGGCGGACGAGCCAAAAATAGTATTCTGTCAGAACGAAAAAGCCCATGACGTGGACACGGCTCTCAAAGGCTTGAATTTAGATACGAAAATAATAACGTTCGACAAAGGAGATTATTGTAATTTCTCCGATTTCTTAAAACAATATGGCGGCGAATCTAAAGTAGAAGATTTCGAGTAAATATTTACTTAAATTTAATTTATTATTTTATATAAATTATGTTACTAAAAATCCTCAAATATATTACGGGGAGTGCATGTGGCTCAGTACCAGTCCATATGGCAGCCTATGTTCATCAGTGAATAAATAAAGGCTAAAATGATGATTATGATAATCCTACAACTTCTTACAAGTTATATTTACTTCTGACTATTGCGTCTGGAAGTGTGGGTGTGAGGCGCCATAAGTTTGTTTGATGTACTCAAAAAAGTAGGGAAATATAGAAATAGTAAATATAGTAAATAGTTTACTTGCCTATCTACTATATGGTACGTACTGTCGATAACGAACAAATGTCTAGATAAGTCGACCTTAGTTTCTACTCTACACAAATAATCTTTAATTATATATATTATTAGTTATAAAGTATAAATAAAAATATATTTTTCTGCGTTATATTCTTTTATCTACTGTTCTAATCTGTCATCACTAGTATTATAGTTGTATATATATATATATATATATATATATATATATATATATATATATATATATATATATATAACAATAATAATAGTAACAATATTTATAGTTATATTAGTAGGAAATGCACCGCTTACAAATTTTCTGCTTGCCTCATGGTTGACTGGTAGAGAATGCCATAAGGTGTTAAGTTCACCATATTTACACTTATTTATATAATTGTGCATTGAATTTTAAATACATGTATAAATGATTAAAATAATACTTTACACTTTCTAAGGTTATGCCGATGAAGAAGTCATTAGCTTCAAGTTCGTACTTTGTACGCTTTATTGATTAATAAAGTTTAAATAAATAACAAGATACATTAGTAATAAGATCGCATTTTGTAGGTACTTGCAATCGCTTCAATATTTTTTCTACACGTATATTATTTATCAGTATTAATTCAATAAAGTGTAGCAAATAAATAAATAACACATTTTATGAACTTAATGAATGGATAACTTGTTCCTTACAAACAATTTAGTGTTCTACAATTTTAGGGTTGCCAATTTTGATCCGAGCGAGACGATTTCATTTCTGGTATCAACTAGTGGCACCACTGGTTTACCCAAGGCAGCAGTGGTGACACACAAGAATGTAATTTCATCATTCCCGTACATATGGTGAGATTTTAAGATTCTGTCTTACTACAAAAATAACTTATAACACTATCTAAATAGTGTTTAACAAAAATTCTTAAATGAATAAATGTTTACTCAATGTAATATGTCTATTACTACGAGTATCTAGCGATCCGACCCAACTTCGCACGAGTAGACAGAATTTTCGAAAATCAATACGTATAATAAATAAAGTTTCAATCAATTCAACTAATCGGTTGTTTTATAGCATTTTTTTTTGTATGGTTCTTTAGATTGATATATTTTTTCTTATTTATGAACTGATTGAAATTAAACAAACACTAAATGTTAAGTAGAGCAAACCAAAACGCATTAGTGAAAACCGCATTTAAATTAGTTAAGCCGTTTCTGAGATTAGCGTGCACAAATGTAGACAACGTATAGGCAAACAGACAAAAATTCTGAAAATCATTGTTTAGGGTTCTATCGCGTTCATAAAGCCCCTCTTTAATAGTTTTTCTTATATATCTTCCATGTACAGACAGCGACCGGTTACGATTTTATTATATGTATTGATTTTATGTTAAAATCTATAGATTTTATTATACCTAATGAAATGTATTATTTTAAACTCCTTTTATCTTTATCACGATTAAATTTCTTTCATTTAGACATAAACATATGTTGTAATAAAATTTCTCAACATATTTTTAATACAGTTTTTTTCCTCAGGAGTAAATTTGACACTTTCCCGGCACCAACCAGACTAGCTGTAGTGGTTTCTCCTTTACAATGGTTGACAGCTATCGCAATGTTTCTGATGTCTCCAATATTCAGGTTCACAAGACTTCAGACTTCGCTTGCTTTGACGCAACAACACACATACCACCTAATAAATACATATAGAGTAAGTATTACATGTTAAAATAATTTATACTATATGTATGTATTTCAAGAATGTAATGCTTTAATATATTTCAATATTATTTATTATGTTACTAGGCCAGGCATGACATCTTAGCCCTTAGTATCTTGGACGATACAGTATACCTTGCTATGTCCATGTTACTGTTTATAGGCAACGGTTACCACTTTCCATCAGGTGGGCCGTCAACGTCTTTGCCATTCAAAGATGCATAAAAAAATGAGTTAAGTAAGTTTATATAAGTTAAGAATTTTCGTGTGAACAAGTTGTCATGTTTGTAATTTGTTGAGTATACTCACATTCTTTTAATTTTTTATTTTTTTTTATTTTGTTACTTCATATATATGGGTATTCGTATCTTTTCGTATTTATATGTATATGTATTTATACATTTATATGAATTTATTTAAGTATGTATCAATAAGTTAAAATGTACGTTTATACATTCACATTATTTTACATATTTTATCTTTATATATATTTAAAAAACGAACAGTTTCGTGCCTCCGGTCAAACTGTTTATAATTGTTCTTCTCTATCCAAAGGTTGCCTGATAGAGATTGCTCTTAGCGATAAGGCCGATTGTTTTCTCAATGTAATCTTTTCTTGTAATTATTTGTATTATATTTTTTTTTAATAAGTTTACTAATGTAATCTTTTGGAGAAAACAATAGTCTATCTATCAATATACATATATAATTAATCCATTAATATACATGTATAGTATTATGTGTAAATTGTTTATAAAAATAAAATAGTCTTTACATAACAATTTCAAATAAAAATACTTTCTTATTTATACATTTTAGGACGTGATTTTTCTGTAGTCGATTTTTAGTTTTTAAATATATTATTGAATGGAATAAAGATTGTTAATAAATTATAATTATTTTCCAGCCATCCTTCTTGTTAATATCACCAACGTTCGCAGCTACGTTATTTCGGCCTGGAGACCGGGACAATTGTGATTTTACTTGCTTTGACATCATTCTAATAGGTGGCAGTGCAGTGCCACAGACCCTTATAGATGAAATAAAGGTAAGTTTTGTATTTGCATGGCACTGTGTTTCGATTTGAAGGACAATTTGGCAATAAAATTACAGGGTACAGAGGCATAATACCTTAGTGCTCAGAGATGGCCACACATTAGGGGTGTCATCGACACAGTATACCTACTCTGTTGTTTCCATAGTTCATGTCTATAGGCGACGGTTACCACTTTACCACTTTCCATCAGGTGGGCCGTCAGCTTGATTCCCTTTCTAAGTTGCATAATAAAAAGTAACAATTATAATTAGACAATGTCTATAATACTAATACAATAAGTGATATTTTTAATACCACTGAGGTAGCAAACAAACCACTTGATGGGAAGCGGTTACCGTAGCCTAAGAACGCCTGCAATACCAGGGTTATTACGCGTGCGTTGCCGACCCTGAAGAAACCTCATTACTACTTTTTTGAAGAACCCCATGATGTAGCCTCTTGGAGAAACTTTGACAGGGAGCTTATTCCATTATAACGAAAATAATATAATAGTTAACATAACTCAATTTATTCACTTACCAGCTTTTATATTAAAAATTTTTAAAATTTTAATGGAGGTAACATAATCTTAAATTATGCATTGCAGAGAATCAGTGGATGCCGGTGGCTCAGGACCGTTTCTTATGACAGTCCATGGGGGAGGCCTATGTTCAGCAATGGATAGAAAATGGCTGAAATGATGATGATGATGTAGCTTAAATTATGTTATTTGTATTTACCAATGGTATCAATTATTAATAATTATTTTTTATCAGTCAATAATACCAGAGACGGAGGTGCTAAATGTTTATGGATTAAGTGAATTGAGTGGTGTTGGATTGATTCACCATTTTGGTGATAATGCTCCACGAGGTTCTTCTGGACAACCATTGGGGCATACACAGTGCCGGGTAAGTTGTTTGTTATTATTTTTTTTTTATTTGATTTATTTTTATATTTTTATTTGTTTTCCGATTTATACTATATTACTGATAAACATGGCTATGGATATTTGTTTTAATATAATAAAATAGAAATAATCTTTATTCAAATGAACTTATTTACAAGCTCTTTTAAATCATTATTTTTTTATGATTTTACTGTTGAGTTCAGGATTTTGTTATCTACTGAGAAAACTCTGCAAGAAACTCAATAGTCACTCTTTTCAAATTATTATGTATGAAAGAATTTTCCATTTGCGTGACTGCTGTGAGCATAGTTAGAATTATGTTCTATTTATATGTATTATTAAATGGAAAATAAATCAGCAAACATGAGCAGATCAGTCCGCACAAGTAGCATCTTTTCATGAGTATGACGAATGAGCCGGCCATCATTGCGCTCAACCATATTTTAGGGAACTCAACAACCCACCCATCTCATCATTCACCTGGAATCAAGCACGATAGTTTCCAGGGAGACCGCAAAGAGATCAATCTGACATTACTAGCAATTGAGTTGCTATTCCACGTTATCAACAATCCTTCCCTCCGAAATTATTACGTTATTTTAAAGTAGAGATTTTAATTTCCATTATTAGCCGATATTTTAGTATATTCCTAAGAATAGAAAAAAGCAATAAAGGGAAGATATATTCAAAATACTGCTAATAAATTTTACTTAAAGAAAACAAATAAAAAAATAATAATAAACTGTATTTTATTTATTTATTTCAACTTCAATCAACGTCAACGTCAATCATGTATTAAGAATTTTTTTGAAAGCCGTTTGCCACAGTCATGATACAAATAAAAATATGTGTTCTTAACCTGTTTTTAATAATATTAATTTCATTTTTAGTTGGTAAATCAAGATAATGAAGATATATTGGAACCAAACGTACCGGGAGAACTCTGGGTGAAATCACTAGGATTGTTCAAAGTAAGACATTTGAATATATCAAATTATTCTTATTTTTATATAATTATCTATCTTATATGTCTATGAGCATTAAAGTTATTCATATATCTTGAATTAGTAAATAAGCTGACTGATGGAAATTTGAAAACCGTCGTAACATGAACACCATCAGAGACACAATACTCCACATGTGTTGCTTATTCCTTAATGTCACTTACATTCCCATTAACATTTACGTACCTTCGATCCCAGTAGGTCTACCATGACATGACATTCTGAAATTTTGGGCTCAACTTCATATTTTTGTTCACACCGAAATCGGCCCAGTAAATGGAGCTTAACATTTCGTTCGTCATAAATCCCACTATAAAAGTCCAAAGTAACCATATTTTAACATTTTTAATATTTTTAAACCATATATATTATGTAATTATAACATCAAAATTGTGTTTCGTTCGGCTATGAAATTTCGGAAAACATTTCATGGTAGGCCCTCAGTAATTTTGCAACCATAACACACACTGAAAGAACAGTTGCTTGTAATTGCCCAATTGCAATTTTCTTATACAACAATTTTAAAAAAGAAATTAAGAATGTCTTAAAAGAAGACTAGAACTAACAGCGGACTGCAGTGGGCTCATTATGATGTTAATAATGAATTTTCTTACATAATAAGACATTTTTTTTGTGATATGTTTACGGCTTTGTATATCCTTTTAGCCCATCTTTAATTTCTATAATTTCATTTCAGGTAATATTTTTCTTGAAATATGTCTATAATTGAATCCATCTTGATGTAATTATAGTGTTTTAATAGTGTGGAGGATAAATTCATAAATAATTAGATACGAGTATGTATCAATGATTTGAAGGATAGATGTCATGAGACGGGGTATCTGTTTATTTTTATATAAACTTATTAAGTCATCTACCAATATAGGTAAAGTCTTTGTAAGTCTTTGTAAAGCAAAGGCCGGAAATGTTTTACAATACGACATTGACGTATTTAGTGATGTACAATATTCACTGATAATTTTACAAGTTCAATTGCAGTGATTGTCAATTTTATTAACATTTTGAAGGACGTCGATAACAACTACAATACACGTACATCGCTGTCATATCGTTTGTATACTTGATAAACGCTTCAATCATGATATTGTCTGTTCATTTAAATTATTGACGTAACGCAATGTTTCCTAAAGATACATATTACTGATTAGCTGTACGCCGTGGTTTTACACGCATGAATCAGTATGTAAAGTTGTTTAAATTCCATGTTAGGATATAACCTATTCGTGTATAAAAATTTCATTTAAATCCATTCAGTAGTTTCTACGACAAATGATAACAAACATCCATTTGTCCTTACAAACTTTCGCATTTATAATAATAAGTAGGATTCATAGAAATTTTGTTAGATCGTCGGTCTTCATACTTAAAAAAGTTTTACGATTTTTTACTATTTTAATCGACTTTAAAAAGAGGGAGGTACTCAATTTTGTTGTATTTTTAATGTTTATTACTTCATAACTCCATCAGTTGACGGATTTGGAATTTTTTTTTATCTGAAAGGATATACTTACAGATTACTTCTATAGAATTTTTTAAAATACAGTTCAGTAGTTTACTTTTTAAATCAAAACAACCGGTTTTGCCACAATTAAAGTAATTTTTTTATAAACATTCTTATTAAATTTCTGAACCGAAACAATACACATTAAGCCTATTGTATATGAAAGATCTTCGTGTGCATATACTGAGACTAGGTTTTGTTTTTTTTTTTTTTTATTTATTTTTTTATTTAGGGATACTACAACAATCCTGTGGCAACAGCAGAAACTTTTAGCGAGGATGGCTGGTTCAGAACTGGAGACTCCTTCTACAGAGATGACAATTGGAACTTTTACTTCACGGAGCGTATTAAATTATTATTAAAATACAGAAATAATCAGGTAAATATACAATATACAGAAGGAACCCTTATTAATGTTATAAAGAGGAAAGATTTTTTTGTTTGTTTATCTGTAGGGGATAAAATCAAATTATAATGATAACATACACTGAATATATTATTTTCAAAAATTTTATCCATTCGTGCGAAATTGGATTCATATATATATATATATATATATATATATATATATATATATATATATATATATATATATATATATATGATAGACATAGGCTATGACCAATAAACATAGTTCGAGGATGAAGTCACGGGTAAAAGGCAATAGGTAATGATATAAAACAGTAAAGAAATTGATGTAATAAAAAAACAGTTATAAAAAAACTAAACGGTAAATAAGTAAGAATGGGTAATATTTAGTAATATCTATATATTGTAGTTACAATACCTATACATATATTGGCCCAATAACAGATATATTAGATATCGGTTATTCGATATACAATACAGAAAATCATATAGATATCCAAGTGCTATGGGCGATGTCGCAGTATATCAATGTCTAGAACTCATTATATAAATATCGGATATTACTTATCTCTATAAATAAGTATGAAGTTATAAAATATATAAAATTTGTTTATGTACCTATGAACAATTTCGAATTAGAAAATATTTCAATTTAGAAAATATAATTCACTAGCAGTTTCCGACTTATAAAGTATCCTGTGTTAATTATATTATATTGTGATAAGATAATCTACCTATTATAAAATTGCATAGAAATCCGTTCAATCATTTAGCCGTAATTGAGTAACAAATATCAAAACTTTTTTTACAAAGTTTCACATTTTACCAATTTATTTATTTATTTAAATAATATAATAAATAAAATTGTACCTAATATTAATATAATAAAATTGTAACTACACGATATCTATATAGATGCCAAAGCAATATTTTTCAGAAATTTTGTCTGCATGTTTATTCCGGCATCACGCAAAAATTATTGCATCAAATTAAACGCGATTTTCGCCATCAGATGGTACACCAGATATATAGTTTACATATCTCGTTTTATAGATATCCCCGTTGGAAGTAGAAAATGTGATCCGGCAACACCCTGGCGTCTTTGATGTGGCAGTAACCGGTATACCAGATCGCGAATGCGGCGATATACCGGTCGCATGCGTAGTTCCGAAACCAGGAGTTTCTGTAAAAGCGCAAGAAATTAAGGACTTGGTAAAAGGTGAGATTACGCAATTTTAAATTTTAAATAAAAAATGTCACAGTATACTTCAAGGTTATGTTATCTGTCTTTTTGAATGCAATCCGTAGAAACTAAAAATGGTTATATTTTTCTCTATCTTATTTATTTTACACTTTATTGCAACATTTATAAAAATAAAAATACAGTAATTTTTAATGAGAAATGATACAAAAGGTAATCGCTAAGCAATCTCTTCCAGATAACCATTTACAACATTTCATATCTTTATAAAACTTTGTAGCTTCTCCTTCATGGAAGCCTAGTGCCTAATATCTATACAGAAATGTTTTTAACTAACTTATTAGTAATTATAATCATAAGCATTTTTCCATCTATTTATTCAGCACATATTAAACCACTCATGGGCATAGGCTTCCTTTTTGTTATGCAATTATCCTGTGCTAACCAATTCCACCACTTCCCCGCTACCCGCACTCATCGAATCGGTGGTCTACCTCTGTTCTGGTATAGATTGTTCTTTGCCCTCCACTTGGGCACCATTTCATCACAGCTTTGGTCCGCCTTCAAAAGCATATTAATAAAAAAGAGAAAGGCTTGAATAGGATATAAAAAATAAAAAGAGTAATTTAAAATTATTATATGTTTCACAAAAAAAAAACATTCAGTTGTAGCAAAACCAGTTATTTTGATTATAAAACTAAACTATTGAACCAATTTGGTTTAAATTTCTATAGGATCAATTTGTAAGTATATTCTTTTAGATAAAAAAAAAATTCAAATCGATTTATAACTGACCGAGTTTTGAAGTAAAAAATATAAAAACTATACAACCATATTGAGAACGTCCCTTTGAAGTCGACTGAAAAGAGAAAAAATATAAAAAATGAAAGTAAAATAATAAATAAGAGATATCAATTAATTAATCATTCATAATTATTATTTTTTTTTTACAGCATCGCTATCTGATGATAAACAACTGAGAGGAGGGGTGATATTTTTGAATGAGTTACCCATTAACGCCAATACAAAGTTAAATCGACGGAAACTAAAGGAAATGGTCCTCGTTATGGAAAGAGAGTGAAATAAGCCATCGTATTAAATATTATTGAGAATTTTAAGTTAGTTAAATATGAAATAATTATTTAATTGTTCTTATAGCTATATACAATAGTTCAATTAAAAAAAAAACATAACTATCTCTTTATCATGCACAAAATAGGCAACATACAGAATCTAAAAGGTCGGCAGCGCACCTGCGATGCTTCTGGTGTTGCGTGTGATCATGAGCTGCGGTGGTCACTTACCATCAGGTGAGCGGCATGCTCGTTTGTCCCCTGTGTTGTAAAAAAAAATCGATATAGATGGAATTAAGGAAAGCAAAAAAATAATAGTGTTTATAAAAGTATTAAAATAACATGTAGTTATTATAGTATTAAATGTTTTCAATATAGAAATTATATAATATAATATAAATAATAGTTTTATTTATACTTATTATTATACCTAGTTAAGATGGTAAGTAATAAATATTGGATAAACATTGGCAAAAAATTGCCAATCATACCTACTATATGATCTTTAGTATGTCTAAAGTTAGCCTAAAGACAGGTGTTTATTACCGATAAATCGATTGGGACCACAATCTCATAATGAATCTTGGATTCGATAATGTGATAAAATTGATTAATAATTATTCATTGATTATAAAAGACAAAGAAGCTATCAATTAATCACTAAAATCGATTATGCAATATAATCGATAATTGCTAGTTATACGAAATAATCGATTATTTGCAATTAATTGATGGTAGTGTTTTAAAGGACCTATAGGCGATAGTATGGACTGTATGTATTTTGTGTGTGTACTCGTATATAATGGTTTCATACAAGTAGATATAATAAAACTATAGATAAAAAGGAAAATAATTATAATAAACAAAGTACGAGAATAATTATAATAAACAAAAAACAAGAACGATCGAGACAGATCAATGCAATTTGATAATAAATATGAATATAAAAACAGAAAAATAAAAACAAAAGGAGTTTTCAATACTACCTATTAATATAATCGATACTATCGATAATTATCACTACTGTCGACAATCTATTATAGACTATATTCGAAATCTTATACGATTTTATATCGATAAATCAATCATTATTTTGATTAATCTGAGCTGGTTAATAAATAATAGGTTTTTAGTTGGCAAGACTAGAATACTATAGTACCTTACCATCTTTTACCGTTACACAATAAATACAATAATAATATAATATTTAACAAAGACTTTACCCTTTAGAGATATTAAAATATACTGTTTTCGATTAGGTAATTATTCTATTGTCTATTCACAACAAAATGACTTACATAAAAGATTATGTGACTTTAATCCTACATTACACTTACATTACATTTTATCTTCTTTACCACCTAAAAGGGGAGAAGCGACTGTTATGTTAGGGGCTGATTACTATCCGAAGGAAATGTAAGTTCAAAGCAAATTTAATAAATTTATAATATTTCTTTCAGCGATTTTGATAATTTTTTTATTAATTTTATTTTTTATTAATGCGTACGTATTACATTAATAATATTAGATGCGTTTATAATAAATAATTATTTTTTTCTTAAATACACCATCAAAACAAAACAAAATTATTTACGTTAGCGTATATTCATTGTTCATCAATTACGACATGTTATTATTTAAATAAATTTGGGCAAGCCGAGTTCTTAATTCCTACAATGGATTCCTTATACTTAATAATGATATATTTTACTAGCGATCCACCTCAGCTTCGTACAGACAGACAGTAAGAAAGGCAAATTAGTATTTTATATTAACTTTAATTGGCCGTGTGATCCCGGCATAGAATAGGCCACCCCTTCCTTTGCCATGGGTGTCGTAAGAGGCGACTAAAGGAAGGCGAGGAATGGGCAGCAGCGTCCATCTTGAAATATTTCCAAAACATAACTGCGATTACCAATGCCTGCCAAGCATGGCAACTACTGGCAAAACCCTCCTTTTGGGGGGAGGCCTATGTTCTTAAGCATAGCTTGCTAATGTAAATTTAAAATCTAAATACTCTTAGGTATATATTTAGTGTATTAATGTTGTACCTATTCAATAATATTAGCAAACACACGCCAAATCACATTTGCTCAGTATTTTGTACTAGCTTTTACCCGCGACTTTGACTGTGGATCGGAATGTGGTGATAGCCTGAGATAAATAGTAGTATATATCCTTCTCTGTCTGAAATTATATTTGTATAATTCATACTGGTTGATTCAGTCATCAAGGCGCCAAAAGGTAATGAACAAACTTACTTTCATATTTGTAAAACTAGCTGTATCCTACGGGCAATCCTACCCGCAATAATCAATATATAAAGTAATATACATTCTAATTCAGGATATAACTTACTTGTGTATCAAATTTTATTTAACTTCGTTAAGTAGTTTTTATGTAAAGGAGTATTTAACAAATATCCATTCGTGTTTATATCCTCACAATCTTTCGCTTTTATAATAGACATTTCAATGTCGCCAATATCGATCGGATATCTATTTTCGAATATATTAAAGGTCTGTTATCCAGAATTATTTTTTGTATAACAAACTTTTAACTTATTCATTAATGGACCAGTGTATAGATATTGTAACTAAAATAAAGGTAGAATTCGAGAAACTTTCTCACTGATCCCTAAATTTTATTATTGCGATTCTGAACAGCGAGCATACATAATTACATTTAGTTAAATAGTGTATGTCGTTAAGAATAGTTCTGACAGAATAAAAATGGAAAGATTTTTGGACAAAAAATATAAGTTGAAAACTTCGGACTGCTTTGAAGAATATATGAAATTTCTTGGTTAGTAAGTTTATTTTTTTCTGATACTTAAAGTAACAATCAAGCTGGCAGCCTACTTTATGAAAAGCTGTAACCGTCACCCATAGACATGAAGAACAACTCAGAAACAAAATGTGTGCTCCTGTTTAGGTATTCTTGTAATACATAAACAGGGGCATAGGTTCATAGTGTAAAAAACAACCAGTGTACCGACGCCTTTGGCATGCCCCAAACGATAACTCGACAAATCGAAATGCACATGATGATTGTAGACTTGTCTATTAGACGTCTTGTCTGGAAGGAAAAATTCTTTAGACTGTGGTTCTAGTGTACTTACAGATATTTGTTTTCTAGTTTCTTTGAAAACAAGTTATTTTAATTTATAATCCAGGCAATTGTTTTAAGATACTTAATGAATGCCACGATTTCCACGCAATTAAACGCCATTACATGAACCATAGAGATGGGATACTAATTAATGTGCCAATAAACAAGGTCTGTCTATTCGCATATTAGTCGGCCCTATCGATTGACTTTATACATCTACTTAATATAAAAAAAGGAGCCTACAATATCTACTATTAACATTTTGCTTATTTGTACAGTAGGTTTGTTATTTCTGTAGATGTAGATACTAAAAAATATTTAAGTATTGTTTTTTTCGAGTTTATTTTTTTATAACATTGCTTGACCTCTTTTAATGACGTTTTCTGTAATCGTAATTATAGAGGACACGAGTAATTATTCAACAAGTTTTTACGTAATTTATATTAGCATACAATAAAGGTCTTGAATTACTGTAAAATATTTTATGTAATTTATGGCCTCATCGTAACGGTAGATCCGTCGCTTTATATAAATGAGGTTTTTCTTCGTTTCTCGGTTGGACCAATTTAGCACAGGAATTTTTCTACTCAACTGTGAATGAGACCAGAGTGAAATCAGGGTTATGCCATTATGAGAAATTTGTAATTCGTAAAATATTGTTAAATGATAAATTGTTTTATTACGTATCGATATTATAAAAAAACACTCATAGTCTTGATGTGCTAACAATCACGACTATTAACATATTTAATAAGTTCATTTATTTATTTCGGCTTTACTCGAATATTTACTTCGGGATTGCCTGTCTAGTTTCGGACTCAAAAAGAATACTTATTCATTTGCATGTTTCGCTACTGTTACGAGTGCAGCACAGCGGGACAAGGGAGCTTATTATAAAGTTTTAAAAATTTGACAGATTTAAGACATATAACTACAAAGTGGCCTGTTTATGATTTTAGCATAAAAGTAAGAAAGTTACTAAGTTACAGATTATTTTTTCATATGATTTTAGTACCAAATTACGGTGTGTCCTGCCCGTCCCAACTCCATTTTATATGTAAAACTATTAGGTTTTAAACTATTGTGTCCTATCAAGTCCGAATCTTGTCGAGCAATCCCGAAATATAGACAATTGTGATTCATGACAATTTATTATATCATATCAATCTTTAACCGTCCACTGCCGAACATAAGCCTCCCTCTTGGGAGGTTGTGCCAGTAGTTGCCATGCTTAGCAGGCGGCTTGGCAACCGCAGTGAGGCTTTGGAGACGTTTTAAGAGGAACGCTGCTGCCCATCCCTCGCCCTCTCTTAGTCAGCTCTTACAATATCCACGGGAGTCGTACCCACAGGAAAGGAAGGGGTGGCCTATTCTATGCCGAGACTACACGGCCAATGACAATTGCTTTTCAATAATAACACATTTTTAATAACTATAACAGGAATAGGGTTCGTTTCTCGTATGTCCGCCGCTTCAGTCACTCCCGTGATCACATTATCCCGTAACGATAATGATTCGTACAGTCTCACAACACAAACCAGCCTAAAGAATACACAAATCACTTTCAAACCTGGTGAAGAGTTTGTTGAAGAAAGACCTGATGGAGTAAAGGTATTGTTATATTTTTTTATTTTTTACATACTTAATATCATTAGATATGGACTTAACTCTTCTTCTAATTATTTTGTACTAGCGGCCCGTCCCGGCTTCGCACGGGTGGACATTTTTACAACATTTTAAACAGCTGTTATTGTGACATAACGATAATAGTTGGACATATAGTATCGCAAAGTTTTTTATAGTTATTGATATTTTCTTCAATATTGTAGAACATACTTTTGTTCTATCACCAATAGTTTCCGCAGGGCACGCGACGAAAGATATTTTATAGCATTTTTTACACCTTGAGTTACGTTACTAAAATTTTAGTAAGGATTCCTAATCTTTTCTAGCAATAAATACAGCCTATGTTTCTCAGGGTGAATGTAGCTTTCTAATGGTGAAAGAATTTTTGAAATCGGCAAAGTAGTTTTCGAGTTTATTCATTACAAACATACATACACACAAAAATACAAATCTTTCCTATTTATAATATAATATTATAGTGTAGATAAAGAGAGACTATGAAGTGTTAACTGATTCTCTTCTGACTAAGTACTACATAGTATCATTATCATCATACCGGCCGATAAAATTCCCATTATAATTAAATGTATTTACTTTTGTATATGTAAATGGTGCAATCAAGTGTAAACTAATAAATAAGTAGTCACTAGAAAAAAGGGGCAAAGTATCATACTTTGTTTTTATTAGAAAAAAACAAAATATTGTACTTGTACAACTACTTATAGGTTTTACCTCTCTCTATTAAAAAATAGAGATCCATGTTTTTTGTGTTTAGGTTTGAACGGAGCTACAATGCAATCTCTGACACAAGAAGAATTAATATCTTAGTCCTCAAAAGTCCTAGTCACGGGTCAGACAGTATATTCTATAATATATTATAAAGTGAAATTCATATGTAATGAAATCGTAATATTTTTATGAAAGCATCAAAATTGATTTGAACTGATGGAAAAATCGTATAAAATAGACACAAAAAAGATAAACTATCTTTGTTCCTGTCATTTAAAATGTGTTTCGTTATGTTTTTTTTTTTTCAGGTGAATTCAATAATTACTTTTGATGGAAATAACTTAATTCACTTACAAACAGACGCGGATAAAAGAACATCGACACAAGTACGATCGTACACGGACACCCTAATGACGGCGGTAAGGTCCCTTAGCTCCATTGTATAGATATCTGTAAGCTTAAATTAAATTTAAATGCAATTAATGAACTTTCTAAAATATAAAACACTGAAACTATCTATGTATATATAAAATTAATTTACATAGTATTGACGCCGTTAATTTATAGCCACTTATTGATGTTTTTTTTTTTATTGGTGATAATGGAATGTCTGGCTGGTATGGTATGGTATGGTATTCAGATTTAAGATCTTTCGGTTAAAATGTATAATAAAATGAGGACGTTAACTATGTAACTACTAGACAGCATTTTTTTTAATGGGTAATAATGGAATGGTAACCCCACCCGCGCTATCGGTATACACCGGCGGGGCACCAGTGAAGGATGATAGGTGAGGATGAAGCAGGTCAGTTAGCCCATCGTGACGAATTCAACAAGAATTGTTCACGATGGTTTCCAGGGGGAACCACGTGGAGGTCGACCTAATAGCGCATATTGCTAGCAATGAGGCTGTCAAACTCCATTGCTAACAATCCCTTTCCCCCCCGCCCCACTTATTGATGTTGGCCGTGTAGTCCTGTCATAGAATAGGCTACCCCTTCCTTTCCCATGAGTGTCGTAAGAGGCGACTAAGGGAGAGCGAGGAATGGCAATAACAAAACCCCCTACGAGGGAGACTTATGTTTAGCAGTAGACAGTTAAAAGCTGATATGATCATATTAAAGTTTATAATTATAAAAAAGCTGCTTCCAGAGCTTTATAATATCATTACCCATTACTTTTATTTCCCAGCTTCGATTCTTGGACTAGTTAATTAGTTAGGCTATGACTAACATATCCTAAATTCTCTCGTGTTTTTACATTTTGTATTTTACCTTCAGACGTTCATTGATGTCACAGTATATCCTAAAAAATACATACTTACTAAAAATTACTAGCGAATTCGTCCAAATGATCGGGATATTATGATATCCCAGAATAAAGTACTTTCTCTGATCGAAATCTAGTGTACTATCAAATTTTGTGATGAATAATTGAACCGTTAAAAAGCCAAGAAATATTAAACAAACAAACTCATTTTTACATTTATAATATTTGTAAGAATTAATATGATTACTTAGCACTTTGTAAATATACCCTGATTGTAATCTCAGTTGGAAAGTTCAACGGAATTAAATTGTCTTATTATATTATTTATTAATTTAAATATTATTGCTGTGTATAACACAGCAATAATACACCGCAATTTATGTGTATTTTTTTTGAGTGAAAATAGAATGATAACTCTACCTGCGCTATCAGCACACCAGTGAAATATGATTAGTGAAGATGAAAGCAGCTCAGTTAGCCCACCGTGAAGAGTTCCACAACAATAAAGGACGATAGTTTTTAGGTAGAAACGCGTAAAGGTTGAGTTGATAAAGTATACTGCTGACAATGAGATTAGACTCCATTACTAACAATCCCCTTTTCCCCAGATTATGTCTACTATTCTATTATAAGATTGATCCCTATAATTATTTTAATAAAAACCATAGAAATATTCTCTTTCTAGATCACAACAGCAAATGGATGGAGCGGAAAATGTGTTAGAACATACGAGTACATCCCTTAAGTTATCTAAGAAAATATTTAATATTGTAAGAAAAAATTTAATAATTTAATAAATTTATTATGTGATTTAATTAGTTTATTTATATTGCATATAAGTTTTTACAATGTGTATATGATTTTACAGTGCAAAATGTGCAAGCTATGCAATTCTGTGATTGTCGTCTTCTTTGCAGATTTTTCAATTACATTTTTTCAAAGAATGTATTTCCAATTCATTGCCATAGAAACATGTAGTAATGTTTATAAATAAAAAAAAATACTTTTTAATTTATCCATAAGTTATAAAATACCTATAACAGTAAAGAACAATTTTCAGTTATATACAATGGTTTATGTAGTTAAATAGCGGAGTAATGTCTGACAGCTGTTCCATCCCAGAAGCTGGCTGTGACGGTCTGAAATGAAGAATATATTTTTTAAAGAGTAAGTTATTCAATTCACTGAGTCAGTGGAGTGGAGTCTATGGGAGAGGCCATTATCTGTCTACTGCAGGACATATCCTGCAGTAGACAGATAATGGCTGAAATGACGATAACGTTATTTATTTATCTATAGGTAAGCTCACGTAACCGTAAAATTTCTATTTAAAATAATTAAAAGATAACCTAAGATAAGATACTAAGACAATTTACCAGAGAGAGCCTTTGTACAAAAGTCGTGTCCCATTTGTGTTTATGTTGTGAAACAAAGTATTACATGGCTGTGACTCGATTTTAAGGGTGGGATATGGGAGTAAAATTACAGCATACAGAGACATAATACCTTAATTTTCAAGAATAGCAACGTATGGCTTTTCATGCGGTGTCATTTATCGCATAAATTATCATGGGCGACGCAATATACTCTGTTATGTCAATGTTACTATTCATGTCTATAAGTAACAGTTATCAATTGTCATCAGGTAGTCAGTTTGTTTGTCATACTAAGCTGAATAGAAAAAAACAAACTTACCGCTTTCATTGTATCACCAGAGAATTCCATTTTAAAAGTACCGCTTCTGCCTTCATCATCCTTGATAACCTGAGTTATTGTGTCACCATCTACTGTATAGGTGATTTTGACCTGTAAATATTTCAATTAAAAAAAGGTCAAATATGTTTACGACTATAATTCATATAGGGTAATGTCAAGCTTTTCTTTCTTTCCCGTGGATGTCGTAAGAGGCGACTAAAGGAATTTAAACAAAACTTAGGTCCCTCTTAAAACAGAGCTTTTTTGAAAGTATGTACAAGATAATTGAAGAAATACTTTTTTTATAAATATATATGTATATATATTAAACGTATAAAAATACTATTGCAAAAAAGATATCCATATATATAAATATCTACATTCTAAAAGGATCGAAGCGGCGATTATCGGAAAGTGAGATAAAGTGTCAATTTATAAATAGATCAACACTAAGGATATTGATAATTTGTCAGCGTATTTATCAGTTTATAATTAGATAATGTATCAATATGAAATAATCACGCTATAAACATAAAAAAAATACCGAAAATCTACTCAAATATTATTCGTCACTGGCCATTCTCAAGCATAGTTACTAACTTGGTCAATTGTAAGACTTTACGTTTATTTTACATATTAGTTGATCAATATATATGTTGGCACAAATATTCACAAGCATTATACTCCTATAATGTCTTATTATAACTTATATTAATAAAAATCTAACCAACTTTAAAAAAATATTACAGAAACACTCTAATTGAAATTAGGAACAAATTGAAACATTTAATAAATTGATAATGTTTGATATTTACTTACTATTATTGGACATGACGATTTTTAAAGAGCATATTAGAAGGAAAAATAGACAGCAAAAGAGGAAGGGGAAGACCGAGGAATAAGGGGCAGATAAATGAACTGACACTAGGTGTCGTGTCGTATTGGGAGGTCCAAGATATGGCCTGGAGAAGAACTGGATGGAAGTAATACATAAATTAATTACACCGATAAGACGAAACTCTTAAATAATAAAAAAATTGCACAGCAGCGGGCTATTTCTTGGTAGGATTAATTATTCATTTAATTATATTTTGATTAAGTTTTAAACAGATGTAAGATATGTACTTACCGGAATTAAATCTCTGAGTTTATCATCATAAGTCTCCCCCGACTTGAATCTGATTTCTTTAACCTTGTTTGCAGTGATGACTGTGTGTTTGTATGCGTCACCGTCCTTCTCAAATTTCTGATCGGGCTTGTACTGGACTAGTTTGGCTGTCATTTCCGCAGGGAGGCCTACAAAAATGGCGTATTTAATTTACCATTATCTAATACCGTGGATTCTTTAGTTTTTGGTATTCGGTTCACGATATTATACAAATAAATAACAATGACTATTTGCCACTGCACATTCATTTAATAAATAAACGAAAGAAAAAACAAAATTTAGAGCTTACATAAAATATTTTCTTGTTAGTATTAAATATAGAGCACACACACACAAAGCGTTAAGCTTTAATATAGTAATAACATTTTCGATCATTATCTGTTTTACATAAAAAGGAACATAAATGTATATAGAATAGATTAGAAATAATTATATTCAAACAGAATTGCTTACTAGGTCTTTTAAATCGAAAATTGTTTATGATTGGGATGTTATCTGCTGAGAAAAATTCGTCAGAAACTCTTTTAAAATTTATTATGTACAAGATAATTTTACATTTGTATGTACACTATAACTATAATTATAATTGACTGCTATTTATATGTATTATTAAATGGAAAATAAACAAGCAATGATGATTGTCAAAATACACTCATTCACACATACAGCTACAGTATAACCAATTACAGATAATCCTATATATGTATATATTTAGATTCCTATGCGCAATGCCGGTACATAGATTAGGCCACCCCTTCCTTTCGCGTGGGTGTCGTAAGAAGTGACTAAAGTAACTTAATGTAGGAATGGACAACAGCGTCCCTCTCAAATATCTCCTACGCCTAACTGTAGTTGCCAACTCGCCTGCCAAGCGTGGCAACTACTGGCAATCCCCCCCCCCCATATTTAGAGAGGCCTATGTTCAGCAGTGAACAATTAACGGCTGGTATGATATGGTACGGAATTCAGATTTAAGATCTTGCGGTTAAAAAGTATAATAAAATGAGGACGTTAACTATGTAACTACTAGACAGCATTTTTTTTTAATAGGTAATAATAGAATGATAACCCGACCCGCGCTATCGGTATACACCGGTGGGGCACCAGTGAAGGATGATAGGTGAGGACTGAGCAGGTCGGTTAGCCCATCGTGACGAATCCAACAAGAATTGTTAAAGATGATTTCCAGGGGGAACCACGTGGAGGTCGACCTAATCGGGCATATTGCTAGCAATGGGGCTGTTAAACTCCATTGCTAACAATCCCTTTCCCCCCACTACTAGACAGCATTATTAATGCATAATTATATGGTAATTTATCATCGTAAATTTGATAAATTCTATTAAAGGCCAATTATGCTAATACCCACTGCTTTAAATAGCTAATTATTTTTAAAGCCCGTTATTGAGGGGCAACAATAGGTTATTGTGATTTCTTTAATCTATGTATGTATGTTTATTTATAGATAACTAAAGTAGATAAAACAGCGGGAACATATAAACAAGTACAGAAAACCACTAAATATAACATAGAACATTTTATAAGGTACTAGTTTTTCCCGCGACTTTGTTTGCGTAACGGGATAAAAAGTGGCCTATATATAACCTTCTCTAGACTATGTAGTACATGTATAGTAATTGGTGAAGCCATTGAGGTGCCATAGGTAGAAAGGTTCTTGAATATCGATCCCGTACGGGCAAACGCAATGTAGGACCCCCCACTAGATGGAGTGACGACCTCAAATACATTGCAGAGTCATGCAGGTGACTTAGGACCGTTCTTTATGGCAGTCTATGGAGGAGGTGTATGTTAGCAGTGGACGGGTAATGGCTGAGATATTAATTGAAGCACTATAAGGTAACATAATATTAGTAAGGATCAGCAGACCCGCTTCTGAAACGTTTTACTTTTCTATAGGTATAAAAACTATTAACTTATCGGCATGAAAACTTATCTTATTTCTCAAATTGATGCAAATAATATACATTTATAAAATATTATTAAAATCTGTTGAGCAGTTTTAGAAATTAGCGAGAATGAACGATTTTTATATGTTCAGTCAGATTACAACAAAGCACAACACTAGTATAAAAGAAGAAAAGCTGTAGTTGTGTAATAAAACGTCCTCTTATAATTAGAGGGAGACCCACATATAGCGGAAAGAGAAGTACAGTAGAAGATAAAAAATGTTAACTTTATATTTTACAATTTTTAAGTTCTATCAAAATATCAAAATAATCATAACGATTATCTTTATACGTATAATAAAATTGTAACTAGACAATATTTAAGGAAAATCAATACTAAAGCCAATAAAAGTCAAAACAATATTTTTTAGAATTATTTGTCTGCCTGTATGTAAATTTGTTTCCGCACACTCAAAAATTGGTATAACAAATTGAATGCACTTTTTACTTTTATGTTCATGAAGGTCGTACTCTAAATCTAGTGTAACTGGTTTCAACTTGATACGTCATCTGGAAGAAGTTTACTCCATTGGCATTTACACTTCCAAAATCTTGGGACATCGCGGGCAAAAACTAACAAAATATAAGAATATACTTCTTACCTAAAACTTTGACGAACGCCTCAACATTTTCCTCACTGCCGGCTCTGTATGTTTTGCCCAAGAAAGACATTTTGTGCAAGTTGATTGTTTCAGTGCAAATGGTGAACTAAATAATGATCGTAATTAATATCAACCACTTTATATTTAGCATTCAACTTTTATCTATATATTATATTTATCTGCAGGTAAGTGTACTGGACTCCTTTATCGTTATTTTTTGTGACAAAGTCTTTATACACTCACCACCAAATTATTTTTCTTAAATAGGAACCTTCCTAAAGAAGGTTGACGTCAGACAAGTAGCTAGTCCTAAACCTATAAGCCAAATCTTTATAATATGAATAAAAAACATATTACGCCGACCCGAAATAATAATTGGTATTATGAAGATGATAATGAGATAGGATCCTTCCTAATAATACTAATGTATCATAAAAAAGAAAATCTTTTTTATTAGACAGGAAAATAAAACTAACTACCATGGCCAAGTTGAAGTGGCAGAAGGTCGATATAATAGCTCGCAGAAATGACAATCGACGGGAAAGCAAGATTCTTGAGTGATGACCCTGTATTGAATTTGATTCAAAGATATAGAATGACCACTGACTAGACGATGAACTGATAGAATGGCCTCGAATGCATTACTAGAAATAAATAAATACAGGTGACACAGGAAGCCTACATAATTCAACAGGCAATTAACGGCTGAAACGAAAATGATTGAATTTGATTGGTGTCTTGAAATACAAGTATATAGAATAGAATAGAAAGAAATAATCTTCCTTCAAATTGACTTGTTTACGAGCTTTTATAAAGAGTCTTTTTTTTTAACTACTACTAGATTCAAAATATTATCTTTTGAGAAGCCATAAAATATTTAACAGTTACCCTCTTATTTATAAAAACTAAAACCTCTTACAAACCTATTTTAACTACTACATTGTTTTGTTACTTTAATTGAAAATGAGAATTTAGCGCAAAAGAAAGAGACAAAACAGTTCAGCTATAATAGTTTTATGATAGGTTTGACGTTTTTAATAAATAAAAGGGTATCTGTTTTCGATGTATTCATACGAGATAATTTATGTAGTAACACTAAACCTAAAATAATAGTTTGTTCAACCTATAACTAGACGAAACAGATCCTGTATCTATGGTATAAATATACCATAAGAATAAATGAACCTACTACGAAGTACTATTAAATATTTTGTAAATATACAAAAAAAAATGTTTTGATGAATAAAATGGGAGACAGAATGCTTGTCTATTAAATAATTAGAAAACTCCAAATCGTTCGTGTATGAGGCTCGCAGAAATTAACAGGCTTTGTAGCAAATTTAAAATTACGATACAATTGTGATAAATAAAATAATCTGTGCGTATACTAAATACCTATAGACTAATAAATCAATCACTACGCAAACAAATACTCATGGTAATGGTTAAAAAACTTGATAAGAATATAAAATATTAATGATAAGAATTAGAAATCAGTTTTATATTACGTTGATATCATTAATATTATAAGAATTGATATTACTTTTAAGGATACTCATCAAAATTATTATCAATTCAAGGAAAAAACGTAGGTACAAGGAATTCTAAAATTAAACAAACTGTCATAAATATAAATTGATAAAGCTGTTTTTAATGGCAACAAATAGAAAATAGATTTAACGGTTTTAAAAAACGACAGTTGTAATTGTAATAAAATTAATATAATTGTACACCGATCGCACAGGCGGGGTAACCATTCCATTGTCATCAATTAAAATATATATACATACTTCAATTTCCTTCAATTTGCTAACTTACTTACTTACTTTATATTGCTAGCAATGGGGTCACTAATCTATGTTACTGACAATCCCTTCCCCCTGCCGAAGGCGTTGAACTATTGGTCGTTCCTTATACATAGTAAAATATAAAGTTTTCCTTCTTCTGGACTTATATATACAGGTGCAACAGGAAGCAATCTACCAGTGAAACTACATTTTTCCTAAAGAAATATTTTATAGATTCGAAAACCACAAACAATTTTTGAGCCTCTCATATTAACATGACGCTCCAGTTGCCAAGAATTTAATCATTGCCATACTGATTACAATCATGTTACATTTATTGACGTTGTAGTGAACGTGACACACGACATATCCACATTTCGCCGAATATTGTTATAAATAAATAGCAAGCAAATATATAGGTATTGATATTGTTGTATATAGAATGATCCTCACTAGATAAAGTGACGACATCAAGTGCATTGCAGGGAGTCAGTCAGTCTATAGGGGAGGCCTATGTTTAACAGTGGACGTATATATATATATATATATATATATATATATATATATATATATATATATATATATATATTACCTTTCCCTTCCTTTTTCGTACGTGTCGTAAGAGGCAACTAAGGAGGATGGGGGATGGGCAGCAGCAAATCTCTTAAAATAAAAAATTATATAAACGACTTGTTAATTTTTTTGTTATGAACTTACTGTGAGTATCGTTTCTGTCAATTCTTTCGACTTTATGCGGAAGTCCTCTTCGAGAAAAGTATAGCGCTTTTGCGTCACAGCGTCTTGTCTGGGGAAGGCTTATGTTCAGCAGCATTTAGTTATGTCTGATATGATGATGATTATAATTACAAATACTATAATAAATACAACTTTTTAGTGAAAATCTAGAAGTTTTCTCCCCAAACGCTCAATCTGTGGCATGAGCTTCCTAGCGAGATTTTCCATAAAGACTTCAGTATAAGGTTCATAAACATTAATATACCCTATTTTAAGGATTTATTTAGAATCGGCAACGCATACGTGACATTCCTAGTGTTGCAAACGTCTATCTATATAGGTTACAATGACCGTTTACCATAAAATAGGTTTTCTTGTTTGCCACCTTTATGGTATAAAAATTAAACCGGAATTATTCACATCAATATAATATTAAAAGATTTATGTTTATCAATACAAAATAAATAGATATAGAATAGATAACTATGTGATTGATAACTTTATTTATATTTGTTTTGCAAAGTCATCGTATGATTAAAATAGCACATCATTTTCTATCGACTTCAAAAAGAAGCAGTCAATTGTAAACCAATTTGAAAAATTCTGTTTTTTACCTGAAAGGATACTTACAATTCGATCTCAAAGAAGTTTCATCGAAATAGGTCCAGTAATTTAGTTTTTAAATCGAAATAACTGGATTTGCCACAATTGTAATCGGTTTTTTTTTTTTTTTATAGAAAATAATTTAATTATTAATCTCCCTTAATAGTTTATACAATATAAATTGGAAGGCATGACTACTATACAAACAGACCATAGTCTCTTGCGCATTAATAAATTATAATAGTAAGGTTGAACCAATGAGTTTTTTTACTTTTTAGTCTTATTGTTGAAAAATATTTTTAAAAAAATCAAATCATTATTCTATATAGACGGTGTAATTATTTTTTTGATGGGTGAAAATAGTATGGTAACACCACCTGCGCTAACGGTATACGCTGGCGGAACACCAGTGAAGGGTGATAGATGAGAATGAAAACAGGCCAGTTAGCCCATCATGATGAATTCATCAGGAATTAACCATGATAGTTTCCAGGGGGAACCGCGAAGAGGTCGACCTGGTTGGGTATATTGCTAGCAATGGGATTCTCAGTCTCCATTACTAACAATCCCTTCTTCCCTAGACGGAGTAATTAGTATACAATCGTTTTTGTGAATTAGATAAACAATCAAGATTTAATAAATAAATAAATATTTAGAATAGAATAGGCCATCCTTTCCTTTCCTGTGGGTGTCTTAAAAGGCGACTAAAAGAACTTAATAGTAGAGAAATGGGCAGTAGCGCCCCTCCTTAAACGTCTCTAAAAGCCTATCTGCGGTTACACAGCGTGGCAACTACTAACAAAACTCTCCTATAGAGAAAACCTATGTTCAACAGCGGACAGTAAACGGCTGAAATGAAAATGACAATGAAATAAATATTTAAGCAGTGGCGAACTAAGCCTGTCAGAGACTCATGGCGGCAATGCTGAATGAGACTTCCAGTTTAAGAAGTTGATATAATTTTACAATCTTTTAATTTAGTTTACAGTTATATGTATAATATAATATAAACATATTTATTTATTTAAATCTTGCAAGTGAAATTTAAATTAAACTTATATAAACATACATAAGATATGGATGAGAAAAAAGAAGACGTTTGGAGGCCCCCCAGTACCAAAGACAAGAACAGTTAGACTTCCACTGTATTTAAGTAAACAATTAAATAGAAAATTTAATTGTCGAAAATTAAGCCTGTTTTAGCTTAGAAACGTGTCCTTAAGCCATTACATGTTTTTAATTTTATGACGGGGTTACCATTTCATTTGCTTTTATTAAAAAAATACAATGAAAATACCTTTTAATAAAATGTTACACTTTACATAATTTTCACACAGTAAAATAGCTTAATTACTTATTATTCAGGAATGTAAAATTATGAACTGTATAAAATATAGAGAGAATTAAAAATTACTTATTTTTCTTTTATTAAAATTTCAAATTTTTTTTATATTGCAATTTTATTTAGTGACCATTCATCTTAATGTTACAGCTATACAAAATATATAAATTAATTTATTAAATATTATAAATTATTAAAATAAAGTACTGACACTAAACAAAAACAGGTATAATTTAACAAATTGTAAATAAAAAAAATTCCGTGAAATATTTAATTAAATAAATTTTGGTGTTTTAATTGTTTTGTAATTTTTATTTTTTGTTTTCACAAATAAAACACGTATTAAGTTAATAAATTTATTGTACTTGCAATACGTGATTAAAAATGTACAATAATAAGAATACAATGTTTCTAGATTTGAGTTTAGCAAAAGAACTTGCTATCTAGTTGCTGGTATGAAAGTGTCTCAATAGATATAGCATGCATTGACAGTAATAGCAGAGTATAAATAATAGTTAGAACAAGATATAGAATTACACTAGGTGACCTATCACACGTTATTTTTCTCTCTTTTACATTGCCTTTTTTCTTATCGAAATAAAAATCCTATCTCTTAAGTTGAAGCTAATGTTACATATTTAAAATTGTTATTAAAATCAATTGAATGGTTTCTATGATGAGCATGACGGAACATCGTGATCCCGGATTTTTTTGTAAAGATATAGCCACTTGTATATCACCCATGTCATTTAAATATACATCAGTAATAAAAAACATATCTTTTAATTGTTTAATTGCTCTTTTATTATTTAGGTCGGATACAATTCCTTAAATTCTGGGCTTCCAATAGTATACTCATATATAATTATATAGTAATAATAGTACCACAGTATATGGAGTTTTTATAAGTATTTCTTTATACTGCGATAGTACCAAGTGAGATTGTTATTATATTTTCCAGAATTTCGATTAAATATTAAAGTTTATAATAAATGTAACTTAAATATAACTTAGACTCTCTACTCAGAATAATTTATTTCTCTCCTTTTGGCATGACATTACTTTTTTTTTGGCAACTCCAAACTTCCATTCCATAAATTAATACTAACAAATAAATCTTTTTATTATAATTACTGGTTTTTACCTGCTATTTTGTTAGCATTGATATACATACATAAAATGTAGTCTATGTCTTTTCTATCCTAAACACTATGTTATACACATTAAAATTTTATGACGATTTATTGAGTCGTTAAGCACCAAGAGGTACCATACAAATAAACATCACTCACTTCATTTTCACGTTTGCAATTTTAGTAAGGATTAATATAACATATCTCTTTCAAAGACAAAGCTTATCCTTGTTAACAAATTGTTAAATTAATCACTGTATCTTTTTTTACAAATAAAATAAAGATATATATAACATTTTAAATAGGTATATGTTTCTTATGTAGCAAGTATAGTAAGTAACCAAAAACAAACTTCCTTAAGTTTGAAATTTTTAAGAGGTAATATATCTGATGTCTGGCATTCTTAAAACAAAATCACCATTCTATTGCTATTTCAATTTGTACCTAAATATTATTTCTATTTTCTTCTATAATTAAACTTGTTAATATACACGGTCATAAGTTCTGATGGCTTTTCCATCCCATCCTTCGATTGTTGAAACCTAAAAATAAACAATACTTAAGAATAAATATTATCATTTTTATAACAACTAATTAATTTTAGTCAGATGTCTAATCATTTTTTATACAGTTTAGAATGAATGGCATACAAGCTTACTGCCCACCTGATGAAATGTGGTAACCGTCGTCTATAGACATGAGCAGTACCATGAACATAACAGAGTATACTGTTTCGCTCATGATACTCTCCATGCGTTGCCATTCCTGAGGCATAAGGTGTTAAGCCTCTGTACCTTGTAAATTTATTGCCATATAGCACCCTTCAAACCGAATACAGTCATGCAAATACAACTGCTTCACGATTGAAACATGGGACAGTGGTACCCAAACAACATCTTCCTTTTTTGTACAAAATCTTCCTTTGGTAAATATACATACATAAATATTTATTTTATTATATCTCAAATAAATGTTTATATTGTAATTTCCATTCATACTCAAAGTAGTTAAAAATTATTAATTAAAGTTCTTAATAAAAAAAATGGTTATTTTTTATTCAATTCTATAGAAATAGCAAAGTTTTACGATGATTTGATATCAGGATTTTGGACAAATACTTGGTGGCCAGATTTATCCTCCACAGACAGAAAAGTACGCAAGTGAAAAGCTTGAAAAAAGAAGTTATTAAAAGAAAAACCAAATTATATTGTCTTACCACTACTAATTTATCTTCGGAAAATGACCGCACGTGCTTGCTTACTTTTCCATTCTCATGCACTTCGATTTGTACAAAATCATCACCTTCAATTGTAAATGTTGACTTCATCTGGAAAAATGCAAAAATGTTACATTATTCGTAAACTATATAAACTATGCAATACTTAGTTTATATAGTTATATATAAATATATCATCATCGTGTCAGCCAATATTTATTAACTACTGAACATAGACCTTCCCCATAGACTGCCATATATAGTCATATTTAAATTGATTCCATATTTACAATATCAAACATAACCTTTAAACTTCTGAGTGTTCAAATTAAACTTCCGAATTGTAGAACTCTAAAAATTTGACTCAAGTAATAGCATACTTCAAATTGTGACAGTATCTTCAATTGATTTACTGTTTACAGTGAACAGCAAGCTTTTATTCATATATAATCTATATACATACATATCCAAGTATATTAGTTACGTAATGATAAAACTAAAACTAGGCCATACCTCCAGATGACATACAAGCGATACGCAAAATCTACTGGGCGCATTTTAATGAAACTTGATATGAGGATAACTTAGGCAGTGCCTTAGTGAGTGATACAAGGTGAAATTGAATAAAAGCATTCACAATTTTGGCTTACTGAAGTGCAACAACGCCGCAATTTACTGTTAATTTTCAAAAGCAATTCACCTATTTTCAATGTTTCTGACTGATTTTTCAAAAAGTTATGTGCTAGCGAATTAGAACACTGAACATGAAATAATTTTCTTATCTGTCACTTAAAATTTGGATTTTGATGGCAAAAGTGTATTTGAAAAATATCCAAAGTGAGTAACGAAGTAGGTAGGTGCAAAGTTTTCAACGGTGGACTTGTATGCAACGTATTCTATGATTAACATTTTAATTCGTTAACAAGGAACTTTTTAAATAATTGGTCAGAAACATTGAAAGTATTTGAATTGTTTTCGAAAGTTGACAGTTAATTGCAACGTTGCCACTCAGTAAACTAAAATCATAAACACTCTTAAGAGTGTATTCTAATAATGAAACTGAATATTATTACCAAAGTAGCATGCATCTATTAACAATAAAAAAATTGTTAAGTCTGTTAGTATGAGAGGCCCAAAATTGTAAAAGTTAATATTTTAAGAAGTGAAGTGTATATTTTACCGTAGCTCGAAAAATAATATCTAATGTAAAGGCTAAATGCACCGTGTTAGTACGAGAGATTTGAATTTTTAATCGTTTTTAGGGTACGATACTAAAAAGTTACAAATGAATTCTTATGGTGCGACTTTATTCGTCCATTCATTACAGAGTTTTATTTCATCAACTACTAACGCTATCGATGTGAAATTTGGAAAAAAATATTGATTTTGTTGACCCGCACATATTGTAAAAGAAATGATTGAAATTCTTTTTTTTATTTTGTTTACCAAATAGTCTAAAAGAAATAAACAAAATTTCGAACTAGTCCTGTTTAACCAAGTTTGATACCACATGAAAGAAACTTTATAATCGAAAATTTATTTTTATTCATGGTTATGTGAATTCAACTAGTACTTGACCAGTTTCATTTAACCGATAATTCTCTATCAGAAAAACGTGTATGTTTTTAGTAGCGATTACATCCTTAATATGATGCTATCGACATCGATTACACCCTGTATATTACGGGTATTATGAATAACTTGATACTATAGACACTTGACAATTACCTTGGCACCATCAGCTCTTTCTAAAATGACTTCCTCTCCCAGTTTGAACACATATTTCAAAGTCCTTATCGGGGTGGAAAATATGTAAGTGTATGTACCGTCTTCGTCCCGAGTCAACTCGCAGACGGGTGATACCGCTGCGGCTGCCTTACGGGAAAGGAAACCGATACCTGTAAAATTAATAATAATAATGAGATTTTTTTCGATCTGTACATGCTGTAGGCCGAAAATGGCCTTTACATCTTCACCAGGCGCGTGCAGGCGCGAGTACAGATGGCACTCCAAGCCCGCGAGAGGGGAGCGACAGAGTGTCGACTCTTTCCAATGGACTGCATAATAATTAGTGCCACATAATCTCACAAACCACATAATTTGACTAACCCTCAAGCTAAGACAGAACATAGGGTGTTTTAAAAGAAACCAGAAACATCAGGTGTGTCCACAGAGCACCTAATTACACCATTACAGCCGTTAACTGTTCACTATTGAACATAAGCTTCTCCCATAAGGGGGAGTTTTGCCAATAGTTGCCACCCCTAGCAGGCGGGTTGCCAACTGCAGTTAAGCTTTGGTTGATTTTTTAAGAGGGACGCTGCTGACCATCCTTCGATCATTATGCTCCCTTAGTCAACAACTACTAGAAAAACCTTCCAAGGTGGAGGATTAGTGCAGCAGTGGATACTTAATTGCTGATATGATGATGATCCTGTCACTAAAGTTATCAGATTAATGACCTGTAAAAATCAAGCAACGTTTTCCATGTCAGCTAGGTGTTTACTCTAAATCATTGTCTCTCAATAATTTTTATGTCACAATCCACGAAAAGGCCAAAAATTAAGTAAAAAATCTTGCGACCCCGTCATTATTAAATTTAATTTTTAAACAATGCCAAACATCGCATTAATTAATTAATGTTCGTAATTAATCATTTTAATTAAATAAAGTAAGCTATAGGTTTATTTTTTACATGTTTTAGTTACATTGTAATATTTAATTTTATAATGCTAAATTAATATTCGTTCCTTTAATAAATTAATCTTTCGAGGTCTTATTATTTTTCAACGGATTGCGACCTCCTTTAATAACAAACGCGACCCCCTCGAAGGTCGCGACCCCCCGATTGAGAAACGATGCTCTAAATATAATAACTTCCTAAGAGATTCAACCGCCTAAATAAAGTAAATTTAACGTTTTGTCCTTGACATAATATAAAAATAAACCTATTTACTACTTATGTATTTTTAAACTGAACCTGTGGAAGGATTTTTCCGTTTGACGTTCGTTGTATTATAATTAATAATGGAAAATTTTGAACCGATTTCAATGAATAATATTGGTATTAATTTATGTATAATAACAATTTGTAAAATACTATATATTATGTATATTATATAAAAAATGTCCACAACTATAATACGCAATATAGTAAGACGGAGGCGTTTTCCGACTTCGACCGCTGACGTTATAGTATTATTTATGTAAATTAGAAATAGTAAACAAGTTGACGACCCACCTGATGGAAAGTGATAACCATCGCCTATATACATGAACAGTATTATAGTCGTCACAGTATACTCTGTGACGCTCATGGTACCATCATACATTGCTATTTCTGAGAAATATAGAATTATCCCACTCTTCAAACCGAAACACAGCTATACATGTACAGCTGCTTTACAGTAGACACGAATGGGACAAAAGTACCCAAGTAGAAAACTTGTACAATGTCACATTGGTAAACGTAAAATAGACATGCCCATACTTCGCCGAGTATATTATAACTGACTGACCCAGCAAACATTGTTCTGTCATTGAATTTTTACTCATATCTATCAAATATACAAAAAAAAAACATAAAAATCTGTCAAACCATTTCGGAAGACTTCAACTACAAATACAGGGGGGAAGGGATTTTTAGTAATGGAGACTGAGAATTCCATTGCTAGCAATATACCCAACCAGGTAGACCTTCTCGCGGTGCCCCCTGGAAACTATCATGGTTAATTCTTGATGAATTCATCATGATGGACTAACTGGCCTGTTTTCATTTTCATCTATCACCTTTCACTGGTGTTCCGCCAGCGTATCCCGTTTGCGCAGGCGGGGTTACCATACCATTTTCACTCAAAAAAAAACTACAAATACCGTGACAAAGATTTTTATATCTTTAAATATAATATTGTACATAATTTACACGTTAAAAGATTTAATATACAATGGCGGACTGATCCCATAGAGGGATCCCTTACAGTGAACCTTTTTAATGTAATTCCCATAATGTGGTTCTAATAATAGCATAAACTTAACCTCTATCAATGTACAAAGGTTAAGTTAGTATAAAATAATGTATGCTTAACCATAATTATGTATACATATGGTCAGGAAGTTGTTAAATAGGTGAGCACTTTACCTACCATGACTTAGTACTCGAGTGACTAGTTTAAAACTAGTTTTAAACAGTAGGCATATTTCTGAATTTATTTTTAGATACTTAAAATCGATTGCTGACGCTTTTAAACAATAATTAACAGTCTTGTTGTATAGTGGATCAGCACACTATCTCACGATAGTCGCAGGTTCGATTCCTGCACAATATAGATATTTTTATCCATAAATATGTACAGCTGGGCGTTTGCTATGTACAAAAAACATGAATTTAAAAAACTTTTTATTTAATTATTCTTTTTCTTATAATTCTATTGCTTTTTAAGTAGCAATTGTACAATCCCTGCGTACTTCGGAACGTAATTGACTCGATGTAATAAGTCCAGTCGTATTTATTATTGTCTTATCTTAATAATATAATAATATTGTAACAAAACGATATCTGTAGAGATATCATTCATACATACATATAAAATATATTTGATACTTAATTTTTTTTAATATCTCATATATAGATATAAAATATTGAAAAAAAAGTAAGGGATTTTAATAGGAGCATTAGAAGCCAAAACAATAGTTTTTTAGAAATTTTGTCTGTTTGTCTGTCTGTATGTTTGTTTTTTGAATATCATGCAAAAGCAACTGCACCAAATTGAATACGGTTTTCACTGTTGTCTCCTTGAAGGTCTAATTCAAAATCTAATGTATATTTTATCTTGATACGCAATCTAAAAGGGATCTATTTCATTATTTTTCGGGCAAAAGCAGGCAAAATTAGTTATTTATAATACTTAGTCAGTTATCTAGGCTAAAAGAAATATTTTCTAAGTAAATTTTATTGATTGCAAAAAAATTCCTCATAGGTAATTTAAATTTTAGTGCAGCAAAAAAGCTATTGCGATCATAGTAAAATAAACAAGAAAATACATCCACATGTTTTTTTTCGAGCGACTTCAAAAAGAAGACGGTACTCAATCCGGTTTAATTTTTTATGTTTGTTACTTCATAACTGCGTCTGTTGTAAATCGATTTGGGAAATTGTTTTTTATCTAAAAGGAAATACTTACAGATTGGTCTCGTAGAAATTTTATCATAATCGGTTCATTAGTTTAGTTTTTAAATCAAAATACTGTTTGTTTTTTTTTTTTTGCTATGTTTGAAATTGGTTTTTTGTTTTGGCACACAATCAAAATTATTTGTGAATATAATATTTTACGAGATTTTCACAATTCTTTTCGTAGGCAAAGTTCAAATCGGGTTCGAATTAAATTAAATAAATCTAATAAACGTAATTCAGTGATTTCGCATTTTGGCGAAACAAAATGTACTCGTTAAGATGTATCGTCTGCGTCTAATCATACTAAAAAACACTTCGTTAATGATATGTGTGGTGCTTAGTAGGACCTTGACCGTAACATTATCACGTTAACTTACAACACATCATCTGAACTAAACCTTACGTCAATAACATTAAGGTTTTAATTCTGTATCATATGAAGAGTTATGGTGCCTTCAACTAGATTTTGGACTCTCGAATATTCAATATTTATGTTCGTAAGTAGACTGTTATCTAAATCATATGTTGTTACCACTTTCTAATTATTGAACTGGGGGGAAAGGGATTGTTAGTACTGAAGACTGAGAATCCTATTGCTAGCAATATACCCAACCAGGTCAACCTCCTCGCGGTTCCCCCTGGAAACTATCATGGTTAATTCCTGATGAATTTTATCATGATGAGCTAACTGGCCTGTTTTCATTCTCATCTATCACCCTTCACTGGTGCTCCGCCAGCGTATCCTGTTAGCGCAGGCGGGGTTACCATTCCATTTCATCCATCAAAAAAAATCTATTGAACTGTTATTTCTATTTATATTACAAGTGATTACTAATATTCTAGCCATATCTATAGTATAACTAATAATATGAATGTTAAATATATTTTCATTTTTTTTTTCATTTAAGTTCTTAATAATTTATCAGGTATGGAGCCCCCAAGCCAAACAATAAAAAAATTGTTATCTAATAGTAACTATATACTTGTTTTGATTTTTAATTTAATATTTGAATAAGTAAATTTTAAGTAAAAGTTATGAAATTAAATATTTTCTCTCAATATTATATAGCAGATAAATTTAGTCCTTATAAATTTTATATTACAATTAAATTGTAATATATAAATAAATTGAAATTTATCCCACATAACATAAAAACTTTCATCCAAAGCCATTTATTTAGATATTCACGATTGTATAACAATCATGCAACCGTCCACTACAAACTTTAATATTTATAATACTAAAAGCAATAACAATGAATTACATAACACTTTCATTTTGAAGAATTTTTGAATAATAATGTACTAAATATAGCATACACATTAAATACAACTACATCGCACTGTAATAAAAAACCTTGTCATTGTAAAAACTAGTAACTATGTTTACTTTTTTATTTAGTAGGTATCTAAATAAAAACGACTATAGAAAGATATGTATAGAATTTTTATATTAATTAATCAATGAAATTTTATTTAATAAATGTGAGTATTGTATTGTACTTATATTCATGTAGGACAATTATTTATAAAAACGTTAAACCTATTTTAGCTATTGAACTATTTTGTCTCTTTTACACTAAATACTCAGTTTGAAAGAAAATAGCAAAAAAGTATTTGAAATAGGTTTATAGAATGTTTTAATTTTATTGAATAAGAGGGTAAATAATTTCGTTAACAATAATAACTCTATTTACTAATACAACATAAGTATATACCGTCACATTATATTATTTCTCTATTACCAACAAAATCGGTGTTATCAAATTTCAGTAAGTGTACACACAAATTTTCTTATCTCAATAATTTTACAGATAACTGAATTTTTATTTTTTCTAGTTATTTATTTATTATATTTATAATTAATTTATAGAGACATTAAAAATAAACAACAAATATTTTAAATATTATACCTATTTCGATATTTAGATTTAGATATTTGTAGATTTGTTTCATTTGTAAGTTATAATGATATATATTTTACAGTAAATTTAAAAGTACCAAACTAACGCAATATTCCCCTAATGTCAAAAACAACAAAACTCTTTAATTTTAAAGCTATTATTGAATATTTATATATATTTTGTATTATCTATTGTAAATAAATATTTACAAGAATTATTTATAAACAGAGAAATTACGTTTAAAATGTTATTCTAACTAAACTCAAGTTCTTTATATTGATAATACAATCTGAAATATATTATTTTTGAATTAAAAAAAATACTTTTAAAATGTTTAATGTAGACACATTTTTAGTACAGTAATAATGAAACAAATAAATACCTTTCTAACGTTTAAATAATAAAGCAATTGGCATCTACATACCTAAAGACTTCAAAAACTCATCCAAATTTTCCGAACACTTCAACTTATATTTCTTTCCTAGATATTGATCCATTTTCGTTTAGCTCTGTCGACAGTCACAGTTAAAAATTTGTTTTATTAATTTACACAACAATTTGTTTACTCTTCGTCCAAACTGTTTGACCAGTCTAATCTCACTGAACCGTGGCGTACGGACCGTATATAGCAACTTACACTATAAAAACCTGTTCTTGAGAAACTATAACGATATAAACGTAGTGATTCCGCACTTTTGAATAAGAAATGAGTTAGATATCTTTCATAGACATATTATTTTACGATCTGTCAATTTAAGTTATATATATTTTTTTTTTATTTCTTACTATAATGTCTTTGTTTAATTAACAGTTTTATTTATTCTACTGGAATGCTAGCGCTCAAAATATGAAGATTTTTAACTAATGTGACTGTTATTATACACTACCCTGCTTTTGTAATTTGTAAAAAATTTTATGGTTCCAATAAATACATGTAATGTGCCCACCTAGATAAAGAATAAAAGATCCATCATTTAAAAAAAAAATATGTACTATGAAGATTTTTATTAAATTTTAACTAAATTTAGGTAAATAATACGAGTAACTATATACATAATTGATATGTTACATAAAATATTATAAATTGAAAGTTTGTAGAGATAACATATTTAATTGTCGTTTGTGTGTTGTAAGTAATGCAAAAAATCTGTCTATTTACTTGTTTATTTGTTGTTATTATCATCAACGTCGTCATATCAGTCATTAACAGCCCGCTGCTAAATTGGAGAGGAGCTCCCTATTGGAGTGGGTGAAACATCAGGTGTGCCTCCAGAGTGTCTAATCATGCCATACCATAATAGCCGTCAACTGTACCCTGCTAAACATTAGTCTTCCCCGTAAGAAGGGTTCGCAGGTAGCTAGTAAGAAATCTAGAATCGAATTTGTATCTGAACTATCTTTTATGAAATATTAAATATATTTTCATTTTTACTTTATATATAAAATGGCAAACACACTGACGATCCACTTAATGGAATTAGGTAACCTTCATCTATAGACATGAACAGTTCCATGAACATAACGAAGTATACTGTATCTCCCATGACAACCTTCATGCGTTGCTATTCCCAGTATTATGCCTCTGTATCCTGTTGTTTCATTGCTATATCCCACCCTTCAAACCGAAACACAGCCATCCAAACACAACTGCTTCACGGCAGAAACACAAATGGTACAGAGTTACGAAGAAATACCAAACAGAAGACTTTCGTACAAAGTCTCCTTTTGGTACTGGTGCAGTATTTTTCATGTATAGTACAAATAAAATACGAATCGCCAATTTAGGTTAATAATTTATTGTTTTAAAATACATAATTAGATAATAAAATTGTTTCTAAATCGGAGACGAACAATTGCAAATTTTTAAAAGCTGATAAAAAATCATGAACAAACATAATAGATACTGAAGAGTTACACCATAGACCGTATATTAGTAAAATCCATATCCTTTTATTATTGAAAATATAAAATATTTTATATTTTCGTAAATAAATTCACACGTTAATTGACGCGTTCGTAAACTCTGACGGCTTTGTCGTCCCATCCTTCAATAGTTGAAATCTGCAAATAAAAAAAAATGTATAGATAATAGGTTAATAATATGCCCAATTAACTCAGGTTTGCAATATATTTCAGGATTAGCAAACGAGCGAACTGCCAGCCTTATAATGGTGAATAACATTATGAGCTCCACACAATATCATGGTAGATACCCCAAGAATTGTTATTCCTGAGGGTTAGCGTGGTATTTTTTTAATGGGTGATAATGAAATGGTAACCCCGCTTGCGATATCGATATACGCTGGCTGGGCACCAGTAAGGAATGACAGGTGAGGATAAAGCAGGTCAGTTTGCCCATCGTGACGAATTCCACAAGAATTAACCACAATAGTTTTCAGAGAGAACCGCGTGGAGGTCGACCTGATAGGATGTACTGTAACGCGGAAATTAGACTCATTACTAACAATCTCATACCCCCGGTGTATTGTTGTTAGTTTGTAATTTGATTATTATGCTTTCATATCCATTCATATCGAAATTAGCAAATAGAATAATGACGGCATAAACATAAGTGAAACTGCCACATATAAATATGAGTAGGAGAGCTAGTAACGGCCGCTACACTGTAGTTTAATCAGAACTAGAGGTGTGTACAAATTTTTACCATCAGCTATCGAAATTGTAGTTACTAAAAATGTTCCCACAGACAGAAAAATAGTTATCCGCAATTAGACATGTTTACCTCCAACTTGCTGGAGTTTCGTCGGATAACCACAGAGTGTTTGTGTTCAGAAATTTAAGATATATATGTTATGTGACTTAAATCTTTACAATATTTTTTTTTAATTATATAATATATAAGTGTCGTTGTACTAATGTTTTCCTGGATGTATTGGGATACTGTAAAGCTCATCCAGTATAAATATAAAAAAAAAAGTTAATTAAATGAGAATCAAATAATGTTCTCTTACCACCACAATTTTATCTTCAGTAAATGTGCGCACGTGCCTGCTTCTTTTTCCATTGTCATGCACCTCTATTTGGATAAAGTCATCGCCTTCAAATGTAAATGTAGACATCATCTGTAAAAAAAGATGAAATAAATATTTGTAAACTATTAAAAAATAAACTATCATCATCATCATATCAGCCATTTACTGCCCACTGCTGAACATAGGCCTCTCCTATAAGAAGGGTCAGTAGTTGCCACGTTTGACAAACGAATTGGCAACCACAGGATTTTGTGATGTCTTTAGAGAGACGCTATTTTCCATCCCTCGACCATTTAGCTCCCTTAGTTGCCTGCCACAACACTCGCGGGAAAGGAACAGGGGACCTATTCTATTCCGAAACCATACACAAAATCATAATACCGTATAAAATATTTTATTTTTAAATGTATTATTCCCATATAAAAATTCAAAGTTTTGTAGCGCGATCTCCCGGGCACTTGAAAATTTCAAATATTTCGTGAAATCAAATTTGTACCTTGGGAAAGTTTTTAATTTTATTAATATAATCGCTACTTCTCGGCTTGATATATCCTTTACAAATAACTCTGTATAATACTTGGCAGTTACCTTGGCACCGTCCGCTCTTTCTGTAACAGTTTCCTCTCCTTCTTTGAACACATACTTCAAAGACTTCACCGGGCTGGTGAAACTGTAAGTATATGTACCGTCATCGGCACGAGTTAACTCACAGACGGGCGACAGAGATGTCGCAGTCTTCCGCTGAAGTAAACCGATACCTGTAAAGATATAAGGTAATTTTAGATACTTTATGTCTGTTGGTATATCTGTTATCTTCAATCGACACCAAAAGGAGAAGTTTACAATTAGATTTTTTTTTTATATTTCTTACCTTATAACTCTGTTATTTAAAAACCAATTTGGAAAATCATATTTTTACTAAAGTATATGCCACTTTTTTTTTATACAACTTAGAATGGCAAACAAGCTGACGGCCCACCTTAGTGAAAGTGGTAACCGTCGCCTATAGGCATGAGCAGTACCATGGACATAACAGAGTATACTATTTCGCCAATGATACCCCCCATGCGTTGCCATTTCTGAGGACTCAGGTGTTATTCCTCCGTACCCAGTAAATTCACGCCATATCCCACCCTTCAAACCGAAACACAGCCATGCAAACACAACTGCTTTACGGTTGAAACACGAATGGGACAAAGGTACCCAAGTAATCGACTTTTGTACAGAGTCTCTCTCCCACTTTCAGATTAGTATCTTAAAAATTTTATCAAATTCGATCCAGTAATTTTAGTAGTAGTAGTTTTTGCCACGATTAAAGCCGATTTTTTTTTATAGAACACAGTTTTAAATTACTTGATTCAACGAGTATTGTACTATAAGAATTAGTGGAATTGGTCTTTAATTTTGGACCGATTTTAATGAATGAATAGGTAATAATTAATACATAATTTTCAAATGCTTTACATTTGTCGACTCTTACCATTATTATGAATTTGACACTGAAAATTTACTGTGTGGTGGTCCCTACATACGAATAGAATGTTTTACCCCTTTCTTTCCCATATCTATCGTAAGAGGTAACTAAGGGAACTTAATTTTCAGGGTTCATGTATATACTTACGCTAGTTTATTTATTCCACTATAACTTATAAATTCCTGAACAGATTTTGACATATAGGTTATCGTTAGATTGTTTACATGATCTCAAGCGACACTGACTATAAATAATTTGTAAGTACGGGTAGTTCGTTTTGATGGGGCATTATTTTTTAACTACTAAACAAAATATACTAATTATTATTCAGGAATTAAGTGACGTATTTCCAATAGTAACATAAATTGTCCTTGTTAAATATATAAAGGTTAAATTATAAAATGACGTACTTAAGTAACTACTTTATAGTACTATTAATACGCACATTTGTAGGTTTATTTTTAAATATTTAAATTGGATTATGGACCCTTCTAAACAAGAATTGAATAACTTTAATGACGCAGCTGTTAAACATACTACTCGTTTTCTTTAACCACAAGTACCATTTTATGGTAAGACTACGGTGGTTACAATTACATAAGTGAAATAAAATTTCACTATATTTACAATTTCATGTGTACATAATCAAAACTATATTAATTAATTTACAATAATAATTTTTAAACACAAAAACCACCTTCACAGTTATTAAACTAAAGTTCTTTTTATTGGTAAACATGTTTAACTATTTAAATTTAGTATTCTAGCATACTCAACTTCATCTAACCTTTGAAAATAGAAAATTCTACGTTCTGTACCTGTGTTTGCTTAAAATAGCGTGATCATATGTCATGTTATAAAAAAAAAGTAAATAAAAATATTTATAAGATAATTTTTTAGTGCAATAATAAAGGAGCAAAAATGTATCTATTTAATATCCAAATTAAGCAATTAATAAATGCATAGTACATACCCAAAAACTTCAAAAAATCATCAAACTTGTCAGATGATTTCAGCTTGTATTTCTTTCCCAAATATTGGTCCATTTTCGTTTAGCTCCGTTAGTTAATCACTGTAAAGAATATGTTTTATTATTAATTGCAGAATTATTACTTTATTCTTTTTTTAAGCGTTTAAAAAACTATACAAAATAACCTACATTAGAAAAAAATATTCTTGATATGCTATAACGATATAAGACTAGTAATATCGCACTTATAAATAAGGAATGTGCTAAATTTCTTTTATACTCATCCCTATATCATCCTCCAGTTTATTTAAGTTATGCAATTTTTTCTATTCGTGTTATTCATCGATCTATTTGCGTACACGATTATAGAACTTAAATACAGATAACTTTACAATTAGATTCCGTTATTGTAGTAAATCTATTCATATTTATGTAGGCACAAGGTAAACTAGGTTTTCTATTACTTAGAGGAGACCTAGGAACGTTGGAACAATTTTAATATCATTAAACCATAACTTTTTCTCAAATTTTATTCATTTTTTTTTTCAAATTATAGGTGCCTCAGTACTTGTTTTATCGTACGTCGATATGAAAAAAGATGCATTATCGAAAAAATAGTGTCAAAAAAACTCAAAGTTCTAAACAGAGCGCGACGGTACTTCAAACTGAAGCAAAGCCTTCTGTTATATAAAGCACAAGTAAGGTCGTGTGTGGAGTACTGCTCTCATCTCTGGGATAGCTCTGCTCTGAACTTTCTACACGCTATCGATATTCTGCAGAAACAAACTCTCCGTATCTTGAAAGGCGCTGAGGTGAGCAAAACTTTAGAACCTTTACAATTACGTAGAGATATAGCCTCCCTCATTGTCTTCCACCGCCTATTCCTTAGGAAGTGCTCAGAAGAACTTCATTCCCTTATTCCACATTCTCTCTTCTAATGTCGCTCATCTTGGATGTACTAGCGACTACATCCATACATGGTGCGCAATCGTGTACAAGTAAATTTGCCAACTCTTACGTGAACCGTACCGTAAAAATGTGGATTGGTGTTTGCCGCAACTTGTTTTCTCCATCCTATAACCTCAGATACTTCAAACGTATCCTGAAACCTTTTTCTCCGTTTTTTCGGTTTACTTAGTAAGTCGGCATAATGCGAACAGACGTTGAGAGTAAATAATTGTCTTTACGGTTGATTGTTTTCATGGACCTTATTATCTCTGTATTCGCTCAGAATTGTGTGGTCACATAAATATAAAAAAAATATATAATAAAAAACAACAGTTTTTTAAATTATTTATCTATGTATTCATACTTTATTGTACACACCAAAAATACATACAGAAATATAACAATGGAAAGCAAATATACACAGGCGAGCTGAACTCTACAAGAGTTCTCTTCCAGCAACCCCACTGGAATATAACATCAATGTCAACGAACAAGACGGTGTACAATACTGTGACAATTAAAATAAACTACTTATAACAAAATAAACTGGACAAACTTAAGTTTTTACATAATCATGGCTGTGTTTCGGTTTCAAGGGTGGTATATGGCACTGAATTTACAGGGTATAATACTGAGGAATAACACCTGAGTCCTCAGAAATAGCAACGCATGGGGGTATCATGGTCTCATGGCCGGAACAGTATACTCTATTATGTCCATGGTACTGCTCATGTCTATAGATGAGGGTTATCACCTTTCATAGGATGGCGAATCTATTAAAGTTTTTAAATATTATGAAACCTATTTATAGATTTCGATTAATTTAATTAACATCAACTTACATCAGTTTCACTTCTCCTATGTCTCCTCCATTATATTTATACAATACTATATCTAGAAACTTTATAAAAATATATTGTTTTTAATATATTTTTTATTGCATTTATTAAGAGTACGAGATTATAAAAGCATCGAGAATTGTTTTAATTCAACTATGTACAAATCTTTAAGATGATAGATAGCACGTATTCGAGTTTTGTTTTTGTGTTACTTTTTATGCATTATGATCGTAGATAAGTAAAATAAAATAACGTATTTAGTAATATTTTTTATATCTATGATCATACTTATTACGTTTATCGTGACGACAAAAAATTTACTATATACAAGTATATAGGTACGTATTATTTTATTACAAGGTATATTAAAATATCTATTAGTTCGTAGAGAAATAATGAAAAAATTACAATGATTGATGGCTGGTCATTCATATATCCACATTTTCTATGTACTCGTATATTGTTAACGCATACGAGTGATGCGCAAATTTACGCATCGCTCGTATGCGTTATTTATTCGATCACTTATTCTTTGACTGAGCAAATCATTCGGATTATTCGAATGATTTTCAAATAATGCGACTATCTACTAGTTTTATTCATCCGACTACTAATGTCATTTATTAGTCGTTGATGTACAAGTCGACCCGATCGTTTAAATGTCCTAAATGTTTATTGGATAAGAGTGTCGGCAACTTAAATATAGTAAAAATTACCAAATTTCGATAAAAGTAAGTACAGTTTTTATAGGAAATTGCGAAAGTATTACAACACATATTATAAAATTCATATTTCAGTACTTAGTAGCGTTTTTTTTTTTTCGTCGTCGTTTTTACTAACATGGCAATGTTATTACATTGCCATGTTAGGAATGGATACAGACTGTTGAATGAACTTAGTAATAAACAGATTCGGAGAAAGGGCTATGTTGAAATCATTCGAATATGGTAATTAGTTACTAATTTAGTATTCGAATTATTAAATTAATAATTACTAATTATTAATATTATTCGAATAACAAAATCATTCGGATTCGCGCATCGCTAGTGCATACCTAATTCTAATTTGTAACAACAGTATAAGATTGTTTTTTTACAAAACGTAGTAACTTAATAATACAATTAAATTGTAACTTCTTAATTCTTTCTACCCAAAGGTTGTCTACAAGAGATTATTTAGCAATAAGACCGCCTTTTGTATTACACTAATTATATTACTATACTTATTGAAAATTCTTCAACAAGTCCTGTAATATTGGTGCAATAAAGTGTTAAATAAATAAATAAACAGGCGATGTCTGTACATGGGAGATATGTATTTAAAAAAATATCTTAATGAAACTAGTAAATGCCAAAACATTAACTACTGCACCAAATTGGATGCGGTTTTCAGAGTTGTATTCCTGAAAATTTAACTAAAAAACTAGTATATATTTTATCTTGTTTCGTTATCTAGTAGTAGTCTATTTCCTTATTATTCCTTATATTATTGGTTTATATCTTCAGGTCGACCTTCTCGCGGTTCCCACTGGAAACCATCGTGCTCGGTTCCAAATGAATCCATCACGATGGGCTAACTGAGCTACCTTTTCATTCTCACTTATAATTACTGACTGATGCCCCGCCAGCGTATACCGTTAGCGTAGACGAGTTTACCATTACATTATCATTCATTTAAAAACCCATTTCATTTACACTCATTAAAATACTTCCTTATTGTTCTTCAAAACATATTTTCAATTCTAATGAGATATATATATATAACGATGTCTCTGAGTAAGTTTTTAACGGCCGCCGCCTGATGACGAAAAACTAAGGTCATCGAGGACCCGGGCTGTTCATTTCAAAGTCGAATTTGATAATTAATGTTATTTTTTTATTTATTTTGAATACTTTGGGTTGGTTGAACCTCGTTACTAAGAATCCCTTTTCCCCGAGGGTAAATGTTTTTTTTATTGAATGGTAACCCCACTTGCACTAACGGAATACGCTGGCAGGTCCCAATGAAGGATGATAGGTGAGGATGAAAGGGCAGGTTAGTTAACCCACCGTGATAAATATACCTGGAATTCAGTGCGATGGTTTCCAGAGGGAACCATGTAGAGATCGATCTGATAGGGTATATTGCTAGCACAGGGACTGATAGTCCGCATTACTAACAATGCCTTGCCCCTTAGGTAGGTCAGTTAGCCCATCATGATGAATATACTTGGAATTTAGCACTATTGCTTCCAAGGGAGGAAGGAGACGTGGAGGGCGATCTAACAGTATCCATCTAAATAACATAACACATATATTTAAATCAATATACGCCGACAAAACCACGACAAACAGCTAGTGTAAAATATATTAAGAAATTAATGGAAACTTCCAAATGGAAACGGCATATTAATGCTATTCGCTAATTCGTATAAAATATTGATTTTCGTAATTTTTTTTTTATTTATTTTTTATTTATTATCACAAAAACTACAGAGTTACAGAAATTATGTTACATTAGCATTCAGAGACCACGTAGGTTTATATTAATAGAACATGGAAGTAAAGTTCATAAGTTTTTATGAAGCTATATATACATACATATATACAAAATATAATAATACAAAGTACAGTCAACATCGAAAGTCAATATACAGCTACAAATTTCCAAAAACCATAAACATTATTGGGCATAATAATTAAAAAAATATTTGCACCAGAATTAATTAAATATCGTAGGTATACTTAATACATTATTAATTTAATATATACAGTGACATATGTATATTACAACATATAAATACAGAGGGATATAATATTATACCAGAGGGAGACTTTGTACAAAAGTCGATTGCTTGGGTACCTCTGTCCCATTCGTATTTCTACCGTGAAGCAGTTGTGTTTGCATGGCTATGTTTCGTTTTGAAGAGTGGCGTGATTCAATTAAATTTATTCATAACAATATTACATTGTGTCGAATATGATAGGAGTTTTACATAAAAACAATGTCAGATACAAGTAATGAATTACTAATAATAACAATTTCAGTCAAAAAACAAAAAAAAAAAAACAAGTAACCACTTACAACTCACAATTAATTGAGAGTTTGATTTTTTAAGAATATACAGGGTACAGAGGAATAATACCTGAGTCCTCAGGAATGGCAACGCATGGGGGGTATCATGGGCGAAACAGTATACACTGTTATATCCATGGTACTGCTCATGTCTATAGGCGACGGTTACCACTTTCCATCAGGTGGGCCGTCAGCTTGTTTGCCATTCTAAGTTGTATAAAAAAAAAGAATAAAATGTATATATTTACTTTTATTTTATTATTGATGTAGTTTTAGAAACCTTTACACATGAATACTACTCGTAAGTGTTAATTGACTTTTGAGGCAGTCCGTATTTACATACTTTCCGTATTCTGTATAATATTATGTAAAATTAATATTCATGATCTTATTTATAATCTACGTATTGACTGTGTTATTTACGTCTTGAACTATAAAAACTATTCTACTTTTGTTTTAATCCGTATGATTTCGGAGTAAATCACTACGTTTTTTATATAATTAGGGAGATAGAAAGGAGATTGTTAACGATAGATTATTACTAGTAATAAAAAAATTGTCTCACAAAATAAAAAAAAACTACTTCAATTGTGACGAAACCAGTTATTTTGCTCTGAAAATTGATCGGCTGAACCGATTTTGATATAATTTTTATAGGACTCGTCCTCTCCTGTCATCCCTCATTGGTACCGCCATCTTATATTCGTACTTGTAGGAACAGTGTGATAATTTTTCTATTTCATTTAACAAATATCAGAAGATATCACTAAGAGAATAAGTGAGTTTTAAATTAATCTGTAAACTAGACAGAACTACGGGTTAATTTTGAAGTATCGTTTTTTATTGTTCTCCCTAAAATTATAATTGTCAAATTAAAATAGTTTATTAAAACTATTATAGTATGCACCATCGAGAAATATCATCATAATATCAGCTTTTAACTGTCCAATGCTGAACATAAGCCTCCCCCTTGGAGGATTTAGCCAATGCCACACTTGGCAGGCGCATTAGCAACCGCAGTCAGACTTTAGAGATGTTTTAAGAGGGACGCTGCTCCCCATCTCTCTCCCTTCCTTAGTCGACTCTTACAACACCCATGGAAAGGAAAGAGTGGCCCATTCTATACCGGGTCATGATCGATCCATCAAGAAATATATATAAAGCATTTAGGATGCATATCTATTAAAAATTACTGTATACTCGAACTGCAATGTTAACAAAAATCAACCGCAACGCTGCTCTCGTCGACGAGCTCTAGGCCTGTTTGTTACAATAATCATATCGCTTTAATTTTCAAAACAAAAATACCTAGAACTTGTAACCGATTACGCATTAAGCTGGAAAGAACAGATAAATTATTTATATAACCAGATCCGTAAGTCTAATGTTATCTTTAAAAGAGCAAAAAATGTCGCCGACCTTGACGCAATAAAAATTGTTGTACCACGATCTGTGGACCTGTCTTAATATCTATATGTAGGTAGGCATTATAGGATAGAATCTACCACTAAGACTTTTATCACACTACGATTTAGACTTATGAAGCTGAAACGAGCACAAAAATTGATCATAAAAACTGATTTCATTAAAGAATACAGATATCCTACTAATACTAATATTTATTTATTAAACTATTTCTTCACATAGTGGCATATCAATATTTACATTTATTATTTAAGACATAAGTTCTTAATCTATTTATTATTCAGATATTGTCATTGTTAATAATTATTAAACATTATAAAAGTGCATGTGGTGTTTCCCTGTAAAAAACTTTTACATTAGGTAAAATTATTTTTTGTGTCATTGAATAAGTTTTTTTTTATACAACTTAGAATGGCAAACAAGCTGACAGCCCACCTGATGGAATGTGGCACCGTCGCCTATAGACATAAGAGTGTATACTGTTTCGCCCATGATACCCCCCATGTGTTGCCATTCCTGAGGACACAGGTGTTATTCCTCTGTACCCAGTAAATTCACGCTATATCCCACCCTTCAAACCGAAACACAGCCATGCAAACACAACTGGTTCACGGTTGAAACACGAATGGAACAGAGGTACTCAAGCAATCGACTTTTGTACAAGTCTCCCTCTGGTCTAAGTAGCGTGTAAAATGTAAAATGTAGATGTTGTAGGTGAACCTTATTAAATAAATAAATAAAATAAATACATTACAGTTATTAAAATTACAGAAATAAATATTAATAATATCAAATAACAGGGTGTCCTTCTCTAGAAATCTGTCCGATTCTAGAATATATGTATACATATGGATATGCAACCACGGCCTCCCGAATCGCTGCAGTGTCCCAGTCCTTTCCGCAACTACAGTATCCCCCCCTTTCCGTTCCCACATATCCCCTCCCTTATTCTTCTTATTTACCAATTTCCTTAACACATTTCCAACGTTTCCTTCCTTTTTCTTCAATCCTTTCCTCCATACCGTAGGTGGCAGAAACCAAATGCATTCCCAAAGAGAATTGACGTCAGGCAAGCGGCCGGTAGTACAATTATAAGCCAAATGTTTGGGTAATATGGATAAAAAGCATATTACGGCGACCCCAAATAGATTGGGATAAGAAAAATTATAATGATCAAACAGCAATGGGATATTAATAACAATAATGATATATGATAAAATAATTTACTATCTCCTCTTAAAAAAAAAGTGTTTTTTTTTTTTTTATAAACTTTACAATTATATTAATTATTGACAACTTCCAATTATTATTGACATGCAATTGGAAGTTTTAAAATAAGAATGTTAGACAGATTACAATAAAAAAAAAATATCATAATTTAATATTGGCATTTGGCACGAGTCGGTCACCTTGTAAAAAGAACTTTGTTCAAAACATCATCTTCATTTTATTTTATTTTTATTAACTATATATAAAGAAACTGAAATGCTAAAAGTCCATCAACTGTATATATCTACTATATACTGTGCTATAATTTTATGGTATAGCTCTTGCAAATTTTACCACATAAAATCTTTCCCAAAGGCAAAACAAATTAATTACTCCTAAGATACGCACCTAATTCACTCAAAAGCCTTATTCCTATACTGGATCGTTACTGTTTAGAATTGGAAACGATTACTGCCAGAGGGAAAGTTTGTACAAAAGTCAATTGCTTAGGTACCTCTGTCCCATTCGTGTTTCAACCGTGAAGCAGTTGTGTTTGCATAGCTGTGTTTCGGTTTGAAAGGTAGCATATGACGTGAATTTACTGGGTACAGAGGAATAACACCTGAGTCCACAGGAATGGCAACGCATGGGGGGTATCATGGGCGAAACAGTATACTCTGTTATGTCCATGGTACTGCTCATGTCTATAGGCGACGGTTACCACTTTCTATCAGGTGGGCCGTCAGCTTGTTTGCCATTCTAATTTGTATAAAAAAAAATGTCATGTAATAGCCGTAAGCATAGTATGAGCAAACCCTTCCTTTTCCGCGGGTGTCATACCCCGGAGGCGACTGAGGGAACTTAATTGTCGAAGGATGGGCAGCAGCGTTCCTCTTAAAACGTCATCAAAGCCTAACTGTGGCTACCAAATCGCCTGCCAAGCATAACAACTACTGAAAAACCCCCCAAAAGAGACCTATGTATAACAGCGGACAGTTAACGGCTGATATGGTGTGATATAACTGTACACCATTGTAAAAAGGTCAAATATACATTAAAAGAATTTGACTAGGTAAAAATCGTTAAACAGTAAGTCATACTTATTTTTATATAACAACGCCATCTATAATTTAAGATGTACATAGTTTCTATTTAGCACTACTACTGCCCACTCACTACTTCCTATGCCACTGTGTTAGGTTGACTGGAAAAAAACTCTTTTAGAGATAAGTTCACCTTTACTAACTTTGTTATTAACTTGGTATATATATAATAATGTTTATACTTTATTTATATAATAAATGAATAATTATTCTACGAATTAAAAAAAAACATTATCATTAAAATAATATTTATTATTTACAGAATAGGAAAATAAATAATAACAAATTATCAACAAAATACTCGAATTGATAAATATTTTCTTATATAATATTTTTTTAAACTATATATCTCAACGTAATAGAGGTACTACTAACTGTAAAAGGTTATACATACACACACAAAATGATTAACTATGTTATTCAAGTATGAATACATATTTTTGTCGTAAAATTGTATATATTTATTCTATGAGAATTCTCTTTAATACTGCAATTATCATTTCTATAATAAAATTACACACAAGTATTTTATTGGTGTTATTAGAAAAACATTTGTACTCTTTCACAAAGAAAATGTGTTATAATAAATACTTGACCGATTTCGCTGTGTTTTTCTAATACAATCTCCTCTAATTATCTATCCGTTTCTAGAATAAAGATTCACAGTTATGTGTTTTTGGTTTCCTAAACCACTGAAATATTTGACCAGTGTTCCCCATTTCCCTTTACCTCATAAATTCTTCATTCCTTTTTTACCAACTACCAACCTCACTTCTAACATCCCCTTTTTTCCTTAATCCTTTCCTTCATACCGTAGGTGGTAACTACCGAGAAATGCATTCCCAAGGAGGGTTGATGTCATAAAACTAAAACCCAGAACCTTAGATAATATAAATAAAATCATATTGCGCTAAACCCAAACAATGGGATGAATAAAAAAAAATAATGGGATAATGACAGAAATATGATAATGATTAATATGTATGCAAAGTTCCATGTACCGACAGTCACAACTATTAATATACAAGTACTTCTATTGCCTTTCCATAACAAGGACCATTTCCTTCAACTTTCGTCGGTGAACCTTCGTTGAAGCCGTCATTGGTATTTCGTTCAGAAATATCACGCCTCCTCTTAGTTGTTTAGCATCTGACAACGAATCTAAAACGATAAAATATACTTCTAAAAATTCACATCTTTAATCACAGGTGTAGTATAATCCTATAATATATAAAGTAAGATAGAAGGTAGGAGGCGAAGAAGGAGACCAAGGCATATTACATCAGGCAAACCAAGGAAAACGTTGGTATAGTGTCGTATCAAGAGGTAAAGAGACTCGCTAAAAATCGTAGTAAGTGCAAGAACTCCACCGACAAGACAAGATCTATCCTATTTATGAGCAGCTCTTAAATAGGATACATAGATAGTAATACATAGATACATAGATACATAGATAAACCTAATGAAATTTAATGAAAATGTAAACAAACAAATATTATTAACTTTCTTTCTTAAATTTCTCCTTCAAATATTCTTTGAAGTCCCAAAAAAGTTCTTATGAAGAGTAAAATTCTGTAGAGAAAAAGAAACTGTTCCTAGTGATTACCAAAATTAATTTAGAAGGTTGTTTCCAAAATTTTATATAAATAATGACTTTAAATAATTATTGACAGGACTATTTCTGTCGGGTCTGATACTTGTATTACAATATACAACAAACCTTTCACCAAATCTTTGATCTCTTGAGCTGTAAGACGGCACTGTGGTTTGGCTACAACGCATGCGACCAATAAATCGCCACAATCAGCGTCCGGTATTCCAGTCACCGCCACATCCAGCACTCCGGGATGCTTGCGGATTACACTTTCTACTTCCACTGGAGATATCTGGAGATAAAAGTCAGTTTCAGATATATCATATCATCATTTCTGTCTACTGTCCACTGTTGAACAGAAGCTTTCCCCGTAAGGGGAGTTTTGCTAGTAGTTGCCACGCTTGGCAGGTGGGTTGGCAACTGGAGTTAGGCTTTTAAAGATATCACTCTGCACATCTCTCTACCATTAAATTCCCCTAGTCCCCTATTACCACAACCACAGGAAAGAAAGGGTTGGCCTATTTCGGGACCACACGGTCTTATTATAAAATATACTTGGTACTAGGTACATTTATCTTTTCCGTGATTTTACCATGAAGCAAATGTGGTTGCACGACTATTTTGGTTTGAAGACTGTGGTAAGGTAAGTATCTAGGTAAAATAGTGAGGTAAAATTACAGGGTACGGAGGCATAAGGTCACAGTATTCAGAAATGGTAATAAATGAGAGATATCATAGGCGTCACAGAGCATTCTGTGTTACCCATGGTGCTGTTTATTTATATAAGCAACAGTCATACCTTTCCATCAAAATAGCTGTGAACTTGTTTATAATTCTAATTTGTATACAAAAAATTATCGATAGTATGTCTCTATTATCTAGAACAATAAAAAGATAGTGGCCAATCAGATTGAAAAAGGTAACCGCTTATAGATTGAAACGGCACAAAAAACAACGTGATTCTCTTCATGCTTTCCTATTCCTGAGGTCTGAAATGATAACCAGTCTATCGTATGATTTAAAAATAGTTTTCACTCTCCACTTCTTTTTAATATTTGATATAGCAATTGACTGGGAGAAAAGTCGTCCATTACGAATAGTATGCTAAATTTCATGGCGATTGGTTAAATGATTATTTATTAGGATTTTATTGATTTATTATATTAATAAGCTTTTTTAGACCGCTCGTCATTATGCTAGTGCATAACGGCAGTTTGCAATACCTACGGCATTTCTACGTCCGAAATAGTTGCAAATGTTTTAAATCAAGAGTTGTCTTGAAATTTTCTGCTGTTAATTGATGTGTGTATAGACACGATTGAAACCCCTGTATATATGTATATATATATATATATATATATACATATATATATATATATATATATATATATATACTTTTTTTGCTAAGCAATATTATTTGTGGATTTTCTATTCTAAAAAGTGACATTAGTGCTCCTTAATTAGAATTATTATTCAATTTACCTGATAACTTTTGTATTTTAACAGCAATTTTATACGTTCCACAAAGAAAAAATTATAATTCGCATCTCTGTAAAACATATCACCAGTTTTAAACCATCGCCCATCGGCGAATGCTTCAGCTGTCGCTTCCGGATTATTGTAATACTCCTAAAATTCAAAAGCAATAATATTATAAACCTACATTCATAAATAAATGACGATTTAAAAGTAAACATGATTTAAATTTGAAAAAAAAACCTACAATAAGATTAATCTTTTGAAGTAAATAAAAAACATAGTGTGGCATAGTTCATACAATATGGACCACTTGAAATAAATAAATAATACCGAAATTAAAAAAATATGAAAATTTTAAATGACATTTGAATGGTCAGATATTTTAAGATCAATTTCATTATTTTGTATACATATAGACCGTATTTTTCTTTAACATTTTAAATTATTTATTTAAAATTTATATAATATGTTTTATATATTTATGTAATATATATAGTTATAAATATAAAACTTTAATCATATAAATATAATAATTAATAAATAGACTTACTAAATATTTAATAATACTTGTTATTAAAAAGCAAGCGAATAAAACCATGAGAAACAGTTAAATATTAATTTGCAAAATATATTTATCGCATAATAGAAAAAATGTATTACGTACTTTAAACACGCCTGGTCCCTTAACCCATAGCTCTCCAGCTACGTTAGGCTCCAATATGTCCGTCTGAGTTTCTATATTTATCAACTGTAATTAACAATATGAATACTATATTAGCCGTTAAATGTCCAATGCTGAACATAGGTCTCCTCATTAGAGGGTTTTACCTTTAGTTATTACACTTGGCAGGGGGCTTGGCAACCGCAGTTAGACTTTGATAGTGTTTTAAGAAGATCACTGCTGCCCATCAACCATTTAGTTACCTTAATGGCCTCCTACAACAGCCATGGGAAAGGAAGGAGTAGCATATTATATGCCAGGATTACATGGCCAATTAATAAAGTGTATAACTTGTTTCAAATCAAACGAATAATGAACTCAATTCAATTTCATTTAAAGTTAATTTTTATTATTAAAATAAATATCTTTAAGCCTTTACACAAAATATGTTAATAAAGATTAAAAAAAACTTACTCTATATTGGAAACAGCCCAATGGCTTGCCAGACGAGCCCAATGGTGGGTTGTCCGGTTGAAACGCGATGTTGCTCAGCTCACTCATGCCGTAAACATCCAATACTTCAATATCTGGTGAAATTTCCTATACCAGAAAAATATATAGTTTAAATACAACAATTGAGAAAAATTTTGGATGCAATAAAAAATGTATATTTTCTGATACAATAAGTTCTATAACATAGTAGTACTAAGAAATGGAAACAAGGCAAATAATTTTTGTTGTTGTAAGATCTTTATTATTTATAATTTACATGGGAAATATAAAAAAGATTTCACTTACAATAAAATGCAATACAAATACAATAGCTGATTTATCCCATAGAAGAATTTTACACTATAATTTCATATACTTTCATGTTTATATATTTATAAATTATATAGTATGAGGAGCTCAAAATTATATTGTAGTTATAGTATCCGACCCATGATTTTTGGAAACATGTTTAGTGTGATAGAACCTAGTCATTATCATCATCATCATTACAATCGTTAACTGTCTATTGCTGAACATAGGCCTTTCCCATAAGGGGGGTTTTGCCAGTAGTTGCCACGCTTAGTAGGCGGGTTGGCAACCGCAGTTAGGTTTTGGTATTGTTTTAAGAAAGACGCTGCTGGCCATCCTTCGACTATTAAGACCCTCTTAGTCGCCTCTTACGACACCCACAGGAAAGGAAGGTTAGACCACGCTATGCGGAAATCACGCGGCAATCTACAATCCAATATAATAATTATTTGAGATAGAAATATGATTTATATTAAATTTATTCAATTATTATTTCAGTTATTTATTACCTTTACTTTATCTAAGAGATTTGTTGGTACAGCGCTACCGCCGAGCAATATTAATTCAAAACAGGAAAGGTCACATTTGTCTTTGCCTTCAGATTTCAACAATGTCGACATGAATGTCGGCGACAGTATAGTGAAGGTTGGCTGAGAATGAAAAAAAAAATGTTCTGATCATGTATCATTCATGTTTTCAAATATAAATTAATATAAATGACACATCTATTAATAGACTTTACTACTGTTTGGTTTAAAAATTAAAGAATTTTATTTATAAAATGCAAATACAGTCAGTCTCATTATTCTAAAAAGTTTAAAATGGCTCTAAAAAAATATTCAATTACAAAAAGTTATTACATACACTACAGGAATTTTTCAGTGAGAAAATTTAATTGTATTTGTACCTATTTGTGTCAATGTAATAATGTTTTATTTATTGTATGTTAATCGACTATACATATATATAATATAAAAAAATTGTTATGTACTTTATGAAAGATTTATTATTGTGATTGCTGTGCCCTTCCAGGGTTTATGTTAATTCTTTACTTTTAATAACTTAAAACCCATATTGTTACAACATGAAATAGCAATAAATAATTGAATTGAATTGTGTATGATTAATAATAATATACAAATAATAATAATGGATTTCTCTATCATAAACAGATCAACAGATCAACTCTGGAATCTAGTATAGATATTAATCCAATCCATTGCCAATGACAATTTTATACTGCATTCTTGAAACAAAAATTAGGAATTAGGTTAGAATTACAATCGATTTGAAAAAGTTTGTATTGATAAGTTACACTAATGTGCATTTGTCAGAACAATATAAAATCAATATGCCGCCAGTGTTATTGTTGTCAACTGTCCACTACTGAGTATAGGCCTCCTCCATAAGGGAGATTTTACCAATAGTTGCTACGCTTGACAAGCGGATTGGAATCCGCAGTTAGATTTTTTGGTGATATTTTAAGAGGAATACTGCTGCTCATCCCTCGATATTTAAGTTGTTTTAGTCGCCTCTTACGACACCTACGGGAAAGGAAAGGGTGGCCCATTCTATACTGGGACCACTGGGCAATGTTATTATATATTTGTCACGAACTTACCCGATATTTATTTATGAGGTGCGTTGCGTGTGCTTCTGTCAATGGGAGGGATGTTTGGAGACGTGTGTATCGAAAGACGGGTGATGTGAGAAAATTTATTATAGCAGTGAGCCACTGCAGCGGTGCACCGATAAAAGCCATCCGAGTAGGCGTTGGAAAGTTGTTGAATCTAGCCCTGTTATAACAATTATATAATTTGTCCATATTTAAAAAAAAAAACAGTTTCATATGCCTAAGTTCTATTACTGACATCAGAGTGTCTCCCTCTGGATTTTTTTTTAATGGATGATAATGGAATGGTAATCCCGCCTGCGCTCTCAGTATACACTGACGGGGCACTAGTGAGAGATGATAGGCGAGATAGAAGGGCAGGTCAGTGAGCACATCGTGATGAATACACCTGGAATTCAGCACGATGGTTTTCAGGGGGGACCACGTGGAGGCCGACCTGATAGGGTATATTGCTAGCAGTGAGACTGATAGTCCGTATTACTAACAATCCCATTCCTCCCTCGCCTTCTGGGTTTAAAGTTTATACTGTCAAACACTTTGACCAACTATAAACTCTAAGCCTTTGACATAAATACGTACCCTTCAAAGCATAAAGTAAGCAACAATTATCCTTATTAATATTATAAATGTGAAAGTGAGTTTGTTTGTTACCTATTAGTGCCTTAACCAATGAAATTTTGTTCACAGATACTACAAGGAATGGAGAGGACGTAGGCTACTTTTTATCTAGGTCCGTAAATATATCCTGATCACGTGGACGAAGTCGCAGTAAATGCTAGTTTTTAAATGATACAAATAGTAATTTGACAATTAAAAGGCTGTAAGCTAAAATTCAATTTTAGGATCCTCGGACCGCAAACAAACGTTCGCCCACGGACCACTTTATTAATAATAACTATCTTAAATCATAACGTATTATAATGATTATTAAATAACTATTAAATAAAATAATTAAAATAAAAACTATTATAAATGAACTGTTTGTCTATTAATTTAATAAAAATTTGCCTATATTTCCATGCGGTATACAATTATATGCGACCAACGTATACCTATTGGTGCAGATAGAATCACTATTCTAAATAGTGATTCTATCTGCACCAATAGAGTGCACCAATTTTTAAATTGAGTCTAACTCAATTAAAAAATTACTATGCATTAAAATGCAATGAAATGAAACGCTGTCTAAATTTAAAACCAAATAAATCTACAAACCAAAGATTAGGAGCCGTAATTGTTATGTTTTTGTGAGTAACTGCAGCCGCCTTGGGGAAGCCTGTTGTACCACTGGTCGCCACCAAAATAGCTATTGTCTCTTCCGGGTCAAAGTTGTTTGGTCTAAAATTTGAAATACATATACAGTTTAATATAAAAAATCCATATCCAAGCATATTTCCTTTTTAAAAGGCCAGCAGCACACCTGCAATGCCGTAGGTGTTGTGGGTGACAATGGGCGGCAATAGTCACTTACCATCAGGTGAGCCACATGCTCGTTTGCCCCCTGTGTTGTAAAAAAAAAAACTTATGTATAAAATCAAGCCAAAACACTCACACACACAACGCACACACACACACCTGTACGCATATTTTAATATTAATATAATAATTTTAATATTATAATTAAAGATTTACCGCTATAATTTATAGTTAAATTGATTAATTAATTAATTAATTGTTGGTCTTATCTTGTCTTTTATTTATTAACCTTTTAACCGTGTCAGTCGGATTTATCGAACAAAGGTTATTAAACTGTAGCGCCTGTATCGATTTATCCAACAAAGAATCGATATTTTTCTTCTTTCTATTTCTATTTGTTATTTCCGATTATTACTGCTTACTACAGAGGAAAAGGAATTGTTAGTAATGCGAACAACCAGTTCCAATACCCGCAATAGATCCTATAAGGTCGAACTTCATCGTGCTGAATTCCAGATGCATTCATCACGATAAGCTAATTAGACTGTCATTTCATTCTCCCCTACCATCCCTCACTGGTGCCCAGCTGACATATACCATTAGCGCAGGCGGGGTTACTATTCCATTACCATTTATTAAAAAAAACTGTTTCCTACATTAAAAAGATTATTACAAAATTACATCACTCAAATTTAGATTTTTTTAATACGTATTAATGATATGGTAACCCCGCCTGCGCCTGCCCGCTAGCGGTGCACCAGTCAGGCATGATTCAACAAGAATTAACCAATAATGATACAAAATCAAAATTTATACCGAACCCTTAATTATTTACAATCAGAACCCCAAAAACTATTTTTTCATTATTTTATTTCCATACAAACGTGAAAGACTAAGACAAAATACTCGTAAAATAAAGACAGAGTGTAGTTTACAATATTTTAAAATAACTTGTCAAAATCTTTACCCTTACTAATATTATAAATGTGAAAATGAGTTTATTTATTTGTTACCTCATAGCTCCTTAACACCTCTACTAATCATAGTTAAATTCGATATATAGTTACTATAAGGGATGTAGAAGATAAGCTACACCTTATTTCGGTTAGCGAACAAATCCTGGTCACGCGGACGAGGTCACGACTCAAAGCTAGTTAGAAATATTTAATAAAAAATCAGGTATTTCTGATTTGAGTCGGGCGCTAAGACAACTACTATAAAACTTAGCGATCAAAGAGCTAATAAAATGGCCAACTGCTGAAAGTAAAGGTCTTCTTAGGAGACGCCATAGACTGTCCCAAGAAATGGTCATGAGTGGTCATGAATCGTTCAACAGTTGTGGTCATCACTCCATCAACCTTGTTTAGTACTTTACTGGTTAATAGGCACTTTATTTTAATAAAAATCAATAAAGAATACATCCATGCATGCATGCGTGCATGAATGCATACGCATGATGAAAAATAAACCCCACGGTTCACTGGAATCCTCAATCTCGATCCAGAGATAATTTTTCGTCCTCTTTAACCCAGTATTTGTAGGATCTAAAAATACTAATTACTTTTTCATTCCACTTCGATAAACATGTTTGTAACATCAAATATAATACATAATATTTTTACTAACTTGAAATCCTTGACTGCCTTGACGTCGCTATATTCTTCTAGAAACTTGTAGAAGCTGCAGAGATAATCTCCTTTATTGAACGTCACTATTTTCGTATTCAACTCTAATTCGTTCAATACAACTTGTATTTCCGGAGCTTTTTCACTTTGGCATAATATTAATTTGGGTTTGTCAACACCAAAAGTTTCTTTTAGTTCGACTGGAAATAATTGTCTACTGTAAAAACTATTAAGAACGTTTAGTTTAGCTTATCAAAGTATGGCAATATCGCAATTATCTGTCAATTTATGAAAATAATTGAACACATCTCGATGTTTCTAACTGATTATTTAAAAAAATTATCTGTAAAAATAAAACTTTTTTTATTAGATACACTTCTTAGCTACTATCTTTTTTTTTCTCCTCTGCCCAAAGGTTGTCTGGAAGAGATTGCTTTAGTTATAAGACCTTTTGTGCTTCATAAATATATATATATATATATATATATATATATATATATATATATATATATATATATATATATATATATATATATATATATATATATATATATATAAACATTAACCTAATCATATATTATAAACATATGAATACATCAAATATTGTTTTATTTTCCTTTATTCCATAATGCACCGCCTACTTGTTTTTCGATTTTACACAATGCATTACATTGATTTAAATCTACTACTAAAAACATATTTTCAAACAATTAACTAGAAATATTGAAAATCTTTAAATTGTTTATGAAAAATTGCCAGATAATTCCAATGTTGCCATGCTTCGATAGCTTAAGTTATGAACACTCATAAGTTAACTTATAATACTAAAAAACCTTTATTTATTTGCAATGCAAACTAAATACTTAAAAACACACCATGATCGAATATAATTCCCGCGAATTTTTTAACGTAGTTTAAAACCTTCAAATTTGACCCATCATCAGACGAGCCTAAAATTGTTTTACATCAGTAAAATGGTAACCGTCATTTAAGGCATAACCAAAGTTATGGATATCTCTAAGTACCAATCCATATTAATCAAAATATCCACAAATACCAATAATTATAAACACTTACTAACTCCTAATGTTCTATCCACCGGAGCAATAATAACCCCAAGATATAATGCAGCATAAACAGGTATCACCAAGTCTGAATGGTTGGGAGCCATCAACATTACGACATCTCCAATTTTTAAGCCCAAATTTTTGAAAGCAACAGCACATTCCACAGATTTCTTCAAAACTTCTCTGTTTGTCATAATTTCTCCAGTTGCCCCGTCTATCTGTGAAATAAATAAATTTAAAACTATTATTAAGAAACAATTATTGAGCAAAAACTAAACAAAATAATAAATTATTATTGAAAATAGTGTACGATATTGGTCCATCATGCGCGGACTTTTAAATGACCGTATTATTTTAGCGTAGTACATTCAAATACAGCTGATGCTCTGTTACCTAAATTTTAAAACGAAAACATATTTTAAGCTTATCATCATCATATCAGCCGTTAACAGCAGTGTCTAGCGGAACGTAGCCCTCCTCCTTGGGGAGTTTTGCCAGTAATTTTCACGCTTGGCATGCGAATTGGCAACCGCAGTTAGGCTTTTAGAGATGTTTTAAGAGGGACACTGCTGCCCATCCCTCGCCCTTCATCCATCCACGGGAAAAGAAGGGGTGGCCTATTCTATGCGAGAACTACACGGTAACACAATAATATAAATAAGTGAAATAAATATACCTATTACAAAATTTTCGCCATTTAAAATACTCATATATAGGCATCTCTCTCTTCAGTCGTACACTCTTGACAGAGTGGTCGTGGTTTTTACAATGATAGTGGATCGTCGATGACGCCCTTCTTCGCGATTAAGGTATTACATATATATAGGTATCTATATACCTGTAGGTATATAGATACCTATAGGTATATAGATACCTATAGAGGTAGGTAAGATGATAACAATACCCAGGTAATTTATACAAAATTTTACCATCAATTTGTAATCAAGAGTATTCCCAAATGTTAACATAAAATCACTAGACATAGCTTTAATCTATACTATTAATATAAAGAGGACACATTTCATATTTATTGTACATAATATATAAACTTATAAAATATTTTACCAATTTTTTTTTTACCTGTACGGAATGTTGCTACATATCATTTATTTATTTATTTAAATTGTGATACATACGAGGTTTGTCCGGAAAGTACGTATAAAAGTTTTTTTAAAAATTTTATTTTACAATTATTCAGGTAAATCAATTTTATCCCCTTCAAAGTACTCCCCCTGTGACATAATGCACTTGTGCCAACGCCGTTTCCACTGTGAGAAGGCTCCTTGAAAGTCCTCTGGTTGTAGGTTTCTCAGCTGCCCCGTCGTAGCTTTTTTTATCTCATTTATGTCCCCCAAATGCCGCCCCCGAAGTACCAATTTGGTTTTTGGGAACAAGAAGAAGTCACACGGGGCCAAATCCGGCGAATAGGGGGGTGTTCGGTCACCGTAATGGAATTTTTACTCAAAAACTCACGGAACGATCTTGGCGCAAATTTTTTTCATTTGAAGTTCGTTTCTTAGAATTTCGTGGACCACGGTTTTGCCCAAATTAAGCTCTTCAGCCACCTGTCTGACCGTTAAACGACGGTCCCCATTAACACAAGTTCGAATTCTTTCCACGTTTTCGTCGGAATGTGAAGTGGAAGGACGTCCTGAACGTGGGTCATCTTGAACGCTTTCTCGGCCCTCTCTGAATCTTTTTAGCCACTTGTGGACGGTTGGTTCCTTCACAGCATCATCCCCATAAACTGTTCTGAGATCGGCAAAAATTTCACGGCCATTCTTGCCGAGTTTCGAGAGAAACTTGATTACGACGCGCTGCTCTTCAACGGAAGCGGGCTCCATGCCGACGGGGTTTCGTTAAGAGGTAACTTCACAGATGGCGTGACAAGCCAGTTCGCACCGCACGGCGGTCAGACCAGAACTGAAGCATTGTTAGGGACATAAGGAAGGGGTCCTGCGCTTACCTGGCCTCCCCACTCCTCTTTCTCGCATTCCAGAACACTTTTATACGAACTTTCCGGACAGACCTCGTATGTAACAATGGATGGTAAAACAAGATAAGTCCTCTATGATCAACCCCATCTATCGAGCTATACAAATTCGCAATTATATTACATTTATAGTAAAAAAATTATAATATTATGGAAATTTATTACATTTATCTCCAAGGAAATCGTTAATCATTTTACGGCACTTAAAAAAAATAGAAATAAAAAAATAGAAACCCCTGCAAAGACAGTCGTGGACCAACGAAGGAAATAAATACACGAGCATCTTAGAAAAAAATAAATAAAGAAAGAAATAATTTAGAAAAATTTATAGAAGATACTAGATAATATTTATAAATAGAAGGAATCATTTGCATACACGAACTCGACTCAACGAAATAGCCCTTTATTATGACTTGCACGTTTTAAATTACAACCAATTGCAGTAAAGTGATATATGTAGTTAGTATCTTGTAACTAGAACCTCATCTATTTATAACCTTCGTTTGTCCACGACAGGATATACAAATAGACTGAGGAACTCTATCCTATAAGCTTTATAATACTCAGTACCAACTTTAATTGGTTACTTGAATACTTATGGTTTCGCAATCTGACCTTACTTATCCTCCATGTTACCTTACCTTACCTTCCATAGTTGAGTGTTCGATCCTAGTGCTATACAAACATGTATTTAAGAAGTTCTACTGAGTTTGAGAGTGAATATGGCTGTTATGATATATCTAGTGCTTTTTTTGCACCGACTTGAAAAAGAATTTGGTTGTGTTTTTTTTAATGGTTAGCTGCTTTTTTTGGTTTAGTACCTTCATCAGTTATAAACCAATTTGAATAAAATCTTTTTTGGCAAAAAATGTATAAGTACTTAGAGATCGGTTTTTAGAAAATTTATCAAAACTGTTTCAATTATTTTTCTTTTAAATTAAAGTTACTGGTTTTGTCATTTTTGAAACATGTTTTTTTGTAGTATATAGTCTAATTATTAAAATATTATCCTATTTGAAATCACTGCAATTGATTAATAAACAAAACAATCGCTGCGTAAAAGTTATGCATCACTCAATCGAGAAAGAGCTGTCTATGGATCACTCTGGTTGATACCAGAGTGATCGGGCCTGGTGAGTTTCTCCGTATTGATTTCTATCTAGTGACGCCTTCTGCCAGTATTATATTAGGCATTTTCAAAATTTTATTTGTGTACATATTTATATTTCTTTACTAAACAGAATTTTAATTGATTATTTTTAATATAAATAAATAATTTATTTATTCTTATATACATAAATATTAAATATATAAATAAACTCTATTATTAATCTTATATAAAGTAGGTCATGCTAGAATGAAGGTTTTCAGAGACTAAACACCTACATACGAGATGCGATACAATGTTTTGATAAAACGAGTACAATGTAAAGTCTACATTGTGTCAATATTTCTAACCCATTATTTAATAAAACATCATGTTAATCATAGACAATTTGCAATTCATTTAAGTGATAATTTATCATGAGAATATTGTGTCAAATTACACTATTGTTAGAGCAAACGAGGACAAAAAAGGGGGAGAAGATTATTAGTAATGAAGATTAGAGGCTACATTATTAACAACTGTGTGTCTCCAATCCATGTAATTTTGATAGAAACGCGGACAAAGCTGTGGGCATAATAGACAAAAAATATACACGCAATACCTGCATGACGAAGTCAAGGTCATCTTCAAAGCTCTGCATCAGTATTTTTCCAAGATGAAACCTGTCATTGGGGTTACCGGACTTCGCAATTATACGAGCTTCTAGCTCGCTCATAAACCAATGTACTGAATCATTGACACGCCTCTGTAGTCTCGGCATTTGACTGGAAGACAATTTTTTCATGTAACTTGGCATCATGTCTGATGGAAAGTGATACTGGTTACCTATAGATCCGGAATTGTTAGTAATAATCAAACTACTCCATTGCAAGCGGTATACTATCAGATTGACCTCCATGCAGTCCCTCCTGGAGATTATCGTATCGTGACAAATTCGACAAGAATGAACCACAATATTTTCCAGCAAAAACCGTCTGGAAGTCAACCTGATATCGCTAACAACAAAGCTTTTGGACTATATTACTAACAAATACTTTCCCTGGTCACAACTGATTACAATGAATATACACATGTATGAACTTTGCATAAAGTCTCCCTTGTTTGTATAAAGTCTAGTTAATCACAGTTACTTTATTTAGGAAGTAAAGGAAGATTACTGTTTCCTTTGTACACTTCTTATTAGTGCATTTCCAGCCTTTTAGTTATTTATACCTAAGGAAGATTTATAAAAGCTGCTCAAATTTGATTTTCTTCTGTGATTGTATTGAAAGGGGCACAGCCCTATCTGTAGTCTGCATGTACGAAATAGTTCTTTGAGATTAGGTGCAGTGGTAATAACATGAAAATAACGATAGGTACCAAGTGCAATTTCTTAGAACTCCCCCTATTTTTTTTAATAAGTGAAAATGAAATAGTGATCCCGCCTGCGGTATCGGTATACACTGACAGGGCACCAGTGAAGGATGATAGGTGAGAATGAAAGCAGGTCAGTTAGCCCATCGTAATGAATCCACAAGAATCCACGATGGTTCCCAGGGGAAACCGCGTGGAAGTCGACCTGATAGGGTATATTGCTAGCAATGGGTCTGTTAGACCCCATTACTAACAATCCCTTCCTCTCCAATTTTTTTTTATGCTTAACATAAAATGGCAAGCAAGCTGACGGCCCACCTGATGAAAAGTTTACCACTTTCTATCAGGTGGGCCGTCAGCTTGTTTGCCGTTGCTTATAGACATGAGCACTACCATGAACATAACAGAGTATACTGTTTCGCCCATGATACTCCCCATGCATTACCAATCCTGAAGACTCAGGTGTAATTCCTCTGTACCCTGTAAATTCACTGCCATATCCCACCCTTCAAACCGAAACACAGTCATGCAAACATAACTGCTTCACGGTAGAAACACGAATGGGACAGAGGTGCCCGAGCAAACGACTTTTGTACAGTCTCAATCCATCTAATGTGGGTAAAGACATAAAAAAAATCATTATTGCTTGATAAAATGTCAGTAATATAATAAAATTGTAATAGTATATAGTACGGAAAAATGTCTAAGTAATATATTATATATGTTCTTCATCTTCTTACCCTTATCCCAATAATTTGGGGTCGGCGTAATATGATTTTGTCCATATTACAAAAAGACTTGGTCTTTAGTTTTACGACCGGCCACCTGCCTGACGTCAACCCTCTTTGGGAATATTATATTATATAATATTATATTATATCATATTATATTATATGTATAATATTATATATGTTCTAATTAATGTAAATGTAAAAGATAGCTCGTTCGATATCTCTAGGTGCGTTGATGCTTTAACCAATCGTCATAAAATTTGGCATACACATAGCATTTGAAGTATGAGGAATGTGAATGTCAAATGATACTTTGATTCCGATCAAACAATATTATTGGTAAATACATATTGTTAAGTATTTACCAATACAAAAATTAATTCAAACAAATTCATCATAAATTTTATTTATTTATTTATTTATTTTAACAGATTTAAATGGAAATTTAAAGTACGTAAGTATAATTAAAAAATGTAACTGTTTTTTTTTTCTTATAAAATTAAAAATAATTTTATTTTTGACGTTCAAATGGACTAAAAAAATTAATTAATTAAAATAAAAAATTAAACATAATTAATAATTTTCATTGCTAACCTACCTGAAATTCATTTGTGTATAGTACAGCCAAATCTCTTACACTTTTAGATACAGACTTGTAAGACGTAACCTCTCAATAAAATCCGCAAGTGTTATGACATATACAAATCATGCAGGGGATGGGCAATTCTTTGAATATAATTCAATTATGAGAATTTAAGAATGTCATGTAAATCATGATACATAATTTTATGTTTCAATACGACATAACCAGAATTTCTATATTGGACATTTATTTTATTGTTATTTTATTTATTTATCCAGCATCTATTTAAAACTTTGAATAGGACAGAAATTTTTGACCAGAACTTAATAAAAAGGTAACCGAGTTTTTCTGAAATTATCACAGAAAAATTCTCTAAATGAAATCGATTACAAATCAAAATATTAAATCTGTAAATTGATTTTTTATCTATACTACTATTCCTTAGATTATATAGATAGAGTGTCTCCATAGAAATGCTTAAAAAAAACTATAATTAAATAATTATGTGAGATTCCTTTATAACTTCTATAGTTATTTTGTCTTACAATTTCTGCATCGTTTAAATGCGTAAACATCTATTTTATTTATTAAATAATACGTCAAGATACATTTTATATGTAAGTATATAGAACGATTATAAAAAAAAAAAACGAGTTGGCTAATTTGACAATTAGCTGACAAAAAGTTGACCTGTTTTTTGAGGCTCCATGCTCTATCCATATAATCTAAGTATTGCTCATTATATTAACAGCTGACAGATCTTATGGTTGGATTATGCATTTATTTAAATTGTCGGTAAGTTCTATTGATACCGACAGACTATACCTTTGTGTACTTCGTCTTGTACGAAGAAGGACCTGAATATGGTAACTATGCTATGGAAGGTGCTAAGTTCTGGTCCAAACATATTTAGGTTTTCTATTGACTCGAAGAAAGAAGAAACTTTTTTAATTGTAACCCTTATCCTTAATAATAGTGCTTTGTTTTCTTTTTTTTTTTTAAAGAATTATTTATTTAATTGCGCAGGTACCTAGCTAATAACCTAGCTAATAAATCCAGCAACCAGGATTCGTTACTGAATTAATGCAGTATACCCTTTAATGTAAATTTTCTGAGAATTCCCCAGTACACTCATCATAACAACATTAGCGGTAATAACAAGCTATTTCGCCCATTTGTATTAAGAATGCAATGAGGTTAGTACCGTATGGCATTCATAATACAATATTGCCTAAAGGACCATTTACACAGGGCGGATTTTTAAACCCTCACAAACTAATTTACAAAACAAAACAGATTTTAACTGAATAAATGTAAATGCAAATGCGAATACGTAATTTTAGTACTTCTAGTGTAGTGGTTCCTTACAAATGGAACATAGATTATATAGATAAACTGTCTCCATACAAATGCTTCGAGAAAAGCGGTTCAACTTTTTCATACAATTTTGCGTGATAAATAGTTATGAATGTTTCCTTTATTACTTCTATATTTATTTTGTTTTATAACGTTTGCATCTTTTTAATACGTAAAAACTCATTTTATTTATTTAAATATAATAATAATAATATTTTATATATATATATATATATATATATATATATATATATATATATATATATATATATATATATATATATATATATATATATATATATATATATATATATATATATATATATATATATATATATATATATATATATATATATATATATATATATATATATATATATATATATATATATATATATATATATATATATATATATATAAATTATGTTTGTTAATTTATTTATTTGTAATAAGAAAACTCAAATACAACTTATAAGCGGAGTGTCCGGTAATGAATGAATAACCTTGAAACGTCTTATAGTTGAACTTATAGCCGTCCTAAAAAAATACAAAACAAAATATTTTTTTTTTATACGACTTACAATGGCAAACAAGCTGACGGCCCACCTGATGGAAAGTGGTAACCGTCGCCTATAGACATGAGCAGTACCATGGACATAACAGAGTATACTGTTTCGCCCATGATACCCCCCATGCGTTGCCATTCCTGAGGACTCAGGTGTTATTCCTCTGTACCCAGTAAATTCACGCCATATCCCACCCTTCAAACCGAAACACAGCCATGCAAACACAACTGCCTCACGGTTGAAACACGAATGGGACAGAGGTACCCAAGCAATCGACTTTTGTACAAAGTCTCCCTCTGGTAAATATACCTATCATTAGTACCTTTGTTATCTTTATTTTCTCTATCTTATCTTATTTTACTGTCCTGATCACTATGACCAGAAATGAATTAATTCTATTGGTTTTTTTATTTTGTTTTATTATTATACACTAACTGTGCTGATAGATAGAAAGATATATATATATATATATATATATATATATATATATATATATATATATATATATATATATATACATATATTGACTAGCTATTGCAGTTTTTTTTTTTTTTGTTTTTATACGCAAACTAATTTTATTATTAGACTATATTTTATTTACAAAAAGAAACCGTTCGAAGCCTTACAGCTATCTAGCGCAATATATATTAAATAAATTAGATACAAATATCACGTTCTAAAACATATAATTTCTAACTATTGTATTTCTTAATTGAGTCTTAATTTTTTGTGTCTTCATTTTTTGTCCATTCACATGGTTTCAACAAAAACCTTTACATACCGGTCTATAAGTAGTTTTTAATATATAAATATATGGGTACTTAGTAATGTACAAGAACTGGCAAATACAATGTTTTATAAAGTTGACTTTGAACTTTAATGCTGTGCCTATAAATAAGATTCTAAACGTGGAACGATATGACGTCTGACATTGTCATCGGATGACGTTGATTATTAAGTGATGGATGTACCTACCTATGACTGTTAGCATAACCTGTAATGTATAAACGTTTCCATTGATAACTAATCACCTTGACGTTAAGTTTTTTACATATATCTAACATTGATGCTCCTTTCCGCACTTTGAGTTTGCTGGAAGAGAAATCTTTTAAAGTTAAGCACCCCTTTGTACATTTGCTTACCTCTGTCATATTTTTTATTTATTTATTAGTGTGTACAATAAAAAATAAATAAATAAATTACTTAAATATTTTCTACATGAATATTAAACAGATTTTCTCGTTTTTCTCAAATCTCGTAGAAATCAACGATATCTATGGAGAGGTGTTCTCCTCACATTATCACAAAGTTCATCCCTAAGGTTCATTTCTTGTCTCTATCTTAATTAAGGAGCTGACTTTCTATTGCTTCAATCTTTCGAGGAACGAACAGATTCTCTTTTCATTTATTTATTTATTATGATTAAAAATGATCATACGTTTTAAAAATATCCTCCCAAATATGTTGTCACAGAATAGTCGTTTTTTTAATAAGACCTGTATCCATATTAAGTACAGATATAGAAAAACGTATTGAAATATATGGAGTACTGCTGTCATTTGTAGGCGGTAGATTCTGAATACTAGCTTAATTCTCTTGACCCAGTTCAGAATAATTTACTTTCCTTTACATCTTTGATAGTTTTTTTATAAAAAACAGCATACAATATTCTTTTAATATTTTTTTAACAAACTTTTACATGTATAGTTTTGTTGGAAAAGGAAGTACAGACAAGAGAGCACACACTATCTTAAAAAAAATAACACAAAAGTTGCCACCTATGAATAATATTAATAATATTTTTGGACCTTTAGTGAAACACACTGAATACTCCAACAATCTTTTACCTGGAGTATGTTCTGAAATGTTGTTTGCCTGACGCCTACGGCCACTCTTTTTCATCGTACCGCTTAACACATTGGCAGAGCATTCATCCGTGACCATTTTAATTAGGATGTGACCCTGATCAAAATGGTCACGCGAAGTGCAGTTTCAGAGAAGTTTCCCCGAACCGCTACCGCATACTCTCAGGTTGTGAACTGAACATTTCTGACAAGGTTTTATCTATAGGTACATTATGCCGTAAAGTTCTTCAGAAAAACGTAATAAGGCTTCTTAAGGGTCGATAATGCGCACCTAATACCCCTGGTGTGGGAGGAAAGGGACTGTTAGTAATGGAGACTAAAAATCCCATTGCTAGCAATATACCCAACCAGGTCGACCTCCTCGTGGTTCTCCATGGAAACTATCATGGTTAATTTCTGATGAATTCATCATGACAGGCTAACTGGCCTGTTTTCATTCTCATCGATCACTCTTCACTGGTGTTCCGCCAGCATATCCCGTTAGCCCATCAAAAAAAAAATACCCCTGGTGTGGGGAAAGAGATCGTTAGTAATGCGGATTATCAGTTCCATTGCTAACAACATAGAGTATACTGCTTTGAGTATATTGGTTAGGTCAACCTCCCCGTGGTCCCGCTGGAAACCATCGTACTGATTTCCAAGTGAATACATCACGATTGACTAACTGACGTACCTAATCAGAGTCATCTACCATCCCTCACTGGTACATCGCCAGCGTATACCGTTAGCGTAGACAGGGTGCGGTTATCATTACATTATCATCCATCAAAAATTCAAGGGTGGTTACTATATTAGTAAATTAAAAATCTTTATAACAAAGCGGCCAAACGCGCATACGGCTCACCAGATGGTAAGTGACTACCCCGCCCATGAACACCCGCATAACCAGAGGAATTGCAGGTATGCTGTTAGTCTTTTAAAAAGGAATATGCTCTTTTCTTTAAGGTTATGATGTCATGTCGGTTCGGAAATACTGCTGTTAAAAGTTGATTCCAAAACATAGTTGTGCGTGAAAAAAGGGCTTTGAAAAACGCACGGTGAAAGACTGCCACTCACACAGATGGTTGGGTTGAAACTTTAATTTGTGGCAGGTTAAACGGTGATGAAAATTAGCAGCAGAATCTCTTTGGTAATTTAGGTACTTACCTACTTATCGTTTTAATTTGACTACACTTATAATGTTGTCCACGATCATAATAAGTTTTAACGTTCCGTACATTGTCGATAGTTGCATGAGCCATAGTCGCGATTAAACTAATGGGTTTGCACCGTTTCAACCTGAATCACGAAACAATACATAATGTTTGTTTAGTAAAAGTAAACCGACTTTGTCGGTGTGGCAAGTATAAAATAATTACGATAATAAAAAAGGAGTGCTACGGACGGTCTTGTCGCTAAAAGCGATCTCTACCTTTTAATAAAACCTATTGTAAATTAGTCTTAATACTTATGTACAAATCATAGCTACGTATATGCATAATATCATTATTCAATATTCCCGTTATTATGTAGATATATTATAAATATATTATAAGTATATACTATATTTTGCTTACCTTTACTTTTTTTTATACAACTTAGAATGGTAAACAAGCTGACGGCCCACCTGATTGAAAGTGGTAACCGTCGTCTATAGACATGAGCCGTACCATGGACATAACAGAGTATACTGTTTCCCCCATGATACCCCTCATGCGTTGCCATTTCTGAGGACTCAGGTGTTATTCCTCTGTACCCAGTAAATTCACGCCATATCCCACCCTTCAGACCGAAACACAGCCTAGCAAACGCAACTGCTTCACGGTTGAAACACGAGTGGGACAGAGGTACCCAAGCAATCGACTTTTGTACAAGGTCTTCCTCTGGTATATTATATATATCCCTTATAGTGTGCCTGATCTCATTATACTGCTTCTGCCGATTTCAATTATATTTTTTGTGACTAATTATTGAAAATATACATATTTACCAAAATAAAAAGTAGCCTAAACCACACAGGGATACCTTTCTAACAGTGAAAGAATTTTCAATATCGAAGCCAAACTTACAAGTTTACCTCTTTTTAATATTAGTATAGAAGTATAGATATAGATTAGAAGTATTGAAACAATCCAAGTATTTTTCAATTATTTTACATTGCATACGAAGTACAAATATCGGTAATCGTACAGTTATTATGATTATTTTAACCGTTAACGGTCCACTGCTGAACATAAGCCTACCCTTTAAGGGGAGTTCTGCGTACAGTACTACGCAAAACTCCCCTTAGTAGAATTAGAAGAATAGTAGAATTGGCTCATTTTGATAAAACCAACACAACAAAATTTTATTCTTTTTTCGGTACGACACAACTTAAAAAATGGGTGGGTTACCACTCAAAAACCTGGTTGCAGTTGTAAGAGCAGGCAAATTGGATTCATTGTATTATATGTTCATCTTTTATTTAAACTAAGTTTCATTAAAAAGGTTTATACATGCAGAATTCTGTAGTAGGATCTTAAGCTATGTTTTAGTCATAAAATGTGTAACTTGCTACGCCATAAGAGCACTTTTTAATAATCATTGAAATATATTTTAAATATTTTTTAAATATTATCCTTTACGAAAATTAGAAGATTTCGGTATGAAGGTGTTTAAACTATAACCAAATTATAATAGTACCAAAGTAGAGTCAGGCTCGAATCACAGCCGCTTTTAATTAAAAGTACGGGATGATCACTAAACTAGTCGAGCTTTCTCGACTAAAATACACGTAAATTAAACCGATAGTTATTACATTGAAGTACTAAAATTCGCCATAATAAATCAAGAGCAAAAGGTTTCCCTCTTTGTCGTCGAACTTTTCGCGCAAACATTGCAAAAATATCTGCTACTATTTTTTTTTTAAACAGAAAATAGCAAAAATGTAAACAAAATACTTTTTCTATATCAAAGGTAAGCCATTAATGGAAAATATCGTTTAAAAATTAATATAGAATCGTAAAGTCAGTATAAATTTATTTAAAATAGTCAATAATAATACAAAGTCAACATTGTTTGTTATAAAATACATTGAATTTAACATTACATATACAATACAAACAATCAAATTGTAATGGTCAACACATTTGTATAGTTTACATTAAAATAATTAACGTTTTACTTTGGTGTCATATCTTTATAACAGTACTATAGTTTGATAGGTTCACAGCGCCGCGTAAAGTTTTCTTTTGAAGATTCTGAAAGGAAAACAAAGTTTGAAATCTTTGTATTATTTTCTACTTAATAACAAAATAGTTTATCATCATCGTCACCACAGCCGTTAACTGCCCAATAATGAACATAAACCTTCCCCATAAAAAGGATTTTGTCAATAGTTACCATGTTTGGCAGTTAGGTTGGCAACTGTTGTTAGGATTTGGAGATGTTTTATGCTGACCATTCCTAGATTATTAAGTTCCTTTAGTCGCCTTTTATGACAACCAGGGGAAAAGAAAACTACGATATACTGAAGGGAAATAGTATGGTAATACTTGTAAATATTAAGTTTTATCTATAATGTAATTTGTAGCAAATAACAAAACTAATCAAAAAATATACTTATATAAAAGTCGATTGCTTGGGTAACTCTGTCCCATTTGTGTTTCTACCGTGAAGCAGTTGTGTTTGCATGGCTGTGTTTCGGTTTAAAGGTGGAATATGGCGTGAATTTACAGGGTACAGAGGAATAACATCCGAGTCCTCAGGAATGGCAACGCATGGGGGGGTATCATGGGCGAAACAGTATACTCTGTTATGTACATGGTACTGCTCATGTCTATAGGCGACGGTTACCTCTTTCCATCAGGTGGGTCGTCAGCTTGTTTGCCATTCCAAGTTGTATATATATATATATATATATATATATATATATATATATATATATATATATATACTAACTTTAACTTACCTTTTTAAAAATACTGGCCATTAACAAGTTTGTCTTCTTTATATTCTCTTTCTTTCTGTCTTCTTTTTTCTGGACCACTTCAGGCAACGATTTGTATATTTTCTCTGAGTGCTTTTTCATTTCTTTCTCACTTATAAATTTTGGTGCAACTGAAATTTTAAGTACAATACATAAACATTTGATATTTATCGTTTTTTGAAATACACAATTAGAACTGTAAATACCTTAAAAATATAATAATCCAACTGCAAAGCTAATTAGACTTTTATTCTTCTTCAAGAATGATAGCTTTATTTTTAGGATCGCAAACAAGCAGACAACAAGTTGCTTGTGCATTACCAACTTTTTAAATATTTGTAAGCGCGTTTTGTGAAATACCCTACATTGTAATGAAAACACTGAAAAGGGAGCTCATTCCACAACCCATACGTACGAAGCAAAAATAGATGCACAGACAGTGGAAGTCTACCTCGCACCTAAAAAAGTGGGTCGACTCTAGCTCTATGAGGAGATACAGTAGTAAAAGGGTGATGAAGACATCAAGTCGTATAATTTCTTGGAACATTCCCCATTGTACAGACGGTAAAAAATGGATAAAGAAGCTACATCCGGACTTAAACTCAGAAAATCCAAACGATCTGTTAGCAAGGGATCATCGATCACTCGAACCGCTCGACGCTGTATAGAATCAAGTGGAAAGAGTCAATATTGGAGTGATAGACCCAAAAAAAATTAAAGGTGTGAACAATATTCCATATGTGGGAGAATTTAGGCTTTATAAAGCAGGAGTCAATGCCGAGGACTGAAATACTCTTTTGTGGGGGCCTTGTTCAAGACTCCTAGTAGATTAATACTTACGTTTCTTTTTACGAAGCTCGACGCCGAGCTCTTTCGCCAGTTGACGCAGCTCCGACTCACTAACGGCGGTCAAAGCTGGTTGTTTGTCCAGTTGCAGTGACAGCAACTGCCGTTGGGCAGCGCGTTCATTTGCTCTACAAAACAAATTATATTCTATATTTCAAAACGCGCAATTCTGCAATCGGAGATTCTAAGTACTTTACATTACATTACTCTGTTATGTCCACGGCACTGCTCATTACTATAGGCGATGGTTACCACTTTCCATCAGGTGGGCCGTCTTTCCGTCAACTTGTTTGCCATTCTAAGTTGCATAAAAAAAATTATATTGTACATTACAATAGATAAATAAAATGTTACACATGAAGATGATATTATTTGCGATGGTTTATTTTGATTAACAGTACAATTAAAATTGGACTTTTTGACCATTTATAATAAGACATTACTTCTTTTTTTTTTTTGAACGTTAAACAAATATACTACAAATATCACAAATAAAATATTATTAACAATATTTTATTTTATTTAATAAAATTAGATCTGTTTTAAGTATTTAAAAAAGGAAATCCCCACAGATATTAATGATAAATATGGTAAACACAAAACAGAATAAAAAAAAAAACAGAAAGGGCAACCTATGTACATCAGTATAATAATTTGTTCGTATGACCGAATCTAATATTTTAGATTACATTACCACAATAATTAATTATTCTAATTAGATCTCAAACTATTAAAACATTTTGATATAACATATTAACTAGTATTATGTTATAAGTGATATAACTAAATAAATAATGAATAACGCTACATTTCATCTAGGAACTCACCAATTCTTCTTACTCCAGTTTGAATATTTTCCACATAGCATTGCTCCATACATGGATTACAACTTGGAAAATTTGATTTATTACCTAATAATGTATACAATTACTTTACACATCTAATGGTAAAATAAATATTTAATCTTGTAATTTGAAACAGTTTTTCAATACCTTCACAATACATATTGCAAGTTTCCATAGACCCCATACAATTTGGTGTATGAACAACCACCATTTTCAGACGTGGAGTACATGGATCTTGGGTTCTGAAGTATGAAAAATTGGTGAGCAAATTTTAATCTAAGTTATTGTATTATTAATTAGCTTTTATTCGCAACTCTATAAGCGTGGATTTTCTAAGAAGGCGACCATTGATCAATGGCATATCAAGATAAAATAACCACCAGATTAAGTTAAACTTTCGGAAACACGACTCCATACAACAACAATCAAAATGATATATGAATTAAAGAGCCTAAAAAAATAATTCTGTAGGAGTAGATGCTCTCACTGAGGAGCACACTCTTTTGTTATTATATTTAGTATGTTCCTGAAAGTTTAACTAGGTGGGTTTCAAAACGCATTCCATTCTGTCTTTGTATAATATCAATGAATGGATTATGGATTCTATTGCTCTTATCATACTGACACCTCATACTGACTTTTCTCGAATATCTCATATATATGATTATATGACGTGATAAATCAAAGGCTAGGTTAAAACCAGATGCAGATTAGTTAAGAATTCTAATATCCAAACATAATTTCCTAATTAGCTGACTCATTTTTTTTTATCAGTATTGTACACACTTACGCATAAAATGTATTTTGACGTATTTTTTTTAATAAATAAAATTAATGTTTACTTGTTAAAAAGATGCAGAAATTATAAGACAAAAGAAATATATGTTATAATGGAATCACTCATAACTATTTATTACGCATAATTGTATGAAAAAGTTGACCCATTTTTCTCGAACCATTTCTGTTGAGACACTATCTATATAATCTAAGTACTTAATATATCAGAGCAACAAACTAATTTGTGAATGCTTGTTAGATTATTACCTTGCTTCGCTAATGAACTTTAAGCAATTCTGGCGACTTGAACAATTTTCTACAAAATCCGGCCGGTTTTTCTCTAGATAATCTCTCACTGTATATCTTTGACCCATCTGACCTATTTCATCTGTACTAGAAACTTCACACTCATTTGGCAAACTTCTAGAGCGTACCTTGGGACTACAGGATGGATTATAATGGGGCAAATCTTTCCCAATCTTAGTAGACAACTCTTTAAAAGGGACATTTTCTGTTTGTTTATGTTTCGGTGGTACCTTAACAATGATATTTTGCAATGACTTATGACACTTATCCGCTACATCTTCACTGACCATACTATCAGACGTTTGAATTATTAAATTGTAAGCAACACATTTCTTTTTAATCTTTTCCATGCCCATTCTAGTTTTGTGAGTTCTACATTTATGTCCTCGACATGAGCAATGATGGACACGTTTACATTTTTCACAATTTACAGAAGTACTACTGGAAACTTCACACTTTTTAGCTTTGCATCGCTTTTGATGATATTTATCACATTCTTTCTGAATTTTGTTAAGAACTTTACAAGTTGCAGCATCAGATGACGTTGACGGCAAATCAGTAGAAAAAGGTAATTCAGAGGATTCTGGAGTAACGACTCCTTTTGTTTTTCTAGCAGAGAATTGAACACCTTTATCAATTAACATCTTTGTATATTTATTATCATCTATTTCCGTTATGACTTTGTCTCGCTTATTTTTATTCCTATGCCCATATTCATCAGGACTCGAGCATGGCAATCCACCAGAATTATCTGGTGGAGTCAAAGTATCAGACATTTTTATTTGTTCATAATCATTAGTGCTATCATCTGTATCTAATAAATAATTAAGAACAGTAATTATCTCCTTGAAACACTTTTTTCGTTTTCCTTTATCAATATCTTTCTTTGAATAACGTCTTGTTATGTCTTGAATCATGTCTAATATAGGATCTTTACTGGCTTCACTACTGGATTTACGACTTCCTAAACGTAAACCAGGCACAAATTCATTATCTTGAGGTTCTTCTGAAGGTGTTCTACAGTTTGACTGCTTTGATGACTGCTCAGAGTTGGATTTAAGTTTTCCAGATTGACTCTGGTCAGTATCAGACTCCCTCGTCTTTTCTGTATCTGATTTCGAATAACCTTGTGTGACAGCATCTACTTTAACTACGTCATCAGTTTGTACACCACACGCTGTATCAAATCTACCAGTATCTGTATTAGAACGTAAAAAGGGCTTATGTTTATTGACTGGGATATTTTTTGGGTATGTATTGTACTTAAGTCCCTCAGCATTACAACTGCTAATAACACAAGATTTTTTTAAAGTATTTAATATTTCTTGTTTATTTACTCTGTTGCTATTATAATCAATAATACTCTGAGATTTTTGAAAAGGTTCTTCTATTTCATTATTCATGTTCATAAAAATATTTGTAGTTTGAGACTGAACACCTTTAGTACATTCTTCCATTAAACAAGTAGCTTTTTCAACAACATCCACTTGAATGACATCTGTTCCTTGCTCTGGTCTTTCATTAATGTATTTTTCTACAGTTGATTTATTGACGTTGGAATCAATAGTGACCTTTAATGTCATATTTGTGCCTTGTATAGGTATTGTAAACTTTTCTCCAGGAGTATCTACAGCTGCATTATCATTGAGCTTGTTAACTTTTTCAAAATTAGTATTAGACTCAGAAGGGCTCTTCCGTAGTAATGATACAATTTTCACAGATTTATCACTATTTGTATCAGTTTCAACCTCTCCATGTTTAACCTGATTAATCACAACTTCAGAATTGCGTTTCGCAGCTTTTTTAAGATTTTCTTTAATTATTTCAACACAATCTACATCATTAATTATAAATATGTCAGTTAGACTTGGATCAGAAATTTTTGGATTTATACTTATTTCTGTTTGTACTAATCTTGTAGATTCATAAACAATTACATTATTATTGTTTACTGTTGCACCTGAATCTTTATTCAATGACTTCATTCTATTATCACTTGCTGTACAAGATGCTGTTGAATTTTTATCAGCAATTCCTAATCGTAACATGTTCAATGCAATATTTGTTTGTGACGACTGCGATGTTCTTCTTAATTCTGGAACATTTTCAAAACTGCTACTTTTAAATAATTTTTGTTCCTTATTATCATTTGTACTACCACTTCTTGATGTTGATGGTTGACTGATGAATATATTATTATTTTCAGAAGAATTTTTCTTACATTGACATCTTACATTAGAAATGGAAGGTTCCTCCAACTGAGTACCAGTATGAGTTAATCGTGAACACTTATATATCAATAAACCATCAGGTTCATTGCATGAAGTGACACCTTTGTTTGTACATAAACATACATATTTTATATCCCCCGTTTCATTTTCAGGTACTAATTGAGCTACATTTGTAGAAAATACTCTACTACTATTTTCGTTTTCTTTTTGTACAATTTCTTTCTTATAATTTTTACCTGAACTTTCGTGATCTCCTAATTTAATATCAACCTGTACTGAACTATCAGTCACACCAACACTTATGGGTTTATGACGTCGACAATAATGCTTTTCATCATTTTTATCCTGGGTTATTTTATTTTCATTGATTTCACTCTGTAATCTCTTTTTTAAGTTTGTTTTCTTATTTTGAGCATCAGAAGTACCCGATGAAAGTGTAAATACAGAATGACTTCTCTGTTGCCTTATATTATGTCTTTCAAAACCTGTTACATTAGTGTTAGATCCACCTTCTAAATTATTTGCATCACCTGAGCCATCGTCATAATTATTTCTAGTTAAATCCTTCATCAACTCTTTCAATTTATTGTTAGATTTTAGATCAGGTTGATATGGTATTTTAAATGCATTATCAGAACTAACTAATTTCTGTTTTAAAAAATATTCTTTATCTCTCAAATGTCGTCTGTATGACTCTTCTCTTTTAAGGGCATCTAAATATTTTTTATATAATTCTTCTGAAGAAGTTTTAGCAAATGCAGTATCAGATGAAGTTTTTTCTTTGCTAGAAGCATCTGACTCTGTGTAAGAGGAAGTTAATACTTTAGAAACAAATTTAGAAATAACAGGTTTTTCGCAAGTAGATACTGCTGATAAATTTGGAGCACTTTGAGATGTTGAGGCCAAGCCACTAGGATTGAATTTATCTAAACGTAATATGGACTTTTTTGGTTTTAACAACTTGGTTTTATCACCCGTAGTATTTCCATCTGAAGTACTTGTTGTGTTACTTTCCTCTCTTTCAATTTTTTTACTAGAAATACTTAATCCAGACAGAAACTCAGTTGTACTGTCATCATCCCGATATTTGGAGGTGAGTAACCTCTGAACAATTTCTTTAATTAATCTCTTTTTCAGATTAGGGTCATCTTGACGATGTTGCAATGCCATTTTAAGTACATCAATACTTTTTTTCAAATCTTTGCCAAATGAATGCATTGATGCTTTGCTCGAATCTGTGGTTAAAACCCCACTTGACTCTAAGCTAGACTTATTACCTGACATACTTGTCAGTTTAGATTCATTTTGTTTTAGTTGTTTCTGATTATAAATATGGCCAGGCATGTATTCAAAACTTTCAGCTTCAGATACTTGTTCAGCATTCCTCTCCTGTACTGGTATGCTTCCCTTATCCAGATGTGTTTTATTCTTTGTTATTCTTTTTCTCCTAACAGTTCTTAATTTCTTTCTTTTATTTCTTTTTTTCAAAGTATTTAAATTAATCACTAATGGAATCCTATGAACATTGAATATCTTTTTATTTAATGCCTCTTGAGAGTTTGTTTCTCCATTCTTATTTAAAGATGTCTGAATTTCTTTGTCTATTTTAACTTGAGGAGTTACTTCAGTCTCAACTGATACCTTTTCAGGTGTGATATTAATATCTTTTTTTATATTTTCTAGAGTCACACCACCATCTTTTTCAACATTAAAAGATATGTGTTTTGTTAAATTTACATTTATTGCTCGAGATGGACTTGTGTCAGTCTTATGAGGTACATTAACTTCTACATAATCTATGTCCTTTTTGTAAATTGTAGTAGTTTTTTTTGCTATACCTCTTTTGCCCTTGATTTTGCCTTCACCTTGTTCTAATGGAGTTGAATGAGCAGTAGGCGGCTCTAATTCTGAATCTTGTTTTTTATCATTATTAGAATATTGTTGTTTCAATGCAAGCCTTTCTAAAGTGCTTAAGCTGGAAGCTGAAGTCTTTCTATCACTTTCATTTGCATATCCAACATCAGCTAAAGAATCCCATTCTAGCTTGCGTTGTGATGTAATGCTACTTGATGGTGACAATGGTTTATTCAATGAAGTATCCATTATCGCATCCATTGCTGTAAATAATAATGAAAGCAAAGTTATTATATTCTTTATTTCACTCAGACATAAAATAATAATAACAATGAACTTATCTCTTCATCACACCCTTGAACCTAAATGGTCACATACAGTGTAATTTCAAAGAAATTTTCTCCTGCAAATACTTAGGTAATGAAATAAGCTGTATGGGGTTCTTCAGAAAGCATATATTAAGGTATCTTCAGAGTTCAACACGCATGTGAAACCCCTATTGTTGCAAGGTGTCCATATGCAACAGTGACCATTTACCATCAAACAGGATGTATGCTTGTTTGGTATAAAAAAAACGTGCATCACAACATCAACAAACTATCTCTATTACAATAGGGATTGTAGTTGCATTTTAACATACTTTATTTTTTTTTAAATCTAAAAATATTTATATAATATGGTTTTACTTACATTTTTGTGAATGATAATCATCAGATTTTACAGAATCATTATCTGAGTGTTTTGATGCCACATCTTCCATGATAATGGGTGGAGATTCAGAATCACTTTTGGTTTTTGGAGTTTTATCCTATAAATAATTAAATTTAAACTAGTGGTTAATATAAATAAATAGGGACAGTAATATGGTAAGGCAGTATATACTACATAACATATGCACAGAGCCCTATGATGCCTGCATAGAATAGGCCATCCCTGCTTTTCTCATTGTTGTTGTAAAAGGTGACTAAGGAATTTAATGGTAGAGGGATGAATAGTAGCATCCTTTTTAGAACATCACCAAAACCTAACTGTGGTCGCCAATGTGCCTGCCAAGCATGGCAACTACTGTCAAAACTGCCCTTACGAGGGGTTAGCCTATGTTATACACTAGACAGTAGATGGCTGGTATGGTGATGATGATAGATACATATATATTCAAATACTTTCATTAGTGATGTATCCCATTAGCAACACATATTAGGCTCCAATCTAACGGAACTTGAGTTTTCTTTAAAAAAAAAATTTATCAACCATACTTAAGGGTATTCACTGACCCTAACAATAAACCCTTGTTTAACAACTTTATTCATTCCATTAGCTCCGATCCCTAAAAAGGGAGATCGCTCAGATCCAGCTAACTATAGGCCCATAGCTATCACTTCCTTATTCTCGAAGGTTATGGAATCCATCATTAACCGTCAACTGCTCCGGTACCTAGAAGAGCACCGGCTGATCTGTGATCGCCAGTATGGCTTTCGACAGGGACGTTCGGCCGGTGATCTTTTAGCTTACTTAACACACCGATGGGCAGTGGCAATCGAGAGTAAGGGAGAGGCCTTAGCAGTTAGTCTGGATATCGCGAAGGCCTTTGATCGGGTGTGGCATAGAGCGCTGCTTTCAAAGCTACCTTCATTTGGGTTGCCTGCGAGACTGTGCATTTGGGTCGCCAGTTTTCTCAAGGAACGTAGCATTAAGGTCGTAGTCGACGGTGCATGCTCTGATTTAAAACCTTTAAATGCTGGTGTCCCGCAAGGCTGTGTCCTATCTCCGACTCTGTTTCTTCTGCATATCAATGATATGTTACAGATAAGTAATATTCATTGCTATGCGGACGACAGTACAGGAGATACATTATATACCGGTCATGCAAAGATCTCGCGGGCACATACCGATGAGTGCCGGAATAGACTTGTGTCTGAAATCGAAACTTCACTCCATCAAGTTTCGATCTGGGGTGAACAAAATCTTGTCCAATTTAACCCCAAAAAGACACAAGTCTGCGCGTTTACCGCAAAAAAGACGCCGTTTGTCGTATCTCCTCACTTTCAGGGCACTTCCCTTGATAAAAAGTCAAGTCTAGGAATTCTGGGCGTTGATATATCTTGCGACGTCCAGTTTTGCGGTCATCTGGAGGAGAAGGCTAAGATAGCTTCCAAAAAGTTAGGAGTGCTCAATAGGGTGAGACGATATTTCATGCCAGAACACCGCCTGAAATTATATAAAGCCCAAGTCAGGCCGCATATGGAATACTGTTCTCACCTGTGGGCAGGAGCGCCACAGTACCAACTCCTTCCGTTAGACCGCATTCAAAGTCGGGCGGCTCGAATTATCGATAGTCAACACCTTACTGTCCGTCTTGACCCATTGAAACTGCGCAGAGATGTTGCGTCTCTGTGCATCTTCTACCGAATTTATCATGGGGAGTGTTCTGAGGAATTGTTCGGATTGATACCTGCTGCTGATTTTCACCACCGTACAACCCGCCACAAACTAAAGTTTCATCCCAATCATCTGGACGAGTGGCGGTCTTCCACCGTGCGTTTTTCAAGGCACTTTCTTCCACGCACAACCATTCTTTGGAATCAACTTCCAGCAGCAGTATTTCCGAACCGATATGACAACATAACCTTCAAGAAAAGAGTATATTCCTTTTTAAAAGGCCGGCAGCACACCTGCAATGCCGCTGGTGTTGTGGGTGATCATGGGCGGCGGTAGTCACTTACCATCAGGTGAGCCGCATGCTCGTTTGCCCCCTGTGTTGTAAAAAAAAAAAAAAAAAAAAAAGCTTGAAGAAATTTTGAAATATCTTCAGCCTGAAGACAGTCTAAATTTCACACTCAAATGGTTGACCATTCGAAACCACAGAAAGCTGCATATCTTTTGCACGCTGTCCTCTATTATCAATGATCCTTCCACTCCCACTTATTCAAAAAATAGATTTCAGGTCTACAAAAACTTTCTTTCCCATATTCTCCATTCATCTCACAATTTCCTTCTAGCAACACCATCACATAGTTCTGGATTTATATCCAATTCAATCACTGTTACTGCTATAAGTCTCTGATATAGAATACCTGTGGATCTTCATATAGCACAGACTAAGCTTATATTAAAAAGAAAATTGTTCATGTGTTGAATCAACAAAGCTTATGAAATAATTAGGTTCAACATTTGTACAAATTTTATTGTGCAATAAAGAATAAGCAAAAGATTAAAACCCTTAGTCCAAACTTCTTTGAAATACTCTCAAAGTTGACTGGTAGAGATAAAGCTTTTTAGAATAAGCAAACAAAACAAATAACAAATATTTTGTTTGTGTCTAATACCATATACACAGTAACACACTAACAGTATACACTGACGAGGCACCAGTGAGAAATCACAGGTGAGAATGAAAACACAGATCAGTTAACCCCTCGTGATGAATAATAATAATAATAATCTTTATTTCACTCTTTGTTACAAATATAATTTGAAGTCCCTAACTCCCGAATACACCTGAAATTCAGCATGATACTTTCCAGGGGGGACCATATGGATGTCGACATGACAGGGTATATTGTTAGAAATGAGACTGGTAGTTTTACAATAATACATAATAATACCATATGACATACAATAAAATACATTCCTTAATCCTAAAATAAATAAATGGAACCTGAACTAGAGCTAAGATATTTAATAATAAACAAAGGACAACCAAACCCTTCGCTAACAATGTCCTGCCATGTTTTATTTGATGGCTAACGAGATGATAACTAACATGGAAGAATAAGATTCAACTGAAATACCTAATAGTCCTGTAAACAAACTGTAAAGGTACCTGTGAACCACATGCCTCTGGTACGGAACATTTGATGGATATCCTACATAGTTCCGTGGAAGACTCGCTCTCGCCAGTCCCTCTCTTTTCACCAGAATCTGATGAATCCTGAGACTTCATTTTTCTCCAAAATAAACTTGTCGGGTCTCTAATTTCTGTCTGAGCAGTAGATAACGAGAAATACTGTTCTAGATCACGTTTCTTGCCAAACTTTTTATAATAATTCAGAATCACAGGATTTAATGCCGCGTTAGATTCATCAATATCCTCTGAACTTTTATTATTAGATTCATTGCATTCCATAATTTATATAAGTAAGATATTATTTTCATAATATCCAAAACAAATACAAATTCCAAAATTCATTTAAGAAATAAACGGTTTGCTCATTTTTTAAAAAGTAAATGACGCTTCAGTTTGTTTTGTTTGTTATTCTGTTTAGTGATGTGCAAACAAGTGACAAAAACATTAGATTCAAATATAGGTATCGAGTGTTTGTTGTTTTTTTTTGTTTCACAAATTCATCTAAATTCAAAATTTCAAAAACTCTATAATTAATATTTATTTATTTCTTATCAAGTACCTAAGTATAAAGTGCCATGGTTTATCTTTTTTTTTTTTTTTTTTTTTTTTTTATACTACTTAGAATGGCAAACAAGCTGACGGCCCACCTGATGGAAAGTAGTAACCGTCGCCTATAGACATGAGCAGTACCATGGACATAATAGAGTATACTGTTTCGCCCATGATACCCCCCATGCGTTGCCATTCCTGAGGACTCAGGTGTTATTCCTCTGTACCCAGTAAATTCACGCCAATTCGATAATAACGAACTTACACACGAATTTTCAAGCCATAGGGGTTCAATTCTTTTTTACCCTTTTTCATGATAAAAGGTGACCTATGTTCTTTCCCAAGCTCTACACTATATACCAAATTTCATCAAAATCGGTTCAGTGTTTTAGGCGTGCACGCGTAATGGACAGACAGACGGAGTTACTTTCACATTTATAATATTATTAGAATTAAAAATCACCCTGTTACTGTTAAATGTGCATCAGAAACAAAGTAAAATTTTTTATTGTAATTAAGGTTCACTATGTTGGCGATAATGGCCTACACATAAAAGATCTTTTTTATCATGTCGTGAGCTTTTTTATGGGACTATTTTAGATAAACATTTCCATCATACATTTTATACGTCTAACTGTAATGGTTTTAGTAGCGCACGCCAGAATAGCTCACAGATGGCAGAATTTTTTTCTACTTACTTAACGGTAATCGTTATATTTTAGACAATTTACACAATATCTTTATAAATAATAGCCTATATATAATTCTGATGTATAAGTTATTTTATTATAAAGATTCATTAAAATCTATTCATTCATTTTTTTGTAAAAGAGTAACAAACATCCATACAAACTTTCGCGTTTATAATAGTAGTAAGCATCAGTGTTATAATTTATTTTTTATTGAAATCAGCAACAGTTGGTAAGTTACTTGGATTTCTAGACTTGCAAAGTCTAAGATAGAATAAGATGGATCATTTTTAACATTTTTTTCCTTAATAACCAAAAATAGTGATCTTACTGACCAGGGGCATTGTCTTAACGGTTTATGGCTTGTTTAGATTTTATTTCATTTACAAATTATTTTTTTTTGATCTTATTGATTACAACTACTTACCATCAGATGGGCCGTGTGCTTGTTTCTCACCTCAGTGGTATAAAAAAACTTCCCAAACTATAAATATTTGTTTAATAAGTATAGATATCTTTTTTTTTAATTCTTGTGTTTATAAAAGTTTATAATTATTTTTTCTTATTTTACAAACAAAATGTTTTTAAATTTTTATTACCGCTAATATAAGGATCAATTATCAAAATGAATGACAAGTGCGACCTGCCTTTAATTTCCTTCGCTATTAAGTGACCCTTATCTGCCAAAATATTGCCGACACTTAACCAAAAGTAAAATATTATATGACTGAATATTTATTACCTTCATCAAAATTGAACTTCACCCTCGAACCCATTGCCATTATGGTACTTAGTAAATTAGTAACGTTAAGCCAACTTGATCTACTAAGTATATTCAAATACTAGACACCTACTCGTCTTAAGTTATTTTGTTTTATAATTTTAATTTTTTTTTCTTTAGATAATGTCACATATTTATTAACTTAATCTTATCTTAAATCGCTCCTAAAATCTTTCAATTGAGTATTCAAGTTAAATGAAATAGTCGAATATTCGTATAAGTACTGTAGCTTATAACTGAATTAAATTTTGACATTTGTCTGAGAGCAATCGATGCGGTCATCACTAGATTTTCTGCGTGCCATAAATTTGTGTTCAATTTCAAGAACAAGGAATTATATCTGTACACTAACCTACTATGAATTGATAAAAATAACAACTGATGGTGTATCTTTCGTCGTCTTTTTACTAATAATATTTGTATAAGATGAAAGGAGACAACCATATAATTTGCAGTTTTCATTTTATCATTCCTTTTACGTAATTCCTTGTTCTTAGGTACTACACTTTTTTTATTCATAAAACAGAAACCACAGACATTATTGTAAGTCTGTGTTCCTTAGACATAGTACTATATTGTATTGTAAAACCTTTATTGTACATAATTCATATTGAATACATTAAATGATTTAATATACAATGGCGGACTTATCCCATAAAGGGATCTTTTACAGTAGTAATCTGTGGACATAGTCTCTCTCTAATCTGTGACGTAGTTTCTCTTTAATCTGTGACACAGTTTCTGTAATCTGTGATCATATTTTCTACATCAAATTTTTTATTAAAGAAGTTAGTTTATCTTTTTTGTTTATCTTATTCCATCCTAGATTTTCAAAATCTCTAAATAGCCACAGTTTCTTGGAAAGCTTCTACAAAAAATATAAACAATCCGATTAATATTAGGTCGTTAATAATGTCCAGACAAATATCCAGACTCGATGCTAAGAAAGTGGTAAATACTTAATAACTTTTAAGCAGCTCTTTTTTATATTCATATTTAATATTAATAGATACCTGTTGTAATATTTTATATCTAGAATTCGGAGCTCCTGACTCTTACTTATGGCGCTCTTGTGTCTCAAATGCTAAAGGAGACTGAAAACACGGATGATGTCAACAAACAGTTGGAACGCATTGGTTATAACATGGGTGTTAGGCTCATTGAAGATTTCCTTGCGCGGACTTCATCAAACAGATGTTTAGAGATGAGGGAGACAGCAGACAAAATTCAACAAGCTTTTAAGTAACTAAATTTTTTATGACTAATTCTTACCGTAAAACGATACTATTATTTTTAGATATCAATTAGTTCTCATGTTCACTATCATTATGTAGCATTTTGTACCTCTGATACTTGAAATTTCTTAGGATATTTTAATTTTATTCTATCACATAAAACCAGAAAGCATGATTATGAATGAAGTTATGTATGTATGTACTAGCTCCCACCTGCATCTTAAGATTTATCTATTGGTTAGGATAAAATATAATCTATAATCATCATGCTGAAAAGAAAGTATCTAAGAAAAGAGCATATTTCTTTTTAAAAGGTTGCTGTTGGTGTTGTGGGCGGTAGTCACTTACCATCAGGTGAGCCCATGCTCGTTTGCCCCGTGTTGTAAAAAGAATGTACTACAATTTCAGAACTGGTTAAGCCATTTAAGTACATAAAGGTAATAAAACATTCACTTTCACATTTTAAATATTAATGTGGATGATAATGTCTACTGTTCTATTACTTAATTGTATATAAGACAGTGTATTTTGTTAGCAGATTTTATGGAGTTCTTAACATTGTTTTGGACCATTGCTTTGATGGAAAAATTCACTAATATGAACAAAATATACTATGAATATCACACATGTATGTTGTAAAATTGTAATGTAATGTAAATTTCCATACTAAGAATCTCATTTGGGCCATTGTATGTATAATGCTGTAAAGTTATGGTATTAATATTTGTACTAAAATTGTTGTCTTATATTTCAGAGTGTAATATTATAAATCTTGCATTTACCAGAGGGAGACTTTGTACAAAAGTCGATTGCTTGGGTACCTCTGTCCCATTCGTGTTTCAACCGTGAAGCAGTTGTGTTTGCATGGCTGTGTTTCGGTTTGAAGGGTGGGATATGGCGTGAATTTACTGGGTACAGAGGAATAACACCTGAGTCCTCAGGAATGGCAACGCATGGGGGTATCATGGGCGAAACAGTATACTCTGTTATGTCCATGGTACTGCTTATGTCTATAGGCGACGGTTACCACTTTCCATCAGGTGGGCCGTCAGCTTGTTTGCCATTCTAAGTTTTATAAAAAAAAAAAAAAAAATTGTTACTCTGTGACATATAATAGATAAAGATTTTATTCTATTAAAAAGTGGTAATTTTAGTCTCATCAAATATAATGTGAGATCTTTACAGGAGTAATTCTTTAATAGTATCTAATATCTTTATTTTCAATAATATAAAAAAAAAATTAAGAACTTCCTCCTTTTTGAAATAGTTTACAAGTAAATAATCTCTAAAAATACATTATTGCAATTTTTTTTCTATATTATGAAACTGTCTTTCTTTTTTACAATAGATCATTATGTATTGTCATTAATTCAAAGCAATTTGTTTATATAAAATTTTCAGATTATACCTAAATATGCAGCCAACAGTAACAAGCTGGAGTAGCTCTGGAGATGAATTCTCATTAATATGGGACCAGTGTCCACTCAGTGAATGGGTTGAAATGCCCAACAATGGCCTTAAGTACTGTGCACTATTACCAGGAGTTATACGAGGCGCACTGCAAATGGTCCAGCTAGATGTACAATGTTGGTTTGTTCAGGTATGATAATAACTCTTAAATTTGAGATACCTTCAGTAACTTTTGCCTATATTATTTAAACTTTTTTGGAAACAACCTCAGGATCCATTGCAAAGTGTTAATTGCCCACTATAGACATAAAAAGTATTAGTCATTACAAAATATGTGATACTATGAACTACATTATTGAATAACTTTAAAGATATGTACAATACATATAAATAGAACTTAGTTTTAATTGTGGTCACAATGCCCATGCAAATGTAACATTATCTTGTACATAATAATTTGAAAAGAGTAACTGTTTCTTGCGGGTTATTCTCAGCTAATAACAACATCCCAAATTCAGCCAGACAGATATAAAAAATTGATGATTTAAAATAACTTGAAAACCATTCTATTTGAATAAAGATTATTTTTGTTCTCCCATCATAGTCCTAAAGATGATGGTCTCCCATGAAGAAGGAGAATGTAGCAGCTTACTAATATCACACTAACCAGGTGGTTTTGTCAGTCATCTCTTACTACATCCTGGAAATGAGAAGTGTCATACATTGTACTATTATCCATTGTTCCATTATCATAAGATTTGGTACGCCAAATCTTACTCATATAATAAAATTACAAGATGATGTCTGTGTATGGGAGGTATTTAGGAAAAAATAATATAAGGGGTTTTAATAATACTAATAGATACCAATATTTTTTAGAAATGTCTGTCTGTATATTTTTTATGGCATAATGCAAAAATTACTGCACCAAATTGTATTTGGCTTTTACAATTATGGTGTACCTATGTTTTATCTAGATAGGCCATCTAAAAGTAGTCTACGTAATTGGTTTTCCTACTTCTGAAATCCACGCGTAAGAAGTAACAAGCAAATTGTTACTTGAATATAAAATTGCATTTTTAAATTCCAGGATCAACTCAAAGGCGATGCGGTGACAGAGTTAAGAGTAAAATATATAAAAAGATTAGAAGATGCTGTTCCTGCTGGCGAAGATTAAATATTTAAATAAATATATCTAATAATTAATTAATTAATATTTAAATGTAAACAAATTATTCATTATGTTTTTTGTTGCATTGTAAAAAGATTTTATGGTTTATGTATAAAAGGGGCTAATTATGTAAGCCACACCATAGAATCCTAGAAAGTTTCTAATCAAGCATCTTTTTATATAGTGTTCAACTTGACCACAATAAAATTTTGTGGAATACCTAAGATTAAGACTTGTTCAAGAAATATGCAAGTTACAACAGGAAGACTCCTACCATTCTGAAATCCAATGATAGCTTTCATGATAATGAACAACATTCTACAAGAAACATGAATAGAATTTTGAAAACAATATATACTTCATACTTAATCAATCACATCATGTTATCACACTATCCTGATGGAAAATATGGTCCATCAATATGACCAACTAAAAGGACAATGTTCTACTCTCAACTATTGGCCGCATTATGCCGGCTTACTAAATGCTTTTTCATATTACGTTTTAAGGATTCGAGATAATATGATGAAGAGAACAATTCACAAAAAGGTCATTCCATTATGGTAAGGTGCACATGAGAATACGCAAACATTTGTAGGCGAGCATGCCCGGTATACAATACGGATGGTGTGTATCAATATTTTTCTGTAATCCCACTCCTGTAATAGTAATACATATTTCTATTTTATAGGCTGATGTTTAATACATTTTTATTTATAAATTTGTTAATAATTTTCTAATATTCACACAACAATTGTAAATCTTTTCATGTCTTACACCACAAATGTACATACCTACGTGCAACGGGTATTTTATAACGTAACTGGGGGTCTACCATGAAATGAAATTCCGAATTTTCGGGCTCAATTTCGTGTTTTTGTTATACCGAAATCGTCCCTGTAAATGAAGCTTACCATTTCGTTTGTCATAAATCCTACCATAAAAGTCCATAGGAATGATTCTTTAGCATTTTTAATATTTTTAAATGGTATGTATTATGTAATTTGAACATCAAATTTGTGTTTCGTTCGGATCTGAAATTTCGAAAAACATTTCATTGTAGGCCCTCTGCTCTGGGGGTACTTATTGTAAACAGTAGATGCATAGCCAAATAATATATTATTTCTAACTCGATTAGTATGACATTACCCATGTGAAACAAGATCACTTGTATGAAAAAATACATGGCGTCTTCGTATAAAATTTTGTCGCTTGTGATGATCAGCGTTATACTTCTAATAGTCGTAACAATAAAATTAAGTAGGGTATCATGAGCTCGTGTAGTAGACTAGTAATCTACATGAGTTTTTTTTTGTATGTAAAAATGGAATGGTAACCCCGCCTGTGCTAACGGGAAACGCTGGCGGGGCACCAGTGAAGGGTGATTAATGAGGATGAAAACAGGCCAGTTAGCCCATCATGATGAATTCATCAGGAATTAACCATGATAGTTTCCAGGGGGAACCGCGAGGAGGTCGACCTGATTGGGTATATTGCTAGCAATGGGATTCTCAGTCTCCATTACTAACAATCCCTTTCTCCCCACCTACATGAGTTTAGGGTACCCTACTTAATGCTATTAATACATCCCGAAAATAATCTCTCATATTTGGAGAACCCTGTTTTTTTAATTTCATAAATATTATCTGTACATTTCAGTTCATTATAATTATTATTTATTACTTTCTGTTACAACCAGTATTATATATACTGTGTACGTCTGAACACGCATGTTTGTACGAATTTTTCGTTGATAGCAAAATAAAAATATTTACCAAAAAAAAAATATGAATAACAAGAAACAAATATAATAAATAATGAAAATAATAATATGTTTTTGTTTTTAGTTTTTTATATACGATAAGATAAGTTGTTTCGTATCTTTATCAGTTCTTCTTAATATCAAGCGGTGATTTGTGTTTACATGATTTCAATCGAACTGAATCAGATTGAAGTTCTAAGAATTTTTTTTGTCACATAAAAACAAATTAAACCTATTTAATAAGAAACTATACTTGAAGTTAGTCTCCGTCTGCAAAGGCTTTATTACAACAATAATATGAATGTGAAAATGTTTATGGATGTATTATTGTATCTACTTCGATATACCTATTTTTTTTTATTGGATGAAAATGGAATGGTAAAACCGCCTGCGCTAACGGGATACGCTGGCGGAGCACCAGTGAATGGTGATCGATGAGGATGAAAACAGGCCAGTTAGCCCATCATGATGAATTCATCTGGAATTAATCATGATAGTTTCCAGGGGGAACCTCGAGGAGGTCGACCTGGTTGGGTATATTGCTAGCAATGGGATTCTTAGTCTCCATTACTAACAATCCCTTTCCCCCCAATATCGATATACCTATTAGATTGTATAAATTAAATGGCCTGTGGTCCCAGTATAGAATAGGCCACCGCTTCCTTTCCCGTGGGTGTCGTAAGAGGCGACTAAGTGAACTTAATAGTCGAGGGGTTGCAGCAGCGGCCCTCTTGAAATATCACCAAGTCCTAAATGTGGTTGCCAACCCTCCTGTCAAGCGTGGCAACAACTGGCAAAACCCCTTCATGGGGAAGGCATATGTTCAGCGGTGGACAGTTAGACTGATATGATAATGATAAATAGTTGATTTGTAGATAATTAAAAAAATTTGGTCAGTTTAGAGGCGGTCTTCTCTAGTCCTATTTCTAAAATTAAAATTTTAATTTGATATCACAGTGAAAAATTTATTTTAAGGAGCAATATGAACTAATTTTTTTTTACAACGAGTAAACGGCAGACGAGCATGCGGCTCACCTGATGATAAGTGACTACCGCCGCATATCACCCACAACACCAACGGCATTGCAGGTATGCTGCCGGCCTTTTAAAAAGGAATATGCTCTTTGAAGATTATGTTGTCGTATCGGTTCGGAAATACTGCTGCTGGAAGTTGATTCGAAAGAGTGGTTGTACGTGGAAGAAAGTGCCTTGAAAAACGCACGGTGGAGGACCGCCACTCGTCCAGATGATTGGGATGAAATTTTAGTTTATGGCGGGTTGTACGATGGTGAAAATCAGCAGCAGGTATCAATCCGAACAATTCCTCAGAGCACCCATGATAAATTCGGTAGAAGAAGCACAGAGATGCAACATCTCTACGCAGTTTCAGTGGGTCGAGCCGGACAGTAAGGTGCCAATCATCAACAATTCGAGCTGCCCGACTTTTAATGCGATCTAACGGAAGAAAGAAAGAAAGAAAGAAAGAAAAATATTTTATTCAGTGCAATGTAAAAAATACAATATAAACAACAAACGAGAAAAAAAAAATGAGCAAATAAAATGTACATATAATTAAACTTAATTTACCATAATTAAAAATAAACATAAAATAATCATTTTTACATGCAAAAATGCACTGAAATGGCTCCACTCAGCTTTAATGTATGTCCTAGGTGAACATACAGCTGGTTTTCAGTGGCACCAAAAATATATATATAAAAAAAGGGGAGAGAGAGAGGGCACTATTTATAATATTCATGATAATAATTAAAACAAAATTACAACTAATAAATACAAACCAATTACATATACTAGAAAGAACAAAATAGAATAAAATAACATTAATAAATATAAACATTAAACATATATATACAACTACTTTGCCGTAAGATTTATAGGTTAAATAGTACATAGATAATTCTTGTATAGTTTTTTAAAGGTGAATAATGATTTGGCGTTCCTAACTGGCGGTGGAAGATTGTTCCAGCATTTCGTAGCAGCGTACTGGAAGCTACCACGAAAAGCAGCTGTTCTGTATCGTGGACAAAGTAAAAGAGAATTTATTCTTATGTTACGCTTTGAAAAATTTAATTTATCATACAGATATGAGGGCTTTTTACTGTGTATTACGCCAAAAAGCAATGAAGCAAAATGTAAATTTCGACGTGCTGTCATATTTAACAAGTTATTCTGTTCCAAAAAGGGAGTGATATGAGCACGACGAGCAATAGGAAAGCAAAATCGAGCACATGCGTTTTGGATACGTTGTATCATTTTCTTAGTTCGAGCTAAAAGGCACTCCCCAAACACATTATCAGCGTAATTAAACTTAGACAACACTAACGCTTCGCACAGTTTGATTCGAATATCAACAGATAAGAATTCACGCAGCCTGTACAGTACTTTTAGTCTGTAAAAACAATTACGCATGATATCCAAAATATGTTTTTCGAATTGTAATCTCTCGTCCATAACAAGGCCTAAATTTCGTGCATATGTCACTTGTTCTATATGATTTCCAGACAAAACGATTTGTGGTTTACGTGCATTAATATCAGTTACTTGACGTTTGGAGCCCAATAATATGAACTTCGACTTACTGGGATTAACAACTAAACAATTTTGTTCACACCAAGAGGCTAAGCGATTCAGATCTTCATTTATTCTATTTACTACCGACTCAGTTGTATCCGGTTTTACAGATATATATAATTGAAGGTCGTCAGCATATAAATGATAATTACAATTTTGAATAGTGTAAGTAATATCAGTCGTATACAAAATAAAAAGGATAGGCCCTAGTATAGATCCCTGTGGGACTCCTCTGTTCACAGATAATGTAGCAGAGGTTGACACATTGCCACTGTCATCATTAGTTTCAACATACTGTGTGCGGCCGCAAAGATAGCTGGCAAACCAACGCAAAGCATTATTGTCAAATCCATAAAAGGCTAGCTTTGATAATAGGAGTGAGGTATTAATAGTCTCAAATGCACGTGAGAAATCTAGCAGTGTTAATATTGTACCATTACCACCATCCCGCGCATTCAAAATATCATCCACCACATCCAATAAAGCAGTGGTAGTACTACGAGACTTTCTGAAACCGGATTGTTTTTTAGGTAAGATACTGTTTGATTCGAGGTATCTTGTCATTTGTATACAAATAGCCTTTTCAACAACCTTAGACATAAAAGGTAGAACATTAATAGGCCGTAAATCTTTAAAATCCTTTGGATGTTGCGTCTTTGGAATAGGTCTAACTTTGGCTAATTTCCATAAATCAGGAAACACACCGCTTTCAATACTTTTATTTACTATGGCAGTAATTATATTTAATGTACGGGGTAATGTAATCATAATCATATCCAAAGTTATACAGTCAGCGCCTTGCGCATTCGATGAAAAAGATTTAATTATATTGTAAACTGCGGTTTCAGTTACTGGTTTTAGGGTGAATACAGCAGAACCAAAAGTATTATTTTTAAAATAATCAATTAAATTACTGTCAGCATCTTCTTTTCCAGGAAGATTAAGAAAATGTTGGTTTAAGCTATCAGGTTTATTCAAATATGCGGGAAGTTCAAAATCTTTTTTGTGAAAATTAACTACATTATTTTTGATATTTTTCCATAAGTTACGTGCATTATTTAAGTTTTTATTGATATTATCATTAAAATATGCAGCTTTTTCCCTAAGAATAGCTGTACTAACAATGTCTTTTAATTCTTTGTAGTATTTTTTGTGCGTTTCTAAATTAGTAACTTTACTCCTAGTATGCGCCTTATCTCGCAAATTAATCATTTCTTTAATAGTGTAGGTTATCCAAGGATATGAACGTTGTTTCATTTGTATACGTTTTATCGGAGCATGTTTATCAAAAAGACCCAATATATTTCTATTAAATGCATCCAACATACAATTAACATTTTCATATTTAAAATCTTCCCACGGAATAGAATTAACATCTTCATTAAACCAGTCAAGATCTATGTTCTTTAAGGATCTACAAGTAAACGTCCTGGGACGTGGTTTCAGTTTTCTAACATTAAGAACACAGGTGACTAATGCGTGACTACTAAGTTCCGGAATATAATTTACATCAACATTGGAAACGTTCATATTTGAGAATACCACATCTATTAATGTTTCACTGTGATCAGTGAAGTGAGTAGGCTCTTTAACAAATTGTGTATGATTAATGCAATTAAAATAGTCAAAAAGTTTCCTTGTGTTAATATCAGAACTGTTTAAAAGATTTATATTGAAGTCTCCCAACAAAACAATATCATCAAAATTACCCAGAGCTGAGATAGATTCACTAAGGGCATCTATAAATGTATCTACATTAAGCCACGGCGGGCGGTATGCCGTTCCAATAGCTAACTTGGTACCATTGAGATTAAGACTCAGCCACATTTGCTCGACAGAAGGTGCGCATGGGTGAGTAATAGTCCGCGCGTTAACTCCTCGTTTAATATAAAACCCAACTCCTCCGCCTCGCGCACGCACGTTAGAGGGTCGCGGGATATGACGTAATCGGTATCCAGGTACTGTGGGTGCACGCGCCTCCTCGCCCTCTCTAAGCCAAGTTTCATTGATTGCAACGATATCCGTGTCATGTCTCAACATAGCAACAATAAATTCATCATGTCGCGTACCGAGAGATCCGGGGTTTAACAACCCAACAGACATTTTTTTATATTTAATGAACTGCAAAATGTAAGAATATGTAATAAGAATCTGTTTACTATGCAGCAAGAATCTACTGAGCACTGTTATGTGACGCCAGTCCTCTGAATAAATTGGAAGGAGTTGGTATTGTGGTGTTCCTGCCCATAGGTGAGGACAGTATTCCATATCTGACCTGAATTGAGCTTTATACAGTTAATAATATAATATTAATTTATAAGTTTTGATATATTTGAGTCAAAATTTTTGTAAATTTATTTTATGATGGTCCATAAAACAGTAATTTCACGAAAAGAAGTTTAGAGAAATGGCGCCCCAGAATCAGGCTCAATATCTGTAATTGGATTTTTATTGAAAGTATCCAATTATTTTTATAGGTAATATTTATTTGACATCTTATTCTTTAAAGTACCTTTTAGTGTCCTTTCACACCTTGAGTACGGTATTTAGTATACCGTTATCTATGGTTCACACAACCAGCTCAAGAAAAGAGTAGATTTTGATCGTGTTTAAAATAGAGAATTATCGGCAATAAAAAAAAAAACAAGTGTCTATAGTAGAAACTCAATTATCCGAACAACGATTATCCGAATATTCGATTGTTAGAACAAAACAGGACGAATCGGATCTCATACAGTTATTACAACTGAAGCGCGTCTGGGAGTTCTGGGACTCTGCTGCAATGAAAAGATATGATTTTATTGTAGCCGAGCCAACCAAAATTTTAAATTACATAGTTATTATGTAATCCATTATCTTTATAGCTTGTATTTTTTTTTTATATCGTATTGTTTAAATGATTTATGTTAAACCCTTAATATAATAAAAATTATATTAAAATTTAATTATTGTTTGATTTGACTTTAGAATCTATTTTCCGGATTTTCGATTATTCGGAATACCTCTGGTTCTATTTGATTCGGATAATTGAGATTCTTCTATAGGTACTATTTACATGTACTTGTCACTAGATGGAGTAACGACCTCGAGTGCATTGCAGGGAGTTAGTTGATGCAGGTAACTTAATTAGTAGTAGATTTGATCAAAATGTACTATAGATAAATCCTGAATAGTCCGACTACTTACGAGGTCTGTCCGGAAAGTTCGTATAAAAGTGTTCTGGAATGCGAGAAAGAGGAGTGGGGAGGCCAGGTAAGCGCAGGACCCCTTCCTTATGTCCCTAACAATGCTTCAGTTCTGGTCTGACCGCCGTGCGGTGCGAACTGGCTTGTCACGCCATCTGTGAAGTTACCTCTTAACGAAACCCCGTCGGCATGGAGCCCGCTTCCGTTGAAGAGCAGCGCGTCGTAATCAAGTTTCTCTCGAAACTCGGCAAGAATGGCCGTGAAATTTTTGCCGATCTCAGAACAGTTTATGGGGATGATGCTGTGAAGGAACCAACCGTCCACAAGTGGCTAAAAAGATTCAGAGAGGGCCGAGACAATGTTGATTGTTTTTTTCGATGTTCGGGGGATTGTCCATCAAGAATTCGTCCCTCCAGGCCAGACAGTTGATGGAAAATTCTACGTCGATGTGCTCAGACGCCTCAAAGCTCGTGTGGCACGAGTTCGTCCAGAATTGGCGCGAGAGGGGCGTTGGATTCTTCACCACGACAATGCCCCTGCCCACACCTCTCTTGTTGTCCGTGAGTTTTTGAGTAAAAATTCCATTACGGTGACCGAACACCCCCCTATTCGCCGGATTTGGCCCCGTGTGACTTCTTCTTGTTCCCAAAAACCAAATTGGTACTTCGGGGGCGGCATTTGGGGGACATAAATGAGATAAAAAAAGCTACGACGGGGCAGCTGAGAAACCTACAACCAGAGGACTTTCAAGGAGCCTTCTCACAGTGGAAACGGCGTTGGCACAAGTGCATTATGTCACAGGGGGAGTACTTTGAAGGGGATAAAATTGATTTACCTGAATAATTGTAAAATAAAATTTTTAAAAAACTTTTATACGTACTTTCCGGACAAACCTCGTATTATATCAGTTCATGTAGGCAAAGCCGCAATATACATCTAGTATATAGATAAATTCAATAAAAAGAATAGCAAAAAATATGTCATTGCATAGAAATGCAGTACACTCCATCCCATATAGCATACAATAATAGTAAAGAATACGAAGTATGGAACAAGAGCAGACAATGAGTTCATTAGTTAGAAGAACCCTCCTTTCAAGGGTGTCGCTTCAGGATTTTGCGGTGCCATCCGCTACAGATGCACTTACAAAGCACACATTCTTCACAACCGAACAACTCTCTTAATGCAGTCGGAATAAGGTTGAATATTAATCTAAAAAATATTTTATACCTACTGGACAGAACTTACTTTTTCTACTTTGAGAAAATATATCCAGGTACAAAGTGCTCCTCAGATAGCAAGCAAGGTAGAACTTATTCTTTCATTTTTAACTATGTATTAAATAAGCAACAATGTTCCATTAATCCGTATCTAATTATTATAGATTCCACTATGAGATATTTATTTTATTTATTTATTGAAAGTTTAATGCAGAGTAAAATTCTATGTAGGTACATTTGGCGGACTTAACACCGGAAGGTGTTCTCTACCAGTCAATCATTGGGCTATATACAACAATAAGTATATTTTTCCCACCAGATTAAAAATACATTTTTGTCCATTATATCCACTGTCGTCATTTTGCCATTATAAAGATTTTACGCAATTAAAAAAAAAAATATATATGTGGTGTACAAGTTACTTATACCACAGACAGTGGAGTGATGTTACAAAACCTGTTTATTAATAAACCACTATCAATAAAAAACAATTTTACTGTTTTTAAAAAGATTTTTAATCAACATAATTAAATGTTCACTGAATCATTTCGATTAAACATTTGAGTTTACTATAAAATCAAAAACTGTTCTGGTTACCAAAATAGTTATCTACATGCAGTTATGTCATTTAGTTCTTTTTTATATATCTATGTTCTTTATAATATAATATCTAGTTACTGTAAATATGAATAATTAAGAGGGAGATGGATACTTAATAAAATTCCAAAATTGATTATAATTACATATTATATTAAAACCACAGTCTTTCCAATTTATAAATGTCTACGTAAGGTTACGTCTAATAACTGTTACAATGAGATTAAGGAAATGCCCTAATTCAGTATGAAGCACAATTAAACTTTTCCACAAAATCATTCCAACTTACAGTGAATTTTTTGATAGCATTTGCTTTATTATTCCCATCCAAAGCACTATATTTTAAAGAATTCATTGCTAACGCTTTTAACATTCTTAAATCAGAAACTCTACTTGCCACTCCCACAAACGCAACATAGTAATCTTCAGATATCGGATCAGCTTCCCAAGCACCAGGGTCATCGCTTGAGAGCACTACAGGCAAACCATGAGCAAGAAATATATTTAATGGATGATTCCTTACATCACGGACCAAAGATAGCACCGTATTTGATATTACATTCACTTCTAAACCGATGTCATTATTTATCACCTCCTTCATCAACAAAGGGTGTTTGGGCAACGCATACGCATGCCCTAAACGTTTTGCTCCCAGCAAAATAGCATCAAAGAGATTGTCATCAGTAGATGTTCCGTACCAATCGGTTTCTCCTGCGTGAAAAAAGTAGTTAATTTCATCTCTAGCTGCTACCAGTTGAGGTAGAAATTCTATGAGTGGACTCCCGAGATCCTCTTGGCCAACCAAATCGAATCCTGCAAATATTTCAGGCACATCCTTTTTTAATATTTTCGCTAACTTAAGATATTCCTCAACAGTTACATTATCCACTTGTCTTGATGGAGCATAAATCAGTTTTGCACCTACAAAATCAGGATAGTCTTTAGTGAATCTCGTTATGGCTTTTCTGTACGCTTTAGCTGTGATTAGTGGATCATATTCTGTACCATCCAACTCATAAAGTTTTGGCAGTATACTTCTCACTTCAACATACATGATGTTGTTTTCTCTAAATTTATATAAGACGTCATAAAAATATTGTTCCCATATTGGCCTGTAGGTAAGCATAGGTGCTACCGTTACAAAGTAATTCATGAAAGTGTTCCATGACTCAGTGATGCTTGGGTAAACAATATCAGGGTTCTCCACTACAAGACTAAAATGTTTTCTCAGTTTTGCGTCAAATTTTGTTATGTTCCCACATGTATCTCTAATTTTACTCACTAATTGCCATTCTCCATCACAAGGAATGTTGGGAGGTTTATTTGAAAATTTTAAATTTACATTTCTATCAAAACACACATAAAGATTGTCCATGTAAGTTATGTTCATCAAATAATCAGGTCCTAATATTCCCATATCGTGGACATGCAGCGCGGCGCCTTTCGGCATATCCTTTATAATCTGATACACTTTTGAGTACCTTATCTTTTCTTTGTAAGAGAAATAATGATGACTGAAATTGAAGTACTTAGGATTAGTGAATCCATAGTCAACTTCGAGAAACTTGTATTTCATTATGCAATTGTTGACAATTGTCTCCTTTTCAGTTAAGTTGATGTTTCCTCCAAGTGTGAGCCGGTATTCATCTTGAATTAGTTTGTCCCTCTTACTCTTGTATTCGGAAAGATCACAGTAAACACATAGGATGAGAGAAAGATGTAGAATTAATGAGAGCATCGTAAGGTCAGGAGGGCACGGAAGCGGCGTATCACGCGGCTAACCGTCGGAAATAGACTGCGATATACGTTGCGCACAATGACCCATGTCTGGCGATAAGCACATAGTTTTATAACAAAACAAAAATGCTTACTATTATCAACTTATTGAAGCAATACCTTTGTTGTAACTTTAACAATAGAATTAGACAGACACTGTGGATCCATTGTTGTAAATGTATCTGCTCATGTCTTTATGTTTTTTTTTTTTTTAAATTATGTGTGTAGCTCTAAAATAATATTATATGTCAGTTACATTACCCGTTTTTATTTTTAAATGTAGATCGTATATCTCTATCTAGAAAGTTAGAATTTGGACGGGATATCATGGGTCATCTGATGATCCGAAAGACGCGTCAAAATGGGCTCGGCCAGTAATAATTTCAGGGAGATATCATACATACCATACTATTAAAAAATAAAATATTAATTATATATAATTAAACATATATTTTTTTTTAACAAATCAAGACACCAACCTAACCGCCTTATATTTTTATTCAAACAAGAATTTAGTAAAAAAAGAACTGTCCATTTTCTTTTCCAACAAAAAGATGCAAGTGCACTTTGCTCTCGATACACATGACTCATGATATGATAGTGACTGGACCGATTTAGCAATTTGTTTTCTTTTAAATCTTTTATAATAGTATGATTAAAGTTTTAGAGAAAAAAAATATTAGAATTGAACAACATCTTTCGAGACAGCTAGTCAAAAAATTATTTGTTGTCCTTATTAATCTTATGTGAAAGTGAAAGTGAATTTCTTTTTTGTTACCTCTTGGTACCATTTTTTACGCATTTACATTTAATATTTACACATACGCATTCTACTTTTTACCCCAATTACGAGGACGTAGTCGTGGGTAAAAGCTAAGATTCACTAAATAAATAATAATAACTACCTGTAGACACTTTATTTTATTCGTTCTATTTTATTTAAAAATTATATTGTTATATTTATTAAGTTGCTTGATTACCTGCGCTGTATAATGCAAATAAAGTACCTATATTCATTCATTCAAAGTCAATGAAGTCATTGTATTAAAATTTTAATATACATATTTATATAAATAAATATTATATATAAATGTATAATAACATATACAAGTATAAGTGTAGTTTATAGTATATTTTTTTTGTATGTATATAATAAGTTACCTAAAAAATTAAGAAAATGTCTTTTGCTCTGTATTAAAAACGTTGAGATGTAACATGTCGAGGACTGCGTAGTTTAAAATTAAATAAACTAGTATAATGTTTCTTTTTGTGTTATATAGTAATTTAATTTGGTGTTGCCATACAATGAAAATTATATAAAAACGTATTTGTACTTATAAAGCTATGTAGGTCCCGGCATAGAATAGACCATCCGTTCTTTTCCCGTGGGTGTGGTAAGAGGCGACTAAGGGAGCTTTTAGTGGAGGGATTAGAACTTAGAACATCACCAAAGCCAAACTGCGGTTGCCAACTCACCTGCCATGCGTAGCAACTACTGGCAAACCCATCCTAATAGGGGAGGCTATGTTCTGCAGTAGCTAGTTAACGGCTGATACAACAGCTTATAAATATATCTTGCAAGTATTATACATAATTCTTGACTATTATTATGAGTACACATTTATTATTATTTCAGCCGTTAACTGCCCACTGCTGAACATAAACCTTCCCCATAAGGGGGTTTTGCCAGTAGTTGCCACGCTTGGCAGACGGGTTGGCAACTGCAGTTAGGCTTTTAGAGATGTTTTATGAGGGACGCTGCTGCCCATCCCTCGACCTCTCTTAGTCGATGCTTACGACACCCACGGGAAAGGAAGAGGTGGCCTATTCTATGCCGGGACCATACGAACCATATTGAATACATTTTTGTATAAAGTATTGATAATTTTATTTATGTTTGATATAATGAAGCATGAGCACTTGCGCCAAGCAATAAGAAACACGTATTGAAATACACTTATACTTTTATTATATTTATCTATTACAATTTCCTCAGCCATATATATTACTTGTTACAAACACCCCAGAGAGAAACATACAGCGCCCTCTCGCTTACTCTACTGTCACTTCTCTTCCGTTGTCTATGTGTAATGTTGCAATTGTTAAAATAATAATTGTGGAGGCTGGAGATACCAAACAATTAAACTCAACATAAAGATATGTTCATACCTGCATATCATTGTTATTTACACTATATTTTTATATTAAGTCATAACACAGTATTAATATATAAATTTACTATCAAAAAAATTTTACGTTATCAATTAATTGCTATAATCTCAAGTGACTGACGATATGTACCTAATAAGTCAGTCGTATTTCTGTTTTATGCACATTCTGACAATTTTTATCAGAAGAATGATTTTTGTACACTGCCATTTGTATGCTACCGGCTACAATATGATAATATAATTAGTGTTATTTAGCTGTAATCTCATTTGAGTGAAAACTCGTATTTTTTTGAGAAATAAATATCCATAAAATAATTCATACTTACCTTCACTTTCTTAAATATATTTATGATATAGCTTAATATAATTACATTTTGAGAATTTATATAAATTTGTAAAAAAACATATAATAATATATCTATTATGTACACACGCCTTACATTTACGTGATATAAATAGAAAAACGAGTCCTTAAAAAAATTACTTAAAGAAAAAAAAAATCATAATTTGTACTTAATTGAATTGGTTTATATAGGTTACTCAAATCTACTTACCTATTCAGTTCTGCTTCTTATTCTGCTAAATAGACAAATATTTATAACAATACGTGCATAAATACTACTTAGCTAGTACGTCTATCTGTTACAAATGTTGTAATTATTTGTATAAAAAGAATGCATTTAAATATCTAAACACACAATAGGTTTTTTTAGAAGACGATAATAAAGTGGTAATTCCGCCTGCGCTAACGGTATACATTGGCGGGGTAACAATAAGGGGTGATAGATGATGATGAAACAGGCCAGTTGACCCATCGTGACGAATTTATAAGGAATGTAATGTAATGTAAATTAAACTCTATTTTCTGCGCTGATCCTCTCATTTGGGCCATTATGCGTATAAGTCAGACATTTATAAGGATTAATCAGGATGGTTCCCAGAGAGGACCTCATGGAGGTCCTAGTTTTTGAGAAACATAACTATGGAGAACCTATGGAATACAGTAGAACGGCCTTAGAAACTCGCAAAGTTATTGTATGGAAAATTTGGTTTTATCTCCAAGTTTTTATTTATTATTTTAGATAAGTTATTAAAATTCTTTTCTGCAGAAACCGATTTCATTTTGAATATAATGAGATGAACACGGAAGATTTGATTAAGAAAAGAATCATAATATTAGTTCAAAGTGGGTTAAAATACGTAGTACGTTATACTACGTCTATGGTTAAAATAATGCGTAGTAGACATATAAAATATACAGACGAATCTAAACCAATTGTTGTAATTTAGAATCGATATGAATATCCTCTAAAATATATAATATAAAATATATAGACCGATACAACGTCATAACCTTCAAGAAAAGAGCATATTCCGTTTTAAAAGGTCGGCAGCACACATGCGATGCCTATGGTATTGCGGGTGATCATGGGCTGCAGCAGTCACTTACCATCAGGTGATTCGCATGATCGTTTGCCCCGTGTTTATTTTTTTTTTATGGATGAAAATGGAATGGTAACACCGCCTGCGCTAACGGAATACGCTGGTGGAGCACCAGTGAAAGGTGATAGATGAGAATGAAAATAGGCCAGTTAGCCTATCACGATGAATTCATCAGGAATTAATCATGATAGTTTCCTCCAACCGCGAGGAGGTCGACCTAGTTGGGTATATTGCTAGCAATGGGATTCTGTCTCCATCACTAACAATCCCTTTCCCCCCTGCCCCCTGTGTTAGTATAATAATTAAAACTAACGTTGCTTCGCCCGCGTAAATTAGTATATAAAGTAATGTAAGTTCTAAAATAGAATATAACCTTTGCGTATACCAAATTTTATTCAAATCCGTTCAGTAGTTTTTGAGTAAAAGAGGAACGAACATCCGCTCATACATAGCTCTTCGAAAATTTCTGCGTTTATAATAATAGGTAGTGGGATTAGTCAGGATTTTAATCAACTTAAAAAAATAAGCATTAATTTAAGTGGCCAAACTACTTTCAAGTCTTGTAATTAAGCAATAAATGCACTAAAACCGAACTGGTGTAAATTACAAACAGCGGCACCAAAAGGGTTTCGCTTTCAAAGCCATACGCTCAGAAGAAACTAAAGAAAAAAATAATATAAAAGAAATGTAGAGGTTCGTCGTATCCGCCATGATTTTATGCAAAAGGGTTGGGGACTTGGGGATGGATTAAGTGCCACTTTACAGTACCGCCCCGCTGGTTGTACGTATTCGTTAAAAAAAAAATATGGCCGCGACATGGTAAGTCACGTATGAATACGGTCGCGTTCACACGTGTGATTTTTTCGCTGCGATTTTCTACTGTATCTGTACTTTGTAAAAAAAATAACATATCCATTTTAAACTGATTCAACAGATGTTCTGACAAAAGTAGTTTTTATGGGAAAAATAAAAATGGTGTTTTTGGGGCAGTTTTTCTGGGTTTTACATTCATAAAAACCTTCCTTGTACTTCGAACGTATATTTAAAAAAATAAAATTACCTTATTGTTCCATCCTTTTTGAGGTTTGCGCATAACGATTCATTTTTATTCATAACAATTATTTTGTCTAAATTATTCTTCTACTGGAGAATGATTTTTTTCCTTCATTTAATTTTCAGTTGATGATCCATGTTCTTCATCAATCAATTGATGACGTGACTCCAGCTTCTACAATGAATATCTAGCTCGCCTCGCCATCGCTACTCCGGTGAGGCTATATGAACAATGATGTGTGTAAGTACACAACAGCACCTGCTTACGTGTTTCGGTTTGAATGGCAATAAAACTACAAGGTACAGAGACAACACCTTAGTGTTTAGGAATGGCAACACATGATGGGTATCATGGACGACACAGTACATACTCTATTATATCCGTGGTACTGTTCATGTCTATAGGCGATGGTCATCACGTTCCATGAGGTGTGCCGTCAGCATGTTTGCTATTCTAAATTGCATAAAAAAAATTTTAAGCAAATTCGTTGACAATTCAGAATTAATTTTATTAGGGTTTCTTCATGGTCAACGCGCACGTGGCACCCCTAGTGTTACAGGCGTCAATAGATTACAGTGACCATTTATCATCAGACGGGCTGTATGCATAAAGTTTCCCCCATACTTGTCCTATATTAATAATAAATAATAATAATATTTATTTAATTAGACAACATAAGGCCCATTTTGTTAGTTACAAATTGACTTAACCTATGTTAGTAAATGAGCGGTCATAACGCTCTTACATTGATAACCTGTCCCACCCAATATTTTAGGATGGGACAGTCCATTTTATCAGCAATTGTCTTCAGGACACTGTTTGAGCTAACACGCACCCTACCCAACAGCGAAACAATTCGTTTGCGTCGTATTGCGTAAAAATCATCTGTACGCTCCCGTGCAAACATGTGTGACGCACTACAGTGACTAGGTAGCCCCAACAGTGCCCTGAAATTTCATAACGATTAAAATCGCTATTTTTTAGCAAAATCTTTTAAGAAAAAAATATTTTAAGGTTATCCGCCTGTTAGAAAAGCATTATAGTGGACGAAGGCTTACGAAGCTGGAATGAATAGGTATAACGTCTCTAGTCTGTAGATACGTCGAGTGTTGTCACCTCTCTCTTTAATCTTCTGATTACAGTTCCCTCAAAGTACATATAAAGTGTACGATGTACGAGCACAAAACGGAATCTTTTTTAACCGACTTTAAAAAAATATTTTTCAGTTTGACTCTAGAAAGACAATAAAATTCTGGAAAAAATCAAATGTGTTTTTTTTTTTGTGATGTTGCTAGATATTTTTGTCAATTTTGAATATTTATACAAAAATATACATTTATATTGGATTTTATAATAATAAATTTTCGTTTAAAAAATGAAGAATAGTGCTTCTTGCTTTTATAATAGGTGATAAGGGAATTTTAATTCCGCTCGCGATATCGGTTTATGCTGGGGGACACCAGTGAGGGACGAAGACAGGCCAATTAGCCCATCGTGGTATCATCGTGGATACGATCGTGATTTTTTTTTTATGGGTGAAAATGGTATGATAACCCCGCCTGCGCTAACGGGATACGCTGGCGGAGCACCAGTGAAGGGTGATAGATGAGAATGAAAACAGGTCAGTTAGCCCATCATGATGAATTCATCAGGAATTAACCATGATAGCTTCCAGGGAGAACCGCGAGGAGGTCGACCTGGTTGGGTATATTGCTAGCAATGGGATTCTCACTCTCCATTACTAACAATCCCTTTCCCCCCATACGATCGTGATTAATTCATAAGAATTAATCACGATCGCATCCAGAGGGTACCGTGTGAAGGTTGACCTGACAAGGTATACTTTTAGTAATGGGCCTCAAAGTTCCTATTACTAAAAATTAGGGGTGGATATTATATAGCAGTATCCATATATTTTACTTACAATATCTAAATACTTATTCAATAACGAGTATGTTAAAAGTATGTTATCAAAAAAATAATATTGAAACAGCCTTTTAGTATATTCGAAAATAGATATCCGAGCGATATGGGCAATATCGAAATGGGTGATGACCTTTTTTCCTTCATCAATATTCAGAGAAACCCAATATATAAAAATCGGATTGGTATTCACACGTACTAACAATGCCAATGGTGCTTCAGAATTGAAACGATCTGATAATCATATGACCAAAAAAGTCCTAAGTTTAGGTACTGGTTCAAAGAGGCGAGTAAGACTTTTTTAATAACTTTGTAGTCTGGAATCAACAGTGACTTAAAGAGGATTCTATCCAAACGACTAGATAAGGCAGGATAGAAGTGCCTAGCGATGGATGATGAGCAAATCAAATCTCAAATGTAAAGGGTTTAATAAGGCTAGGCAGGGAGACAGAGAGAGCATACTCATTAGTGTGTTATATGTATTAATACCAACTTAACAAAACCTATTTTTGTGACAGGAATATATATGTATATAAAAGAAGAGAATGCTATATAGGTAACATTAAATCTGTTTTTATACCATATCTTTTGTACATGTGTTTAATAAAGTATACTAGGTACGCATGCACCAAATTACCACTAGTGGTCACGTACTCGTGACGTCAACACTTGGAAGTACTATAATAGGGTTATTTGATATCTATTTTCTGCATAATAGAGTTTCCTAATCATGACAAATGTTGCATTACGCTCTTGAATGACCATGTCACGGTTAAAGGTCTATCAACGAGTACTCGAAACTATTTTATGATTGCATTTGTTCGATAATATAAATTTATTGTTATATTACTTGCCTTGTCTATTAGAGTATAATGCCCCCATTTTGGTTTCCACCTAAAACATTATTTAGTCTATATCTCATACACCTAATAGTAATTTGCTACGGAAAGAAGAGATTGTTAGTAATGAGGACTAGTGGTCTTAATGCTAGCAATATATTCTGTCAGGTCGACTTCTACGCGGTTTCCCTTGGAAGACATTCTGATTTACATTTAATTAATTCGTTACTATGGGTCAACTTTCTCTTCATCTATTATCCCTTACTACCTGGTGTCCAACCGTTAGCACTATGTATATTTAAATTTTTAAGAGGTTTATTAATAAACTCGTTGAAAATTGAAAAATTACTTTATACTTAACACCATACGCTTATTTACTGGCCATAGAGGCATAACGCCATAATCTTCAGTAACGGCAAGGCATAAATAACATGTGCATCATAGTGTAGTCTGTGATGCCTATGGTGCTGTTCATGTATACGAGGTTTGTCCGGAAAGTACGTATAAAAGTTTTTTAAAAATTTTATTTTACAATTATTCAGGTAAATCAATTTTATCCCCTTCAAAGTACTCCCCCTGTGACATAATGCACTTGTGCCAACGCCGTTTCCACTGTGAGAAGGCTCCTTGAAAGTCCTCTGGTTGTAGGTTTCTCAGCTGCCCCGTCGTAGCTTTTTTTATCTCATTTATGTCCCCCAAATGCCGCCCCCGAAGTACCAATTTGGTTTTTGGGAACAAGAAGAAGTCACACGGGGCCAAATCCGGCGAATAGGGGGGTGTTCGGTCACCGTAATGGAATTTTTACTCAAAAACTCACGGACAACAAGAGAGGTGTGGGCAGGGGCATTGTCGTGGTGAAGAATCCAACGCCCCTCTCGCGCCAATTCTGGACGAACTCGTGCCACACGAGCTTTGAGGCGTCTGAGCACATCGACGTAGAATTTTCCATCAACTGTCTGGCCTGGAGGGACGAATTCTTGATGGACAATCCCCCGAACATCGAAAAAAACAATCAACATTGTCTCGGCCCTCTCTGAATCTTTTTAGCCACTTGTGGACGGTTGGTTCCTTCACAGCATCATCCCCATAAACTGTTCTGAGATCGGCAAAAATTTCACGGCCATTCTTGCTGAGTTTCGAGAGAAACTTGATTACGACGCGCTGCTCTTCAACGGAAGCGGGCTCCATGCCGACGGGGTTTCGTTAAGAGGTAACTTCACAGATGGCGTGACAAGCCAGTTCGCACCGCACGGCGGTCAGACCAGAACTGAAGCATTGTTAGGGACATAAGGAAGGGGTCCTGCGCTTACCTGGCCTCCCCACTCCTCTTTCTCGCATTCCAGAACACTTTTATACGAACTTTCCGGACAGACCTCGTATAGACACGGTCGAACGAACGGTCAGCTTGTTTCTTATTCTAAGTTGAAAAAAGTATCACAATTAATAATAAATACACATATTTATACTTTATCATCACAATTTTAAAGAATAAACCTACTTAAAATACCTATAATAACCGTTTCATTAAACGCTATTAAATCGCTATATATTCAATAAAGATAAAAAATGAACAAATTATAGACGTGAAATATTAGATTTTTTTTTATTACTTATTAAGTAAAAATTGTACAGGTACATTTTTAAAGATCGGTAGGTAACATTATGAATATTTAATTAACGATATAAAATAACCGCGTCGTAATAAAAATATGTTAATGTTCGGTAGTATGCTTATATTACTTAGGTGCCTTAATTACGTACACTATGCACTTGTAATGTGTAAACACTTCAGGGCTTCTTTTTATTTTATGATTACCATTCTTAAACAACGATTTTTCACCAATGTCATCAGGATTAGAAACATAAAATGCCTCGTATAAATCGCGAGAAATAGCTAAATGATAATAAGTATATGATTGCGAGATAAAATTTTATCTTATTGTGTTGTCGCATAACAACAATTCGATAGAAAATTAATTACCAAAATAATTTGCCTACGTAATACGTTAAGTATTTAAGAATACAGGTACAAAAGTGATAAAATCAATTCTTTGTTATACTCGTACAACGTATTGGCCACAGCCTTGTTCCAAATTATCACTTATAAGATAGTATTTGTTTGACTCTCGAAATTGTTGGTAGTGGCGATGTGGCTTGTGATATTATATTTATTGTTCGGAGATGCACAATCAGGTTTATCAACTGTTACTGGCCGAATTGAAAATGTGATCAATGAACGGACCACTCTAATTGAAAATGAAATTAAAATGATGTTTGGAAGTGATATAAATCTCAGTGATAGTGAAGAAAAAGTAAATGAAATTATAATGAACTTGAAACACGAAGAGTTAGACATTGGATTTGAAGAGCCACAACTGTTTAATGTTTCAAAACATTTTTTTGAATATAAAGATGAAATAAAAAAAAGTAAGCTATTTCAATTAATTAAACAGATGCCAAAAGGAGCAATCCTGCATGCCCATGACACGGGCATTTTAAGTCCAGATTACGTTTTACAGTTGACGTATTGGGAAAATTTGTACGTTTGTTTCGAAGGAGATGATTTGCGCTTCTTGTTCTCGAAAAGCATTCCAACAGATACTTGTGATAGCCAATGGCAGTTACTGAGAGACACGAGATTCTCTTCTGGCGACGTAGAAATATTTGATGCTAAGCTAAGGAAATATTTTACTCTTGTAATTGATAAACCAAATGAAGTGTACACTGATATTAATCTTGTGTGGAACGCATTTCAAAATTATTTTATTAGGACTACTTCATTAATTTGTTACAAACCTGTTTGGGAACAATACTTTTACGATGTTCTTAAAGCTTTGAGAGAAGAAAACGTCATGTATATAGAAATTCGTAGTACATTGCCTGAATTGTATGACTTAGATGGAAATGTTTTTGATTCAGTTGTAACTGCACAATCATATAAGAATGTTTTAGATAGATTCCTTGTTGACTATCCAGACTTTTATGGCGCTAAACTTATTTATGCCCCACTACGAATGGTTGACGCTTCAACTGTTAAAAACTATATAGAAATAGCTAAAGAAATAGATTATACAATACCTGGATTTTTAGCTGGATTTGATTTAGTTGGTCAAGAGGATTTAGGTGCTCCTACAAAAGAATTTTTGGAGGAACTGGTTGAAGGTCGTAAATATTTGCAATACTTTTTTCATGCCGGTGAAACGAATTGGAATGGAATGAGTACTGATGAAAATCTTTTCGATGCGATAGTGTTAGGAACAAAGCGCATTGGTCATGCATTTGCATTATCTAAACATCCCATTTTGATTGACGAAATTAAAAAGAGAGATATAGCTATAGAAGTGAATGTGATATCAAATAATGTACTCAAATTAGTAGACGATGTAAGGAACCATCCACTAGCTTCTTTTTTAGCTCAAAATCTTCCAGTTGTATTATCAAGTGACGATCCCGGGATTTGGGAAGCTGATATTTTGTCTCATGATTTTTATGTTACTTTTGTTGGTGTTGCAAGTCGACACGCAGATTTAAGACTTTTGAAAAAACTTGCTTTGAATTCTTTATATTATAGCACAGTTAAGAATAAAGACAAACTTGTACATGAATTTGAAATACGATGGACTAGATTTATTGATTCTGTAATAAAAAATAGTTGGTGAGAATAGCTTTGTATATAAATTCAAAAGAATAAATGTACTTACCTATGTACCTAAAGCAAATCTAATTAATTATCTTTATTAATTACTCGAAAGAAATCAATTTTGGCGCTGGAATTACTTGGATTAATTCCATCTTTTCTCATTTTCTGTGGGAACACCGGCACTATTTCAGGAACGTGTATAACTTTTCAGTTCCGGAGATTTTGTCTAATGTTAATAAATGAATTTCGCATCTAAACGTTAGAAGAAGAAAAGGAAGATTATTAGGTATTATTTATTAACTTATGACTTAGTAAATTTTATAATAAATAATTTATTTTTTACTATTATTTATTTCCTTTTTAATATTTATAATATAAAATTTAACGTTTTGCCCGAGGTAGACCTCATATACAATTCACCTGCTTAGGTACATAAGTACCTACCCAAGTAGATGAATTTTATATTACTTGAATAAAATTAAGTAAGTAAAGACATGACGAGGATATAAATCCCCGAAACTAGACTTGCATTACTATGTTTCGGTGACATTACATGGTACGAGGATTGTATCCCTGGCTTAATCCAAAGGACAGGCATGAATTCTTACCACTTTCTTATTTGTCATTCCATGAAAAACATATGTTGAAAATAAGTAAATTCTTAATTTAATCAAAGTTGAATGTAGTGTCTTAATAATTGATATATGAGAGAACAGGTACGATAAGTGACTGATAAAATTGTTGATAATCAATCTATCTCATTCTTGTCTTATGGCAAGATAGAGTTGTCTGGAACTATGTAAGCGTATGCGGATAAAATATCTAAAGATTAAGATAGTACTATAAATAACTCCAGTATTTTTATGAACGATAATGGAATGGTGACCGCATGCGCTTTTGATTTACGATGCGAGAGAGGATGAAGTCTCTTCAGTTGGAGCATTATGACCAACTCTCACCATGAATTAATCACGATGATTTTCAAGGGGACCGCATAGAGGTCAACTTAACAAAGCAAATTGCTAGTAATAGTTGTTTTTCTTTACTAACAATCCTTTCTCCAGAACATCAATTTTTAGGTGCAGGTACAAAAAGACAGTAAGTATATGAATTATATTATTTATTAATGTTTATTTATTTATTATTTTTTAATACACATCTAAAGTGTACAAGGCGGACATAATGCTAAGAGCATTTTCTTTTAGTCAACCTTCAATAATATAAATAAAACAGGTACTAGAATATAAATGGAATAACAATATAAACAATAATAAGTGATAGCTCGTATATAATATTCGTATATTTCATAACTATATTTGATATTCATGCTCTACATATATTGTTACATGTACATACATTGTTAGTATTTAAAAGCTTTCTAAATATTTCTTAGAAACATTATGATACTAAACTCAGAATATCAATCAGGTATAAAAAGATTAACATGCGTTAGCTTGTGAAATATCTCAGCACTTTAAACATAGTAACAATTTATTGTACATCATTAAAAGCACCTTACCTAATAATAATACATATACAAGTGTAAAAAGTATATATGAACATTACATTAATTACTATTTAGTTATACCATGATCCCTATTTGCATCCTAAGAATAAAACATCATTCACACAGTGCTGCAAGCATGAGTTATCGAACTCCGAGCCGTACGGACCCGGAGAGGATCTGAGACGAACCATCGTTTATATTACTCCATTGTATTATATACATATTAGTATTCATACTTGGACAAAACTAAAATCATGTCTAACATCCATGTTATACCTATGCCGGTTATGATTGAAAACATTACGCTCGAAGTTGTCGACGAGTATGTATACATGTGACGATTTGTCCGACTATGTACAATAAGTCCAACTTCAATCGAGAGGAGGGAAAGGGATTGTTAACAATGGAGTTTGATAGCCCCATTGCTAGCAATATGCCCGATTAGGTCGACCTCTACGTGGTTCCCCCTGGAAACCATCGTGAACAATTCTTATTGATTCGTCACGATGGGCTAGCTGACCTACTTCGTCCTCACCTATCATCCTTCACTGGTGCCCCGCCAGTGTATACCGATAGCGCAAGCGAAATTACCATACCATTATCATCCATAAAAAAAAAACTCGGACCGAGAGGTCAACCGACGAATCCAATTCGACTGGGCAGCGTTCGCAGCATGCTGCATGCAAGTGGCTCAGGACCGTTCCTTATAGCAGTCTATGAGGGAGGTCTATATTTAGCAGTGAACAGTTAACGGCTGATATGATGATGGTGATATGAAGCTTGTGACGATGGTTTTCCCCAGATGTGCTCGAATGGCTCAATGTTCGAAACCCTAAGCCTCAGACAGAACTGTGACCGGAGGTGTGTGAATGGCACTTTATTCTTATTTATATGATACATAAACCTCAATTTCTACAAGGCCATTGTATCAGTAAACTGCAACTATAGTACGCTGACATTGCACAATATGACGGCATTAGACCTGCGCAAACGTCAGAGAAAACAACACTTTTCTATTAAAATAAAATTACAAATAAGCTGACGGCACGTCTTACAGAAGCACATTTTTTTTAAACAGAAGTCATATTTTTTTTTTATAGATGATAATGGAATGGTGACGGCGCCTGCGCTAACAGTATACGTTGGTGAGCCACCAGTGAGGGATGATAAGTGAAAATAAGGCAGGTCAATTAGCCCATTGTGATAAATAGTCCTTGAATTCAGCTCGATGGTCGACCTTACAAAATACTTTGCTCGTAATGGGACTGGTAGACATTACTAACAACCCTCCCCCCCCCCCCCCCACACAGAACTAATATGATCATATAACATTTTTCTGTTTAAACGTTTCAAGCAGAAATAGAGCTATCATTGCATAAGTAATTATTGTCATTCATAGCATAACTGTTACGGTAACTGTGGCGGTAGAAACACGAATTCAATGAGCGTGGAAAATGAAATTAAATAAAATCTATTATTTTGATTAATAAGTAAATCTAAACAGTGCAATTAAGAATAAAATACTTTATTAGTAGATTATGTTGCCGTACAATTAATTGCCAAGTCATTATAATTCTTATAGAAATAAAGATGTCTAATATTAATACGATCACTATAAATGTTCCTAGGTAATTAATTTGATAATAAATTATAACAAAGTTGTTGAATAGATGCTTCCATACATACAAAATAAAATAACTAATTTGGTTTTATATAAGATCTCTGAACTTTTTGTAATGGAAAAAGTGGTATTTTTTACATTTTATATTTTTTATGGGATATGAAAACTCGAGAATGTAGTCGATTCTGAAGCACTATTTATTTCTAAATTAACGTTAATTACAGAGTAATAATTGTTCCAAAATATTTTTTAATGAAAATATTTTACATTTACTTTACATCTAATTACAATAGAATATAAATTATCTTTATTTACATACATTTGTTTACAAGCTCTTTAAAATTGTCCTTAACGCAGGGCCGTAGCTAGACCCAAATTCAAGGTAGGTCAATATAACTTTTTGGTAGGATAGAAGCTATAATTAAGTGACTTCGAAAAAGCGAATCTGTCTAATTTTCTTGGAGCCTTTTATTTTAAGGTAGAGTGTTGGGCCTTTTTAGGTAGGGCATTGCCCCTCAATGCCCAACGCCTCCTAGCTACGGTCACACCTTAACATGATGTTAAAGTTATTGATATCAACCCACAAACAAATTGAAATCCTTTGAAAATATTATAATATTAATATTATTATGAATTATAATAGTAGAAAGTATTTTTATAAAATAAAAATATCTGCATGCCTAATGTTTAAGGCAATTAAACAGGTGCCGAATTGAACACCACGTGGCGTACGTCAATAATTTTAAGACTTTAATGCAAATAAACTCATTTCATTTCATAATGTAATAGCCAGTTACAATGTAATAGTATAGGAAGCTCAAAATTGTTTCTTACTTTTTGAATCACATATTTTTATTTTTTTAAAAACAGTGCTCGATTTCACTATTAGAGTACTTCTTTAAAATAATACTAGTAATTTCAATTTAAACCAGTATTCAATCGAAGTAAATTCTTATACTTTTTTATTACTAAAAATTGACACGCAAAAGTCCTGACCCCTACTATAATTCGTATCTAAAAGTCCACTACGTCTATACATTTCTGCGCCATTAATTAAATCTACTTAACAACTATTTTGTCCTATCTAGCTAATCTCTCTTAAAAACCGTGTTCTGAATACTAAGCAGATATATCATTATTTGTAATAAAGGAGACATGATTTTGAATCGCACAAATATGCTAGTGTTTTTATTTAAAAAAAAATGTGTGGATTTTAGGAAATCTAGTCATACTTGTTTTGACATTTCCTATATTATCGTACTCATTAAAGATTTTAACGATGCGCGAATTTACTAATACGAGTACTACTTATTCGACTGAGCAATTCATGCGAATCATTCGAATTTTTTTTAAATAATTCGATCACTAATTTCGTTCACTATACACTTTTACTAATCGCTAACATAATTCATTAGTAGTTGTCAATGCACAAGTCGGTACGAACGCAGGCGTTTCGACCCGATCGCTAGAATGGCCTTTTTCTTTGTAATGTTTATATTTAGTATTTAAAAATTAAAAGTATCGAACTCATCTGTTAATGAAGTAATAAAGTGTAGTCAGCAAACGTAGTCGATTGCTGGAATGACGAAATTGATTTTTTTAGTCGTTCACTATTTGCTATTTTTAAGGTAGTGATTGATAGGGAATTTTTTTTGTTTTCATTACTAGTGGTTTGGGTCGAATTACTTATTAATAAAATAATTCGAATACTAAAATTACTAATTACTAAATATTCGAATACCAAAATCATTCGAAATCGCGCACCGTTAGTCGTTTTATACACGTAGGTATCTTATTAATTATAACAAAAAATAACACACATAAATTAATACCAACTTTAATACTAGACCTCAATAAAGGTCAATTGTGATATTATATAAATTTATCATAATATATTATGTTATCTTATTCGTATAATTGTGTTACTGACTGTTATTCGAGGCTTTGCACGCGTTAATTTATATATAAAAAATTCAGTACTAGATGTAAGGTATGTCATCTTCACTGATTTAAATCTATTATATTTACAATTACTTAATTAACGTGGATAATGAGAATATCTTAATTTACAAGCTGTTTTCATACGTGTATTTACATTTATCATTTTATCATTACATTATTCATTTAATCAGTGTGCCTAGTTTCATATTCAAAATTTCACCGAGTACCAAATATGATATCCGCTTTCTAAATTATTAATTAATTATCCATATTTTAAAATAATTTAATTTACGCGTTACATTAAATAGTACAAATTTATACAACTATGTAATAGGTATACCTAATTATTCATGGCAATAACTTCTTTTAAAAATTTCTCCCATTTTCTGTTAAAGATTTTAAATAATTTTGTTTTGCCTTTATCATTTAACGCACTGTATTTTATAGAGTTTATTACCAATTGCTTGAGCATACGCAGATCGGCATGTTTGCTAGCAACTCCAGAGAAAGCCAAGTAGAAGTCGTGGGACATAGGATCTGCGTCCCAAGCCCCTGGGTCATCGCTAGATAAAACTACTGGTAGACCAAGTGCTAAATATGAAGCTAATGGATGATTTCTTACATCCTGAACCAAAGATAAGACAACATTTGATATCACATTGACTTCTAACGCTATATCTTTCTCTTTTATTTCTCTTAGTAATGTAGGATGTTTAATTAGGGCAAAAGCGTGACCTACCCTTTTAGATCCTAAGAGTATAGCATCGATCAAATTTTCATCAGTAGATGTCCCAAACCAGTCAGTCTCTCCACCATGGAAATAGAAATTTATTCTGTCCTTTGCTTCAAACAGAGCTGGATAGAATTCAAACAGTGGCTTTCCTATGTCCTCTTGACCAACTAAATCGAAACCTGCAAAGAACTCAGGCATTTCATCTTTTAGTTTATTAGCTAATTCTAGGGCAGTCTGAATTTTATTTAACGTCGCTTTACGATGATGTGTCAAAATCATCTTAACACCAACAAAATCTGGATAATCTTCCATAAATTTCTTCGTAACTTGTTGATATAACTTCGCGAGATATAGCCCTTGATGTATTGTTCCATCTAGTTCATATAGGTAGCTTAATCCTGTTCTTATTTCAATATACATAATATTATCATCATAAAATGACTTTAAAGCTTTGTAGAAAAATTTCTCGCGTACAGGTCTATAACGGATTAAAGATTTGATATTGTGAATGACTTTATTAAATCGATTCCATGTAAAATTAATATCAGAGTTCATAATATCCTCATTTTCTGTGTACAATGTAAAGAAAGTCTTCAATTTTGAGTCGAAGAGTTCAATGTCATTTGATGCATTTCTAAGTTCACTTAGGAGACTCCACTCAAGCGGGCAAGGTCGTTCGGGAACCGTGATGGAGAATTGTAAATCTAAATGGTCATCCGTATAACAAGCATATAAGTGGTCCTCGTAAGTCAATTCTATCAATTTATCAACATGTAGCATTAGAGAACTGTGTAAATGCAAAGCAGCACCTTTTGGCATCCGCTTAATAATTTGATACACCTTCGATTTGTAGATATGATTTTTATAAGTAAAATAATGTTTTGAAAAGTTAAAGTATTGTGGATTGTTGAAAAATTCATCGGACTCTTTTTCCTTCCAATGCATTAATATCTTATTGACCGTTTCTTCCTCCTCGTTCAAAATCAACGTACCGCCGAGAGAAAGTTCGTATTCTTCGGCAAGTATATTACTTCTGTTCAATAAATAGTTGTTGACATTAATGAACCTCGCTTCGTATCGTCTCATAAAAAATAAACACAGAGCACTGTATATAGCGAACACATACATTTTACGGATGGACACTCACAAGTTAACTGTGACACTTTGATCTCGCGTGCCTTCACCAAGTACTGAGTCGCGTATGCGTAATTCTTTGATATTTATAGAATAGAGCCAAACACCAACGTCAAAATACAGACCAGAAGAGACCCGCAACGGAGAATTGATATTCGTGCATACGAATACTATTCTTAGAATTTATTATCATATCACAATTCCATAGTGTATTCTCGAATTCACAAAAATATGTCATATTTATCAAGTACGTCACAGAAATATAAACACTTAGGGGTCTTGTATTTTGCTTGTTTTGTTACCAACATCGGAAGACCACCTAGAGTGGGAAAACCTCTTATAACCCAACGAATTTCACAGGAGTATAATACAAATTTGCTATATATTTTCTATTTATTCTAAACTCCTTTTTGGTTATGACTTCGTTCGCGCGACCAAGATTCATTGATTGATCGACATAAAACTTGGCGTATGTTCTTTTTATATCCCAACTAGATATAGATACTATGTATACAGTATACAAAATTTCATAATGATTGGTTGAACCGTTAAAACGCCAACAAATAAACAGACTCACTTTCACATTTATTTCATTATTATTCATTTAACTTACACTTTGCATATATAATATTAGTAAGAGTATATCTGTCTTTACGCTAGGACTTTTAGTGGATAAATAGAGAAATCAAATATCAAAAGGCTTCTATAATGAGAGATGTGTGTGTAACAAACACGGATCTCTTGACTCATTCATCGTTCGATACCTACAAACGTTACATTTGGCGAAAATAATATTTCCTTTTATTTTTTAATTAATTAATTAATTGCCCTTAATTTTGCCGCCCGTCATTATTGTCAGTCTTTACACTTGCCCAGCTTACCACTTACTTTACTATTACCTTAAATGTACCATTTTGGAATATTCCTATAATTTGTATTAACTTTATCTTCAAAATTGCCTATTAATTGTTGTTCAATGATAATGTTTGCGGTAACTGTTGTTTGATCTTAACGGAATTCTTATGAACTTACTATATTTGTTGTTTCCGACAATTGTTACGATTTCGGCGGACATCTTTTTCAAGGGGACTAAGACTAAAAGAGAAAAGAAGATTTCTAAGTATTAAATCGAAACAATAGTCGGAAACCACAATAATAGTAAGTTCGTAAATTTCCGTTATATATATCGTTAAAAATTAAATACAAGTTTTAAAAATAATATTGTTTAATCTTCTTTATACAATTTCATAGGAAATTAACTACCGGATTAGGTCTCCGCTACACTACGCTTGTAGCAGTCGTAGGTCGATAGCAAGATAGTCTTCTGACATAGTGTAAATCCGTGTAAATATTCTTTTATTATTCCGCATTCTAAATTCGAATATTTTCATTTTAAAGCGATGTAGCAATCTATCGTGTCTCCTCATTCTAATTCCAAATAAATTTATTGTAATATGTCCGCAAAACATCTGGTCGTCTGTCGCTGTGTGTTTACGATGAAATAACTAGTTATTTTTTTGGATGCAAAATGTACCTATTACATCGACACTTCGTCTCAAACTAGCGCACTTTAAATAAGTATAATTACAAACACGATCAGCCAGTTTTATTCTGTTAACATTTTATTATATATATTACTTATTTATTTTCAATATAAATTTAGTAAGACACTATAGTTTTTATAACTATTTATACAGCATGTACCGACAAATTTATTACAACAATCGGCAGTAAGCAAAAAAGAAAATGATCGAACAAGATTGTATAGAAGACCAGATTGGCAGGTAGGTTCACAAGAAATCAAACAGCAACGTGTTACGCAAAAAATGTGGTAACTGATATTGAATTAAGTTTTTTTTTAACACAATATAATTTTTGTTATCCATAAACCTTATTTTTTATTAATATTATAAGTCTGAAAATAAGTATGTTTGTTTATCGCAATTCGTTATGAAGTTTTCTTTAATATAAAGAGAAGGAGCTAGATTTTACGATGTCGATCGGACGCACGGCTTTTTTTTATACAACTTAGAATGGCAAACAAGCTGACGGCCCACCTGATGGAGAGTGGTAACCGTCGCCTATAGACATGAGCAGTACCATGGATATAACAGAGTATACTGATTCGCCCATGATACCCCCCATGCGTTGCCATTCCTGAGGATTCAGGTGTTATTCCTCTGTACCCTGTAAATTCACGCCATATCCCATCCTTCAAACCGAAACACAGCCATGCAAACACAACTGCTTCACGGTAGAAAAACGAATGGGACAGAAGTACCCAAGCAATCGATTTTTGCACAAAGTCTCCCTAAGGTAAGACTTCGTGGGTAAGCACTAGTAGTTAACAATCTTTACTAATATAACAAATGAGAAAGTATAATTGTATACTTTTTAATACTTGGCATTTTAACAATCCGACCTATTAACATCTAAGTATTATTTATAATTTTTTTATAAATAGGTGCAATTTCATTATACTCAATATGTATCGACGTGGTACCTAATAAGTACATAGGGGGGAAGGGATTGTTAGTAATAGGCTCTAACTGGCCCATTGCCAACAATATACCCTATCAGGTCGACCTCTACGTGGTTCCCCCTGGAAATCATCGTAGTTAATTCTAGTGGAATTCATCACAATGGGCTTACTAACCTGCTCTCATCCTCACCTATTACCTCTCACTGGTGCCCCGCCAGCGTATACCGATAGCGCAAGCGGAGTTACCATTCCTTTATCACCCATTAAAAAAAAATACAAGTACATTGTTAGTGATCGGGTTTAGCAGTCTCGTTGCTAGTAATAAATGGTATATTATATTAAGTCGTCCTTCACGCGATTTCCCCTGGAAACCACCATGGTACTTTCTTGAATTCATCACGATGGGCTAACTGATCTGCTATCCTCACCTACCATCTCCACTGGTGCCCCGCCAGCGTATAGCGATAGTGCAGGCAAGGCAAGGCAATTCCTTTTTTATGAATAAAAAAAAAATACAAGTAGATTTTGCTCAATAAAAAAACAGAAGTGACTATAATCACGATTAATGTCATATTGTAAAAATAATTGACGTGTATTTTTTATCTAAATTGGTAAACTTGTTTCGGAATCAAATTATAAGTCAGGTTTGCGTTCACGTCACATTTACATAAAAACTTCTTGACAGGAACAAAATTAATATAGATCCAACATGGGAGAAAACGCTACAGATTATAAAAAAAAAATCAAATATTCAGAATTGCTTAAGATATCGTGTTACATACGTATATTTGCAATGACTGATGGAGGGCGAGGAATGGGCGGTAGCGTTCCTCTTAAAACATTTCCAAAGCCTAACTGCGGTTGTCAACCCGCCTGCCAAGTGCGGCAACTACTGGCAAGACCTGCTAAGGGGGAGGCTTATGTTCAGCAGTGGACCATTAAAGGCTATAGATATAAATGCCAAATAATTGCTGGGATATGATTAGCAATGGGGCGATTATTCCCCATCGCAAAATATACCTTTGCCCTAGTAACGCAGTCGGAGTTATTCTTGCATATTTCCTTTTCATATTTTTGCTTAAAAAAAGTCATAAGCTACTTGAAGGATTACTAAGGAACCCCAAAACCTTGGTGCAATTAAATATTCTCTTCCCCAACTTTGGTAACTTATTGTTGTTTCGATTTATTTATCTACGCTTTCGTGACCTTTGACTCTGAACTTGTTTGTTTATTATCAATTTTACCGACCTCACAAAATGATGTCATGACCTTATTTGTTGCATTTTCTTTAGCTTATTATTCTTGGGTAATTGTAAGTAACAAATGTGTTACTATCAAATGAAACCAAAAAGTATTTCGCAAATTTTGTATCTTTTTTTATGGGTAAACATGGAATGGTAATCCCATCTATACTATCGCTATATGCTGGCAAGACAATAATGAGAGATGATGGATGAGGTCGAAAACAGGTCAGTTAGCCCATCGTAAATTTCATAAGACACAACCACGATGGTTTCCAGGAGTTTGTGTGGAGGTCAACTTATAGGCTATATTACTACCAATGGGGCTGATAAACAATCTCTTTCCCCCAAATTCGGTATTAATCTTCTTCCTTAATTCATGAAGAGCGATTAACGTATTATATTATATTTTTGGAATCTAGTTAACAATTAAAAACATACCTATATCAAATTTAGTTCAAATTATTGAAGTTAGACAATTTAATCTCTATTCTTGCTGTAAATCTTTTCAAGACAAATTAATGGAATGATAGAAATAATAAATGGAATACATCAAAACGTAATCCAGAATTGCATTTATTGTGTTAATGTAAGATATTCATACATCCTATTAATATTATAAATGCGAAAGTACGTAGGAATGTATGAATAGATGTATGGAAGGAGAGATAAATGTTTGTTACTCTTTCACGTAAATTTGGTACACTAGTAGCTTATATCATAACTTACATAGGATATTTTGTATACTGATGTGGGTAAAGCCATAGAAAAGAGCTATTTATTTATAGTTTTGATTACCTATAGCAAAAATGATTTTTATAATAATTTGCTATATTATTTAAATAGGCGTTACTCTTTTGTTTATATTTATTATGATTTTTAATTATATTTTATAAATATACAGACATCGTTTGTATACAGTTTTATTATAATAGTAAGACGTATGTAGGGTATTTCTTTATAATTGATTAATTTATCGATTTAGATGCAACAGTTGTTTTAGTCAATAAACTTGGGTAACCGATATAAGCAACTACAAAAGTGTATAGTCATCTACTGGCTTATTTTTAACTTATTATAATTAATTTACAAAAAAAAACTAATTTATAGAAAATTTACTTTTATCTATTAATTATTTTACTTTTCTTTTATCTCCCTCCTACTATTAATTATTGTTTTTCTTTTTTTAATTGTATAATTTGAAAGCGATTTATTTTGTTTAATTGTTATTTAAACACATATCAGTTGGAGACCTGTTGATCTCTACTGCAGATTTTAACCTATTTCAAATACCAACTCCCCACAACAAAGTTTCGTATT